GAAGTTGGAATGTCTAATCTCATCATACCGGGGTTTGGGGCCTTTTTAGCGTGCCAAAGTCGACTTAGCCCATTCTAGTACAAATAAGCGAAACCATCGACCTCGGCGGAGTACGGAGTATGGGGCGGATAATTGGGTGAGCCGCATATAAATCCAGTAAGAATCGGCGGGTTACCAGAGTGGGAAGCATGAACTGCTTTTAGGCAGCAGTGACCTTCCTATCCTTCTCCTTCGTTTATTTAGTCTAAATCGTGATATAGAATGGATGCAATAAAGATACCGAGGCAAGAACTGCCAAGAGGCTGAGTGTTTCAAATGGGTAAGACGATCCAATCATAATGTACCAAGTTCAGCTGAGCGGGTCAGTGCAGCCGCCCTATCTGCCTAGGTACGGAGTACAGTGTACATATCACACTCTTATCCCCATCACCACCGACTTGCATATTCCTCTTTGTTGTTATGTGAAATACATACGACCCTAGGGTCTTGAGAAGACAGCTCCCTGTTTGCTGAATCGTATTCGTGATTCTGCACGTGCCTCACCACGTGGATTCACACGTGAATATCAGAAGATATTGTTGAGGGCATCTGCATCAATGTCTGGCTTGTCAGGCTGCCACCTAACATTTAAGAAGCTGGTTTCTAGTTGTTTGTAGAAAATAAATATTTCTTCTCTCCTACTTGCTTCTGCTACTCGCTCTCAAGTCAGGTCAAGCCCCAGGGGAAAGCGGCTAACCCCGCTTCTGCCTACGCCAAGCCAACGCCAAGCTAACGCCCAGGGGAGAACATGTTAACTGCACCGCTTTGAAGCTTATTTTCCTTGCCCAACTTATGGGGTTTGATGAGCGAAATTTACCGGAGCAAGAACTTCTGAATGTTCTTCATTCCTCTTTGGAGACATTATATCTCGAAGTCAATGTGGGCGGAAGCTTCAGTGGAGCTATAGACCAGTTGGCGGAATTGGCTGAGAGCTTCCTCCCATTGGCTGCGATACATATTGAATACTCCTAGCTAAGGAGGATGGGTACAAGGGGAGAAGCACATGACGCAAGCTATTTGGCTCTATAATGAGGCTTGCTTGCTCGGATATTAAGATTGGAAACCAATAGAAGATTATCTGAGTACAGAAATTAATATCGGTCATATATACTCTACGACCTTGAAGCGACGTAAAATCGGGATGTATAAGAAAAAGAGCCAAGGAGGAATCTGCATCGGTGAATGTTTGAGGTTTGGTATATTGCAGTGGATCGATGACGGGATCTTGTCTAGGAGGGAGTCGAGCAAGCTCTTTCCCTTTCCCTCTTCTCTCTCTTTCAATAAGCACCATTCACCACACAAATTTCCAAAACTCGTTTTGTCTTCGTACCAATTCTTTACCATAATTGACGTGTCACCACCCGCCTCAACTCCATGTCCCATTAGTAGGCCCGAAATACCCAACATCTGGCATCGATTTGTACGCCACGCCCTCGGCATCGGCAGTATTCAGGTACACGTTATTCCCCCACCAGTCAGGGAAAGTGGCACCTGGGTATGAGATGCAAAAGAAAATAACAATGCCACTGATGGCAAGACCTGTATCAAGTGCAGCTGCCAAGATATAATTGTATTTGGTCCACCAAGCAAAGAACTTGCGCTTAATGAAGTAATTAAAGGCAAAGTTGACCAGCGCCCAGCTGGAATAGTTGATTCCGGTGGCTAAAAGGCTTCGAGTCAGCGACTGAAAAAGAAAAAAAGAGGCACTGGCAAGTTGCGGGACATACCAGGTGGGACGTTGTAAGTTCCGACAAAAATGAGTGGCCAGTTGATATACTTCCAAAACTGGCGTCTGGTATAACGATAGAGGAGGAAAGTCATAACTGGGGCGATAGCACCGATCCAGAAGAAATGCAACAGAGGGGAATAGATCTTGCCCACGGAGTACAGCCGGCGAGGCCCAACAAGACCCCAAATAACAGACGAAGAATAAACAGTCCGGCCATTTGGACAAGTGAACCCATCCGCCTGGTCAGACTCGCAAATCCCCGAAATATTACCAAGCATCCAAAGTGTAACACCCGCCTGGGTGAGTGCGCCTAGGATGGTGGCTACGAACTGCGCCACGAAGCAGGTACGTGGCGGCACTTTCAGATAGTGAGCCAATTTCATATCCATAGCAAAGTAAACACCCTGTCCCACGACATCCGTGGAGATGATCTTGAAAATCATGTTCGCGAGAGGCTTTCCTTCGAACAGATATCCACCAATGAACTCAGCCAGAACATTCAGCTGATTCGCATCCACGTTCGTAATTCCCTGCACGATACCGCAGGGAACCATGTATACAACTGGGATGATCAAGGCAAGAAAGACTCCGTAAACTGGGAGTTTAGTGTGGTAGACTTCGACTAGCGCAATGGCCATTGCCATTATAACCACGATAATTCCAGCGTACCAGTACCACGGCGTCCGACGATATGAGGCACGGATGAGGCGAGCGTGAACATCGAGCTTATTCCTGCCCTTTAGAGCAGCCCACAAGTCGCGGCTATGCCAGATAGCAATGTGCGAAAGCACTGAGGTTATGGCAGCAAATGAAAGTCCGTATACGAAGGCAAAGGTTGCGCTCAAGTATGGGGGCGAGTATGCTCGATAAGCTGCCGTATCTAGGGTATTATCCGCAGAAATGACCCGAGCCGTATCGTAGGCGGCGCCCGTGTTATCGTACACGTCGGCTGTCATGAGTGGGAGATAAGCCGTGAACCAGGTATTGGTGTAGTAGAGGGCGGGTGTGACAATCCAGTAAAAAAATGCAAAGCCTGCGAAGACATTCAACGCAGCCCATGAGGGTGATAGGAGTGGGTTAGTGTTGTAGGCGATCTGGCTCCAGTCAAAGGTGATTGGACTCAGACCGAGACCTGTCTGCATGCCGAAGAGATGGTTGACGATGACGTTCTTTGGTGCGATCCAGCAGACCCATGTGAAATAGGATAGAGCAGTGAACATAAGTCCGGGGAAGAAGTACCAGACAAAGGCCCCAGTCATAACATACATAAAGAATCGGAGACGGGTTATGCGCCATCCGTCTGCGACTGAGTTCGCTCGCGAATGCAATGTTTCTAACATGGCACAGTTTGATAATACACCTGGCCAAATGATGCGAGCTGGTTCAACGAGCCATGGAGCTGCGAGACCTGCGACGCCAAATCCAAGAAGTTGTGCAACAAGAACGATCATCACGTAGAAGCCGGGTTTGAGATCGAAATTGTAAAAGTTTTTGCTGGCAGCTTGGATAATGTTTGTCGCGTCCGCTGAAGCATACCCAAAAGACACATTGCTCATAATAACGATAAGCGCGTGTTCCTTGATATTAAACGACCTGTCTGGGTTGACAACGAATGTGCCCAGAGGCCCAAGTCGGACGGATGTAAGAGGAAGAGTCTTCGCCAGGAACACCCCGATCGGATAGGCAAGTAGCTCCGCTACCAGGGCTACAATATGAACCGATGGATAGCGCAGCGAAAAGAACTGATTAATTCCGGATCCAAGCATAGTGAAAACAATCCCTAGGAGCCACATTCGCACCGTATTGACCGGCATATCGGGGTCATCCGTCTCGGGGACGACAGCCCTAACTGTAGTAACTGTTAGTCCATCAACATATAGATCAGTAGTGAGCTAGGCACGCGCCTTCAGGGAATGGAGAGCGGTGCGACTCATAGCTGAACTCTTCATTCGTATTCTCCTCATTCTTTTCCAGGTTTATTTGGTCTGAATGACCTTCGACTACCTCTTCGTCCGCTCCGACGAGCGCGGGTTTGATTATGTCGGTATCTAACTCCTTGGAAGACATAGTATGGATATTTGCGCAGTCTCAGCGCATTGCTTGGTGTGAAAAAAGAAGCAAAAACGCACTGCTTACACATGCACGAGGTGCCCTTTTCTGTATCTGCTTTAATTGGCTATCGCCGGGGTGCGACGCGCGCTGAGGGGAAACAGAGATAACGCATTCCGACGGCGATTGATTTCCTTGTGGAGAATGTGGGTTCAGCTTAATTTAGCTTAAGATAGGTGGGCTGACCCCTAATTTTGTGTTCAATAATGGGTCTTTCCATTTTTGATTTGGGGATGTATGGGGTGTAAGTCATCGCTTATAAAGGAGTGTAAAGGTGTTTCAATACTAAGGCCCCTCCAAATTTAGTTGGGTGGCCGAATCTCGTTATCTTATGAAAGCCATAAGTGCTTCCAAGGTTAGCCTTAGTAAGAAAAAATTCGAAAGATAGCGATAGCAAGTGATAAGAATGACTAGGGTTGAGTCCGGGGTACGCGTATATATGTTAAAGAGATTGGTGTTTCAGAGCTATGTCATACCCAATCATCTATTATTATAGCCAGGCTGAGCGGGCTGAGCGGCCTATGCGGTTTTCGAGCCGGCCCGAAAGATTACGACCTTAATTCCCACCGCGTGCGTAGGGTTACTTTCGGCTTCGATGTAAGGCATTAAGGCTTTAGTGCCTTAATTTGGTTCGATGTTGGTATTAACTAATCCTGACCGCTTTCGGATCCTAGGATATAGTACAAAGTATATTGTAAAGCTTTCCGCGCGGAATAATTAGTACATCGGACTAAACTTTTGAATTGATAGAGTAAAATGATAAGCCAGATGTTGAGTTCTAGTTATACATTTATCGACAGTAGAATTCACGCATTTTTTATACCTTGAAATTGCCTCATATTTCAGCAATTTAGGTTCAAACCGCCTAAAATTATACGATACATGGATTTGTATGGCAGAAATAGCTCGATAGTTAGTAGTGATCCCAAGAAATATTGAATTTCTAGCTATCGCAAACAACTTTAGTCTATGCTAAAAGATGGTGATTAAGAGGTTTTCATCTCTCTAAAGGAGTCGTTTCTTTGCCGACCAACGTCTCCACACATATAGTAGACCTACAGTAAGTAGGTGTAGATATCTAAATTCAAGCAACCTATCATGATGCCTCATTAAACTCTCAAATTTAATCCATGTCAACATCGCAGTCTTGCTCATCATATTCTCCCCAAACTTCTTTCAAGTCTTCAACGCGCCAAGACGTTGCCCAGCCAGTCTCGCGTTCAATTCTAACCAAGATTTGAACAATGGCAGTGTGCTCAGAATGGTGAGACATAGCCTTTCCAGCTATCCACAAAGGCTGAAGTGCATTGGTCCAGCAGCCACTAGTCACAGATAACGTAAAGTTAGTAGTCGACTACATTTTCTATGTTTTTCAATTGGTTAAAGAAGGGTCGAGAGACTCACTGATGAGCATTAGATGCGGATATTGCACATATTTGTCGAGCATGCCAAAGAACCGATCTCTATTTGTTCATTAAGCTTAGCAGGGAAAAATACATAGAAGATGCCCTACCGGTCTCTTGCTCAATATCAATGTCTTTGGTTTTCGCTGAAAGAGCAGTAAGGCTGCTACATGATAAAGTTGATTACCAGATACTGACAGATATTAGTGGTGACAGGTCAAAAATCAAGAGCAACGAACCTTACTGGCAGCCCCGTTCCCATACAACGCGATCGGAAAAGCCTGATCCAATCCTTCACGTTTGGAAGCAGTAACGTTGAATATAGATTTCATCTGAGAGGGTCGATTATCATACCACTCTTCTACACGATCGAACGAATCCGTCCAGCGCTGAACATATGAGTCAACCCCATCGCTGGACACGGACTGGCATGATGTGCAAGGGTTAGAAACTTTCGAGGCACAGCCAAAAAGAACGCTCAACGTTCGCGCCATGAGATATACTGTATAGTTAGCATACGTATCGAAATTGGCCTTGGCTGAAGATATAAATGTCTCCGCAGCTTCCTTGTAACTCATATTAATTGGTCGCCAATTGTGGAGAGGTATGATCGTTTCCTCTTCAGATATGAGACCGCCGCAGATATCTGATTAAATTCAGAACTCTGAACAAAAATGTTCTATTGGAAAGGGGGTCTCGTACCCATCCGAGCAAAGCACCAGAAAAGTGCTTGTTCTTCTTTTCCAGAAAAGCCGTTGATACCGGCTGCCTGAATAAGGTACGCACAGCCGTCTAAATGGCGACGCCATTCTTTGGGATTGCCTATCATTGGTTAGATTTCAAGTGCACAGTAATGGCAAGGTTAGATACATACAACTCAACATTTCTAAGACACACAATATAACACAAGAGGCTATTACAGGAGTGGTTTTATTTCCCAACTCAGGTAGAAGGAGGTGGATAGCTTCTTGATACAGAGACAGGCTCTCCGACTGTGATTTCCGATTTTGCTGCCTTTCGAGTTGTCGCGCTGATAATGCCAACATTGAGTAGCGAAGATAAATTGAAGACTTTGCCATCTGAGGGAAGGTGGAAGCAAAATGGCGTTGATTGTCAAACATGTCGAGCTTTCCAGCGTTAGTATTATTCTCAATATAATGGGGCTGAACAGTCAGGTTACCCAGGAGCAAATTTCATTAAGATAATTTTCCCACAAGGTGTGTTCCCTTTCGGGTGATAATTCAAACGGTTTGCTATATTCCAAGCCTCGGGGTTGCCTCTCGGTCTTTGAAAACAACCCAGTATGCACTAAAGAAACGGAGCCTTGCGAGCTGCGACGACTCGGTACATCCAACTGGGCGGTCCACAGTTGGCGATTCCGTAGAGTCTTATGAAGCGCCTCATAAGCAGATCCCGGCAAAAAGACGTCGTTGGTAAAATCCGCTGGGTCGGAAAAAACATTGTGGTCGAACAATGGCGATGGTATATGCTGGTAAGAGCTATTCACAGATGAATGGAACTGGGTACTGGCTAAACCCTCTAGCCAACTCAAATCGTCGATCACATACTCAGGGCTGGAATTATAGGGATTCGACGAGTCATCTCTAGACCCGGGAAGGGTATTGTAGTCGCATTGTGTAGCTGGCGGATGGCTATATTGAAGAGACGCTGCCTGAAGTCCCAAATCATGGCCATGAATCTCATTCCCAATATACCCAGTGGGTCTGTTTTGGCTGTCCTTTTGGGGTAGATGTGACGATGTATCATTGGAGTGGGAAGGTGATAGACTTTGACTCGGATTAGGACTAGGGATCTCATTGGTAAGCAAGGGAGGAGTGGAGTCCGAGACATTTTCCGTCGTAGCCACAGGCAAGGGCTCAGCACTGGTACTTGAAGTAGGGAGCAGAGGCGGCTCATGTACAGGTCCTTGCTTGGAAAACACATGAGCGTGTCTGTTGGGTGTGGCTTTTGAGCCTGAGACTTTCGGGGGGGCATTCAAGATCCGGAATCTAGTCCGAAACTTGGTTTTACTTGCTGCCACGCCTCGACTCATCGAAGGGTGATCTGATTCTAGCACCTTGATATTGGACTCGCGAAAGGATCCGAACTTTCGCCATTGGCAGTCGTCACCTCTGGTCCTGCACCCCGTGCAAGTAGGCTTAACCTCGTCGCATTTTCGCCGCCGACGACTGCAGTTGACACATCCAGTTCGCGCACGTTTCTTACGCTCCATCCCTAAGCTTGGAAGGGTTGAATCTTGTGATTCGAGCGGAATGGGAGTTTCTGGGTTCCTTCTGCCATCATCGTGATCGGTGCCTGAGCTGTTCCGGGTTGTATTCGGCATCTCCCTGCGCAAAAAGCTATCATTCTAGTCAGTTGAAGGTATTGTCGAATGTTTATTGCGCAGCAGATGGGAGGTACAATATTGAAGAAGAAAAGGAACGTCTCCAAATCGGGAAATTTTAAGCGCCGGCTTGGAACTACGTACAAGCCCGGGAGCTTGGCACCCTGCTAGTAGGTGCGGGGTATCCCCGAGTGGCAACACAGTGTACATCTAAAAACGGTGTTGAAATTCCCATACATTGATCACACACCATAGGTGAAAGTCAAACCCTGCATCTATTTGTCGATATCAAAGGTTTCTCATACCACTAGACGCCGCAAACTGCAATTTATGTATATATACACCCATAGATAGTTAGCAAAAGAACCAATATTGAACCTAGCACAAGAAGTAGCCTAGAGCCCATGAATTTTCGTTGAATTTTCGGGGTTTTAAATACATGTAGAAAGTGGGAGGAAGTAGAAGTTTAATGCCATATATACTATATTAGCTAGCCCAATTGCTGTCCTAGGTAGAGACTGGAACAAAAATTGTGGGTATTACACCCTATCAATATATATATATATATATATATATATTTATTATATCTGAACCCGTCGCTGGCTTCTGGTGTTATTTCAGCAATAAGATGCGTGAACTTATTCCTTGTCAGTTTTTGTCGCCAATTAACGGACACTAGTACATACAGAATAGCATACAGGATAAATGCATGTTTCCTTATCAGGAAAATGGATGCGCAACCAAGTGTACAATAGATTCAATTCTCTAACACAATTCAACCCCATGGCATGTCCTCAACATTCCAGGCACTCGACCTACAGCACATTCTCCACTTTTTTGTGGCTCCATCTTTCCTTAAGCAGTAGATTTTAACATCCATTCAATAGAAAGCTGACTCCATGACTAGGTCATTATTTGTGCATGTGTGTAGTTTGTCTAGATCGGCAACTGGCATTGAAAAATTCGACGTCTAACGGACTGCATTAGACTTCATTCCACTATGATTGACTGAGCTGAACACTTTCCTAGTTAGGTTGTATATAGGCGCCGCGAGCATTTGATTGACCGCGGATAATACCCTAGAGCATATGTCTTATATGCAACGGAAATACTCCAATTTATTGTTCAAAATTACTAAATCTACTATTTGCGTCCAACCTTGATTGATAATGGCCCCTTCTATTTCCCTTGATCACCCAGCACCAGTAGTTGTGCCAGAGTCAAATGAGACCCCTGCTACCCTAGTGCCTACCAATGCCCTCTTCTCTTTAGCCGGTCGCACAGTCATGATTACCGGAGGTGGTCGGGGCTTCGGTATGTGCTTGGCTGCTGCTGTCCTCGAGGCTGGTGGTGACATTGCCTGTCTCGATTTACTCGCCGAGCCAAGCGAGGAGGAGTGGAGCGCCATACAAAAGACTGCTAAGCAATGCGGTCTTCAGGCAACCTACACCCAGTGCGACATTACCAATGAGGAGAGCACGAAGAAAGCACTAGAATGTATTGCGGCCGAGGGACTACGTCGGAATAAGCCCCTTAGTGGTGCTATTACTTGTGCTGGCATCCAACAAATGGTCCCTGCTCTTGATTACCCTATTGATGGATACCGGAAGATGCTGGACGTCAAGTGAGTTAGATTATGCTGTTGCGATACACGAGCATCCCTTTAATTGCCCTTCTTTCGATTTAGCGTTCTTGGAACATTTATTCCAGCTAAACACTGTGCGCGCATCTTCGTGGAGCAAAAGACCCCAGGGAGCATTGTAATGATCGCGTCTATGTCCGGTCAGATCGCTAACCGAGTAAGTTTGGCAACACATCTCATTAGAACACGATAAACTGACAAGTAAATCTTGGTAGGGATTGACCTGCACCGCATACAACTCCTCTAAGGCTGCTGTGCACCAAATGTGTCGATCGGTTGCTCAAGAATGGGGCCAGCACAACATTCGCGTGAACACACTGTCCGCAGGAGTAAGGGATTATTTTCATGCTCTGACTTGCCTGAATGAGTTCGGCTAACCATTGGTCATTTAGTATATTCGCACTGCTATGACCGATGCTTTGCTTCAGGAGAAGCCTGACTTGGAGGAAACCTGGATGCGCGGTGCACTTCTCGGTCGTCTTGGCGCCCCAGAGGACTTCAAGGGCCCAATTGTATACATGCTTACTGATGCTAGTGCTTGGATGACCGGTGCTGATATCCGAGTTGATGGCGGTCACTGTGCGTCAGCATAAGTAAAGAGTGAGATAAATGAGAAATGAAATAGACATCCCATGGCTGTTCTTTTGGCGTTTGAAAGTGGACTTGGATGGGCCCATATCAACTTCCTGAAATTAGAGGGATTTATCAGAACATCCTATATCTGCTAGGCCCAAGGCAAAATATTGCGCTATGATCTACGTATATTCTCAATAACTCCAATAATAGAGCAGTAATCAATACTAAGCAAAACCAGAATCAATGAAGATATTGACACACAAACAATCAGCAATGATATTGGACGTGTCTAGTGATGCCGAACGTAGCTAAACATCCCAATGCCCATCAGTATGCTTTCACTTTCCATCATTTTCCCACCATCGCGCCGCCGATGGAATCCATAGGCATGACAGGTTGATAGAAAATAAGCCCATACCACTAGATCAAACGTAGCAGGGTCACTCATGACAAAAAGTTTTAAATGAAGGTTTATCAGTAGTATTTTAAGTAGGAGTTGGTAGGGTAGTTGTAGTCCTGATGGTTATCTGATCACCATGACTATATTCATGCGCGTTCTGAGTACACGGACATACCATATTGTATGCACGGAACTTTAGGGTAAAGTTCTGTATAGCTTAAAAATTAAAGGCAGTGAAATTCAGAGAGAGCTGCGTGGGAGAAAAAGACGATCTCTCAGAACCATCTATCATTGTCCATAGAGCAACATAGTACATAAACTGAAATTGCCACATTCAGTGCTCATACCATAACCATGTTCCATGAATAATAAGTCCATACGTATAGCTCGCAGTCTACGTTGAAAAATCGATCAGCTTGTTTTCTTTAGAGAAAAATTCAGCGACATCCGCTGCCAATGCTTCCGGCCGCTCCCACGCAATGAAATGACCACCGCTATTGTGCTGTCTCCAAAATTGAATGTTACAAGTTTCCTCCATCCAGTCACGAGGATAAAGCCAAAGCTGAGAAAATCAGTGTGAGATTCAGCGGGCGATGCGTGTCTGATCTCACCTCTTTTGGAAATAGCGAGCCGCCAACTGGCTGCGAGATGTACCTTCCCAGCATACTGTTTGGGTTTTCATTCAAGACCACTTCTGCCTCCTCGTAAATCTGCATTGCGGCACTTGGACTTCCCTGGTAGTGAATGAATGCCCAGTGAATGACCTCATCGGGTGTCCAAGGGTAATTGTCCGTCCATGCTTTCAATTTACCGACAAACCAAGCTAGCATGCCCACGGGTGAATCATGAAAGGCATACCCGAGTGTAACTGGTTTGCTTTCCTGAATCCTTTGATAACCTCTCTAAGAATGCATGTCAAACAATTTGGCCTTGATGCTCTGATAAGGAAGTGGTTACCTCTTTAGTGGCAAACCACTTGGTTCGATCTAGGTCGCGTAGCTCCTGGTCACTGTAATCATTCTGTTTATACCGAGTCCATTTTGTAGGCGACTTCTCTTTTACGGGAGGAATCGCCAAAAACATGTTAATGTGGATGGCTCGCACAGCGTCAGAGTGATTCAACGCCATATACCGGACAATGGAAGAGCCCCAATCGCCACCCTACTCCCAAACAGAATTTGTTAGTCATATACTGCATGAGGCCTTTTGGATATAGTATTATCTTACTTGGCACACGTATCTCTCATACCCAAGATTTTGCATTAGATTGGCGAAGCACTGGGCATGTTTCTCAAGGCCAAAACCGGATTTCTTGGAGTATGAGCTAAATCCGTATCCAGGAATCGAAGGGGCAACAACATGAAATGCCTGAGTATCTAGGCTTTTAGGCTCTGTCAAAAGCGGAATGATCTTTAGGGCTTCTAAGAACGACCCAGGCCTGTATAGGTAAGCAAATAAACCCCGATATATAACAGCGAGGAGTAATACCATCCATGAACAAAGATGAGAGGAATAGCATCTGGTCGGGATGATCTATGGTGCAGGAAATGCAAATCGATTTTGTCGAACCCCTGGACTAGAACAGAGGTTTTGAAGTGATGGAACGTATTCAAATGGACCTCGAACTTGCGCCAGTCGTACTCGTCCCGCCAGTAATGGACCAAAGATCTGAAATTCTCATGGCCAATCTCGAGATCATTCCATTCTACCTCAGCCATTCCATCATCAAGCCGTGCATACTGCAGCTTGATGTGGATCTCCTCCAACAAGCCGTCGGGAATGTGAACCTATCTGATCGTGAGCTTCAAAGGGTAGTAGTGAGCATTTCATACTAAAGGGTCCAACCTTGAATGGAACAATGTCAGTCATCTTCTCTCCTGTAGTGAATTAACGAACCCCGTTGATAATTATGTGCAGCGCAGCGTTAAGTAAATAGCTCGGCGGGGCGATGGTGCGTGGAAAAGTGTCGCGTATTGTTACCCGAATCAGTAATCTATGGCTCACCGTGGGCTTCCACATACACCATTGAAAATTTCGTCAAAATTTACCCCAGTTTCATCTGCGCCTGGTATTGCCTATACGGGTATAGTCCCGCATTCTCCGTAGAGAAGAATTCTAGTGGAAACCCGGGGTATTGGTATGGAAGGGAATGGCTTCGACAGGGAACATATCCTAATCGTGTAATTATATAGATTAATACTCTGTGCCTCCCCTCCCCCAAATGCTTTTAAGATGAGAGGTTTCATTCCACAAACTGACAAACCTCTGCATCTATTTAAATTCAGCTGGTCAGCCCACGACGGCTTTTTAAATCTTCACAAACATGAGACTCCGAAGCCCCAAGCAACATGCCCTCTTTGGCCAAGGCCATTCGGTCATCAACGTCGTTACACTCACGGCTGGGTGTGGAATGCTGGTACAGAAAATAGTTACCTTTCGTAAGCACTCATTTTGATGCGATGCTGACCAGTGGTTGTTGGTTTGAAAGCTACTTGGCTATGATCAAGGAGTAATGGCAGGTCTCATCGGTGGGCCGGGTACCCCTTTTACCCTTACATTCAATGACCCTTCGGCAGCAATGCTGGGTTTAATGGTTGGTATGTTGCGCAGAGTCCAAAGACGCGATGGTGGATACTTACACGAGTTTCCTTGTAGCAATATACGAGATCGGTTGTTTTCTTGGAGCTGTATTCGTTTTCTTGGCCGGGGAAGCGTCTGGAAGGCGCCTCTGCATGATCGGTGGAACATCAGTTATGGTAATTGGCGCTACTGTGCAAACTGCATCGATGAACATGACGCAACTCATCGTGGGTCGTATCGTGACTGGCATAGTAAGTGTTTCCGTGAATTGAGATATTGCTGCATGCTGCCGGATATCTAACCATTTCGTGCTACCTATAGGGCAATGGTATTAACTTTTCAACAATTCCTGTGTGGGCGTCCGAAATGTCAGGATTTGAGGAGCGTGGAAAGGTCGCTGCATTCAATGGTTGGCTTATCGTGTGGGGGGGTTGTCATCGCCTATTGGTAAGTGGATCGTATACTGCGTACGTTTTGGAATTCCTAAGAGTTGAATAGGGTCGACTATGGATGTGCAAATTACCAAACTGATGTACAGTTTCGGCTTCCAATCGGTAATAACCTCGGCGATCATTCGACTTTCTGCAAGAATAATGGCTAATATAAAGGAAATCCAGCCCTTCAAATGGTATTTGGAATTATCATGGCGTTGTTTGTGCTTGGTGAGTCCTCTAGATAGCCTGGATTTCTATTCAGTGATGCACAGCATTAACCCTGCGATGCAGTTCTTCCTGAATCCCCTCGATGGCTTGTGTCTGAAGGGCGAAACGAAGAAGCTAAAGCTGTACTTCATTGGATCACACCAAAGCCTTCTGGTTCTATATCTAACTATGAGGATACGATTAATGAATCATACGATCGGATTGTTCAAACAAGGGAGATTGAAATGGCGTCCGACGGAGATTTCTCATACACTGAACTATTTGGCGGTGGAAAGATGCAAAATTGGAGGCGTGTAACTATTTGCTTCGGTGTTATGGCTTTTCAACAGCTTAGTGGGTAAGTTTGATCTTCGAAGGCGCATAATTCTTGGTATGTCCATGGCTAATATGACTTGGCAGCATCAATGTTTTGACATACTATATCTCCTACGTCTTGGAGCATTCAGTCAGTTTGAGTCACCACTCGTCTTTACTGATAGGAGGTTTCAATGGAATGGAGTATCTCCTAGCAGCCCTCATCCCTATCTGGACCATTGAGAAATTTGGTCGCCGAAACCTGCTTCTGATAAGTGCCACTGGGCAGATGATCTCAATGATGATTCTTAGTGGTGCTATTTGGTATGTGACGGAAAGACCTGGCACCGCTGGCAGCTTTACAATGGGTATCGTCGCAGTTGTTTGCTTCTTCCTTTTCAACACCTTTTATGCGCAAGGGTTTCTCGCAATCCCCTTCTTTTACCCCGCCGAAATTTCAAATCTTAGAACAAGAAGCCGAGCTGTTTCCATATCGGTTATGAGTAACTGGCTATTTACCTTCCTTGTGGTTATGATTACTCCTGTTGCCACGACAAACATTGGATGGAGGTATGCTACATCTCTCATCTTATGTTGCAATATCAAATATTCTAATATCACAGCAGAACCTACGTTATCTTCGCTGTGCTCAACGCAACATTCATTCCCATTATCTACTTCTTCTTTCCTGAAACTGCAGGGCTTAGTCTGGAAGCCCTTGACTCCCTGTTTGATTACGGTGGAGTAACGCGAGGTGTCTTGAGCAAGCAGCACCGCCACCGCATGCTTGAACTGTCAAGTTTTGCCCTTGATACCTCTGAAGGTCTTGGTGATGGAGAGGCGAAACAAGATTCCTCCAATCATGTCGAGTATACGGAGTGAATGACATTTGGACAAAACTTGACATATTTGGTGGGGAATACGTTTGTGTAGTGTCACACTCAATATAACTATCTAAATATTGAAAACATGAATATACTTCCCAATTAACAAATTATGGCAGAACTTGCGTTCCTTTGTGGACTACATACTGCGAATTACGGGCTAAGTCAATATCTTTAGAACGATAGTTCATGTAATTGTTTCTATGTTCGCAGATATAGTGCAACAGGACGAGAGTATGATCCGTTACAAGACTGCATATTGTAAAAGTTCGACAGAAGTAAGATTATTTAAATAACATGATTTATCAAAGCTTGTCTATTGGTCAGATTGTGCGCTACTTTTGTGGAAAGCGCCAATGCGCTGTGATCCTGCTAGTCACTGCCTGTAAACTGTATCTGATGTGCTATCTCGACTGGTATAGACTGTATTTAATGCCCAATAAGTTCCAATTTTCTTGAATATTGGAGGATATATCCTTTTTTAAAGGCCATTTTGCTAGATGGAAACAAATTCTGATTGAAAATTGCTGTATCAAGTTATGTTGATCCCCTGAGGAAAATATCCATTCTTGGCCTAAGGTAGCATAAAGTTTCTAGGTAAATAAACGCACTGGTCGTCCTGGAAGATAGGTGCCTGGATCATTGAAGTGGAGTCCCATATCTAAGGATGCGATATGATCAAGCTCCTCCTTCTCCATGTCAAAGCCTGTCACATCCAAATTCTGCTTCATCCTCTCCTCGTTCGTGCTCTTCGGAATCACACAAAGGCCACGCTGAGTAGACCAACGTAACAGAATCTGGCTTGTCGTCTTCTTGTATTTTGTTGCTAGCTTCTTGATCAAATCGATCTCAAACAACGTAGGAGTCTGAGCAGCCTTTGTGGGGAAACTCGAAGGAAGTTCCAAGAACGATTGTGGCCCAAAAGAGCTGTATCCAGTAACCAACATGTCCTGGTCTTTGCAAAATTCAACAAGAGTGGGCTGGACAAGATAAGGGTGGTGCTCTATAGAACAAAAGTATAATCGTCAGTCCAGTTATATAGCCAACCATTCTCTCGAATACAGTAAATACACGTGCGAAATTCCAAAGCCACGTACCAATTTGTAGCATTGATGGCTTGACTTTTGCGTAAGTGAAGATATCAAAGATTGCCTGTGAGTTGAAGTTTGAAACTCCAATGTTCTTCACGAGGCCCCGGCTATACAATTCCTCGAGAGCCTCCCATGTGTCTCTTATTGGGGTCATCTCTAGCTTCACTTCCTTTTGACCATCATAATACCATCCCTATAGCGAATAAGAGTTAATCACTAATCATTCATAATTAAAATGATGCTACTCACTCTCGTGCACTCTGGGTTGTACTGAAGAGCGATGGGGAAGTGAATGAGATACATATCGATGTATCCGAGACCCCACTCGTCAACTTGCTCTGCGCCAACTTTAATGGCACGCTCCCTAGAAGATGCGACAATTAGCAGTAGCCAATTTTTAATACAGGCCAATAGTACTTTTCGTGGCATGTATTCCACAACTTAGTGGTCACAAACACATCTTCGCGTGTGACGAGGCCTTCTTCAATAGCGCGTTTGATCCCCAGTCCTGCCTCTCGTTCATTACCATAATCGTATGCTCCATCAAAAAGCCGGTATCCAGCTTTGATAGCCTGACCATCTATCAGTTATCCTATGATACTAATTAGCTAGAATTATGGGTTCTCACCTGGTAGACAACTTCACTGGCTTCCTGTGGAGGGACCTTCCATAGACCAAAGCCAACTTGAGGAATTTGCTGTCCAGATCCAGGAATTCTCAGAGTGGGGACTTGAACCATCTTCGATGATATGCCGCGTAATGAACTCGGATAAATGTCTGTTAAGAAGTCTAGTCGTAGTTCCTTTCAGATGGTTTCGCTCTTTTCAATGCTTACCGTATTTCAAGGTCCTGTTATCCAGTATCTCTAGATCAACCTCCTCTTGGTGTCGAATGAAAGGTTGATTGGTGTACAATGATGGCTCACAAGGCAATCAATTCTCTTAAATAACGTAGCCTGAGATCTCTCATAGCTATCCGATTTTCCATGATAGCTTACGATTGTCGAACGGGCGCTTATAGTTTCCACTTACGGAAATCGTACTCTTGTTCTAACCCAGTATAGACGAACAACCCACCTACCATGGCAGTGGGGCATATGAATGTTGTAATGTAGCTCCGCGGATTCCCTATAAACAGGATAATACCGATCCGCATAAGCGGCTATTGCCATTCCGCAATCAACGTAATCAGAATTATATAGTTATCTAAGCTAACTTATTTCACTAGCAAGCCGGCCACAGAAGCGAACCGGCCACCGATCCAATTGTATTAATTTCAAATATAAATATCTTAACCAAAACTCCAATAAATTAAATATACAAAATCATCTATCTAGTAGGGTATCTATTCAATTTCTACCCTACCTCTCTATACCTACTATATCTTTATAAGGCCTATATACGTGGTTCTAAAACCAATCTATTATGTAGAGTAGTAGTATCAGCAGTAGAGGGAGGTACTTTATCTATTCTTATAGGCCTAGAAATCAATTAGGAGGCTTCTTAAACTAAGAGGCCTTCCTTAATAGGGATCTATCTTCGAGATCAAATACGCTTTTACTTCTACTTTGTAAAGGTATACTGTTTTCAGGTGTACGGTCTATCAACCGGGTAAGATACGATGGTAGGAGACAGGAACAGATTGTATTGCCTCGACGTGACAAGCCTAACTCTTGTCAGAGCAAAACAGGATCCAGGGGAGTCCTAGGTTACCTATCACTATACCCCGTTTTGATCACATGGGGTCAGCAACGAACCAGTGGTGCTCCACTCTCGTGGCCCAGCCGATAAGGTTAAGCGACAATTTTGTTTTCATGTTTTAAGGATCTTTTATCCGTTACACAATCGTATTCTACTAAATCTTCAGACAATTGAGAGTGAATTAGTGGTATGGTAGGTGGTTAAGAAGAAGGAGGTAAAATGACTACATTCACTCCAAAATAGCATGAATGTAGCATTCTCTGATCAACTAGTTAACTTGACTAACTAGGACACTATTTCGCCGGGGTGGAATTATCCAAGCCAGGGGAAACTGAAAGAAGTCATAAGAAAGGGGCTGACCATTGATTCACATCTTTCGGGCCTCAAGACTGCCCCTCGTTTTGCTTTCCCATTTCGTTCCACATTGATTCCGGAAACATTCCATCGAACAACAACTCATCATTCAAGGGAAGCTGATACCAATCAAAGAATTCATCCAAGAAAACATCATTGCTAGGCATGGAGATTGACATTTGGGGTGTCCCTTGTATTTGGGTCTCCTGCGTGCTCAGAAGGCGTTCGGGTTCTTCTTCATACGATATCCCAAGTACCCCACAAGCATCAGGCTGTAGAATGGAATTGATAGAGTCTCCTCGAGCAGATTTCAAGAACCTAATTGCACGGGCACTACACTTGGTTGTGAAGGCCATATTACTCAGGACGTGGACATTCAACCTGTGAAGTTTTTCGGATCGCTGTGCCAAGCCTGTGTCATTGGAATTGATGTTGAGAATATGTATCAGGGATGATATCGTTAGGCTTTGGACTGTAAAGGGAGATAGGCGGTTCTGTATTGATATTAACACTTGCATTTGAGAGTAGTCCCAGCCTCAAGTAACGGGGAGCATTAAAACAAGAGAGATAACAAGGCGTAACCTACCAGAGGAAAGAACTTTTTATAAGAGTTGATAATATAGGTGATGCGGATAGCAAAATATGTGGCAGATTGTAAATGTACCGTGTGAGGATTTTTAGGGCCGTTCAACGTATTCGTAGACGGAGTTCCTTGAATGAATGATCGATGGAGCATAATCTTCAAGGTGTGATATTGCAAACTGTAAAGCGCATTAGAGATGGTCCATTCGGCTGGTCATTCTCTCACAGAGTTGCATACTTAAATTGGTAGATATGTGGCGGTAGTGGAACGGTAGTAGTTGATGGTAACCTAAGCGCACTGGGTAAATTATTATAGAATTCAGACATAGCAACGTGCGTCTGTGTCGCTCTATATTCCTTATCCTCAAGGCTCAGGTGGCTTGATAATGCATAACTAGTTGGAAGTTGTCAGCAACTTATATAGAGGAAATTTATGTATCAAATTCTATATTGTCGCACTTTGAAACTTACATCTCATCAAGAACCGGCGATACCAAATGTAGCAAGTCACAGGCATATTGGAAATTAGACATGCTATGGGAGGTTAATTTCAATGGATCGTTTGGAGTTGGCCACGGGTTATATTCGACGGCAGGAACGGTTGGGACTGGCGTTGGCTGTATATCACACTCACGGATAGCACTTGGCTGACCCAAAATTTCTGCGATGTGCCTAAGTAGTGTTAGCAATATGAACTTCACCTCAACAATCACCAGAAACGAACTTCTCCAGCATCCAGATACCCCGCCACGCAAGTGCTTTAGCTTCCCCGAGGTCTTTTTCATTTGGCACATCATGACCACTAAGTCCCTGAATATGGAGCTCTAAAAACAGAGCGTGTCGGAGAGCTATGCCTAGATACAGCAAAAAAAAAAACACGATTGGATCAGAAAGGCCGAGCTACCAAGGGCGCCTGGCGAACTTACTAATGTACTGAGATGCCAAGGGTAGATTGTCAATTACCAACTCTCTCATAGAAAGCAATCCTACTGTCAAGACAAGTGAAAGGCTCGGCTGTTCTAATTGGTCAAACACTGAATCCTTAGCATGCCTCACTAAGGTATGCATTTGTAAGTCCCATGATTGAAGCTGATGCTCATCAATATACTGAGAACTTAGCGACAGTATTGCGGATAAGACTGAAGGTGTGCAATAGCCATTTGCACCATCTTCGGAGAAATCTTTTCGAAGAAACGGTTCATGGACCAAAGGAGGCCAAGTATTTTGCCAAACGAAAAAATCTTCCAAAAGTTGATCTCGTATGTCCGATTGAAAATGAAGAGGGGGACTTCCTTGTAAATGCGCCTTCTGCGTGGACGTGGCATTGTCTGTTTGTAGATCGCCGCGTTTTCCAAGGAAGCGTGGGTGACCGTACGCGTCAGACAACCTAGGATTTGGCGCAAGGCCTTTGAATTCTTCAGAAGAAGGGTTCAAAGGGCTTCTGATCATCTCCTGGTCGAACTTTGCTGATCCCTCTACAGAAGTAGCCATGTCGAGAGTCGAGAAAGGACGAACAGATAATTTTTGAGACTGTGCAAGCTGGTGCTCCAGGAGAGCGATTCTGGAATGCAATGCATGAATATAACACTTTGTTGGCGGTCTAAATTAATGTTAGTATTGGCTTACTTGGTTCGTTTCCCCATACCGACTTTCTCTTTTCAAGATGATGAGGGTACTCGCAATGCCGCCCTGCCTTATCGCAAAGGGTGCATACTGGCTTTAGACCATCGCACTATTCATGTGTTCGGTCAGAAACATCACGGAAATTGTACCTAGTCGTTACTTACTCGGCGTTTTTTTTTTCTACATGGTGTACACGCAACGGACACTCGCAGCCGTTTCTCTGGGGTTGACATGGTTCAGAAAGCGGGAATAGAATGTTAACAGAATAAAGAACAGCTCATTAGTCTCTTAGGAGTGACAGCAGAGTATTCCTACTCAGTCCTCCACATATATGTGCACAGTATTGAGGTACTATTGATGCCATCAGCGTAGAAAGGTTGAACTGGAGTTTTAAATCCACATTTGGTCGACCTCGGGATCTCGCGCTTGTTGATTATGTAAGCATACTGTTGAAGGTTCCATGGTTGTAGGCACTTGCACCCCACATGTTTCCACAGCTCCAATGCAGGCCAAAATTATCGGCATAAAAGTGATAATATGTGGACATGGTGGTTGCTATATGGAGGGCCCCTGCCAAAAATTCCTGGGGTGGATTCTTGTGGTTAGATTGACTATGCTCTTGAGACTCATAATCGAAGTATACGTCAGGGGAAATCATAGAGCATGTTGGAGACGCAAGCATAATTAGAGTTCAAGGAAATATCGTTAGGATTATAGGCTAGGGTTTTTATGAGCTTAATTTCTAACTTTGCCAATTTTCGTAGCCGATTCCATCGAGGTCCACAAATTTCGTAGATCAGGCCTCATCCTTCTTTTCCCGTCTGGAGTTCCATTCTCGATCAAAGCGTGTAAGCGATCTCTGGGCGGTTGGGACACAGTCCAGCGCTTTGATCGAGGTCCTTCCAGGTCGACTGATCATGTAACTTACTGCGTCGGCTAGATCTTCCGAAACAAGTGGCTCATAACCATAAAAGAATTCATCCATAGCCTTCGGGTCATAATTGACTCGCTGAAGGTGGAAATGGCTTGCGACACAGCCCGGTCGAAGCACTAGAACCCGGATGTCTGACCCTGCTGTTTCCGAACGCAAGCTGTTACTAAATCCCTCGAGGCAGGCTTTGTTTGCGTGATAGACTGCCTCGCCATCGAAGGGCGGGCATTCAAGTCCTGTTACGGACGAAACATTGACGATTGTGCCTCGCTTCCTTGGCCACATGCTCCTGTTCAAGACAGAATGAGTGGTATACATAACACCAGCAATATTAGTGCCGTTCATTTGGTTAACAAGTTCGATTGGGAGCTCCCAGAACCTCGCCGGTGCACCAAGTGCAAGGCCAGCCTATTATAAAGGTTATCAGCTTAGCCAAATCACCGACCCTATGAGAAAGTATAAACTAACATTGTTGACTAGGATCTCAATATCACCCAACTCCGAGACGACAGTTCGAACTGTATCGTCGACATTCGTGTGATTTTGAATGTCAATCGCAAATACGCTAACTTTGACGTCCGGATATTTACTCGTAATCTTCATCTTCACTGTATCCAGCTTGTCCTGTTTTATATGAGCACAAATTTACAAGCCTCCCATATGTGCAAGACTTACTTTACTCCTTGCCAGTAGCGCAATATTCATACCCTTCGCAGCCAGCGCGAGAGCAATGGCTTCTCCGATGCCCATGGAGGCACCAGTCTAGGTCAAATAATTGTCAGCGTGCATAGCCTATACTGTTGAAGAGTCGCCACCTACAACAAGTGCTGTCTGCCCTTTGAGTGATAGTTCCATAGTAACGGAAATTTGAAGAGAATTCGTTTGTTGTGCAGAGAGGCTGATTGTTGAAAATAGAAATCCGGAGTACAAATTTTGTAAACAAGGGTCAATATTACCGATATGATATCGTGGTATTAAATAGCTTTCCAGCTTGTTAACCCTTCATCGACCACAAAAAGTTCCCAAGATACTAGACATCAATCCAAGATTACGTCATATTAAAACAAACCTGGGAAAGCGGGTAATGGCAAGCCGCAGTGGACTGCGGCTAATGTCCTTCCGCCGGGTCCAAATTTTCACTACATACGTAGTAGGAAGGGAGCGGTTAAGATTTCCAGATCGGGGCCTACCTTGTATCATTGAATCCAGGTTACCGTGGTATTAATTCTTGAAACAAGACTCCCTTATTTCCACAGAATATGTAAGCACATAGTGTTACCTAGGTACGCCCTTCAAAACTATGGAATTTCCGGTAGGCTAAACAGACTCAGTACTATTTGGGCTTTTTGAAAAGAAATTTAGACATGTTACGTTCTACTAGAATTCGAAGAATACATGGACGGAAGAATGTGATATATACCATGGGATGAGGGAAAACAAGCTGCTCCGGGTTCCTATCTGCGCGATAGAGATGGCACCTCTGAAGATATTGAATTCCGGAGTGTTTAATCAAGTTCCTATCATTCAAGAAATGCAGTACTCATCCAATGGTTCCATCAATAATTTGCTATATATGAATTACAAATACTCAAACCAAAACGGAAAGGTCGCAAAATCTCGAAAAGATTTCTTGTGTTTACTTGAACAGCTACCATCGTAGAAAGCAAAGAAAAGACAAATAGATAGATAGTAGTAGATGTTAAACTCCTGATATAGTAAATCGATAAATTTGCAAGAAGCAACGGTGGACATATCCTCACATGTAGTAGGATCATCGTGTACAGAGGTGTATGTATTATAGATTTATTTCTCACGTAAAATCAGTATAAATGGGCTGGATTCGCGGAGAATGGCCCGCAGTTGAAATAATACTATTCCTCGGTTCCCCTACAGCAGCTACGGTTATGAATATCCCCCGTTCTTTCACAGCTCCTCTGTCCCTGGCCTCCCTGGGAGCCGCCAACTTTCCCTTTCACGGCTTCTCTGTTTTCATCTACCCTTCTGATGTGTCAGTGCATTCCAAGGATAGCGAATCTCTTGGAGCGAACCTTTGCACTTATATTAAAATCCAGGTGTACTTTAATTTCGGGTGGTAGGCATCCGTAAAGGGACAAAGGGCCAGCAGTCTCTAAACTAACATTGACTGATAGCTTAATCTCACGAACATCTGAGTCTAGATTCGTGTGCAGTATGAGGGGAAAAAAAGAAAACATGTATTATTCTACCAGAATCGAAACATAATATGATTTCCATCTACTCCATTTCCCGCGCTCGAGAAACGCCCTCAACGGCTGTGTGATTTTGACCTCCAATAGGTGCTCCACATTCAGGGCATCGAGCTTGCTCCATTGGCATACCGCACTCTCCAATAGCAAACTATAGAACGAAATATTTAGCTTATCTGGCTCGTCAAAGGTAACTTGGGACAATTCGAGGAATGGGAAATTTACTCACCGGATGTCCGTTGACGCAATTGTACCAGTGCCCAGAGTGAGTCGCAATTCCTCCTCGCCCACTAACCATGGCAGTCTTGATTGATTGAAGTTCTTCTAAAGTGACTGTTTCGTATCGAGTTCCCTCATAGAGGCGGAACATCTCCTGGACCTTTTGTTGGAGCTCAGGACAGTTCCTCAATTCATCGCATAGTTTTAACGCAGCCGCGAGGAGATCGCGGGTGGTTTGAAAGCGATCTTCGAGATTTTCTAGACCGGTTTTTCCTTCGAGATGTAGATCGCTTGTTGTTTCCCCTGGATGAGAGCGGTGATACCACGCATCCAGCTGGGCGATTTTGGCGAATGAGATGGTCGCCGTGATGACGATGCGGGAGAAATTTCCTTCATTGGCTTGAGTTATCAAATCTCGGCAATCCTTCAGTACTTGAGTCAAGGATGATGGTTTGGCAAAGCTGAGCCTTGGTGGTGTTGCAGATTTTCCGCTTGCATCTATCACTCTGAAGGCATCGCTAAATATGACTTCTTTGGACTTAATGTGAATTAACCGTGCGCCGAGGGTGATCTGGTTGTCGGATTTTCGTGTTGCTATATTCATCGCCTCCATTCGGGCTGAGAGGGAGACTACATCGTCCCTTGGTGACTTCCGGTAGATGGCAATCGCATCCATGAGCCGTTTCATCGGCCGATTCTCGGCCCCCATGGCTTTGCCGAGAGCTAAAGCCTCCGTCGCAAGGCGTGCACAGGCTGCATATCGTGCTTTAAGCCGTAATTCAGTGTCCCCCACCCCCACCAACCCTTGCTTAGAGTCGAGCTTGTCTTCAATGTCATTCAGACGCGATTCAAGGCCTTCAAGGTCTGTGCGACCCTTGATAAGGAACCTTTTACAAGTCTCATCCATAACAGCACGGTTGATAACACGGTTGTAACGTTTCGTCACAAACTGGCGAATGGGCTGCTTACAGTCCGGGCACGATGGTATGACACTGGCAAGAGAAGAAGAGACATCTCGGAGACCGTCGAATTTTCCATCTTTGTCTTTCGTGTATACTTCATCCAGGCCAACCAACCCATCAACGGACTCACTGGTAAAGAAATGGCCGCATCCAAGCACGACGATAGGAGTCTCATCGAGACTGATTTCGGAATATGTTTTCCATTCAAGGAAGTCGACACGCGCGTCCCCCTTGTCGCCACACTCTTGACACAGATTGTTCGGACAGTCTTCCCCGCAGAGGCTCGGGCATTGATGGCCGCATTTGAGGATCTCAGTGCATCGCTCATTGCAAGGAAGCCGGTCGCATATTGCTGCGCAAGGCATTGAGCAGGGGCCTTGGTGTTTGCAGGACCAGGTGCAACTTTCGATGCATGGTGCACATGCCTTTCCGCAGGTCAAGTCGCACGCTGAGTGTGAGCATCTAACCTGTACATATGATTAATATCTCCGATACGATGACCAGATGCTGGATTCTAGGATTCTTACTTCGCATTCTGCCTCGCAGTAACCGCAGCTCTCCTCATTATGACATATCTTGGGACACCTATAATTGCAAACACCGTGGGGGCGGTCACATATTTTCGTGCACTTCGGGTGCTTAAATACTCTTCTTCCGTCATGGACCTCTTGGAGACAATTTCCGCAGCAACCATTGCAGTTGTGGCCACAGCTGAGAATGTCGGTGCATGGCTTAGGGCAACAGAAGATCGGGGACGTGACGTCTTTGTAACAGCCAACCTGAATTTTATGGCCACATTTAGGAACACTCCTTTCGACCTTTACGTCACATTTAATGACTTTCAAGTTAGACATCTGATGGCAAAAGACAGCTTCCTTGATATGACCACAAGGAAGCTCCACGTCTTGAATCTTCGCCATGCAAGGGCCACAATCTTCACCACAAAGCTTGGGACATTCGTGCTCACAGGTTGATCGGATACGTGGGCAAGGTTTCCCACATGCAAAGCCCTCATGCATGACCGCCGAATGGCACTTAGCCTGGCATTGATGACCACATCGCTCGAGTCGACGGGTACACTGGAGACTACACCCACCTTCAGGGCTCTTCCTCTCAAAATCGTGAGGTTCATAACAAAGAATAGGCGTGTCTGAATGGCGAGGACAACAGAGAGCCAACTCCGTGCCGACTGCATTCGCACGGGCGAGCTGAGAGTGGACATCGGCCCACATTGGGACATTGAGGTATGTTTCAGCATTTCCAATGAGATACATGCCGTGCTGAGCTCGACTGAGGAGCACGTTGATGTGGTTTTCGGTACGTAGGAATCCAACCTTGTGCTTTGAGTTGCTGCGGACTAGGGAGACAACGATCACCTTTGCCTCCTCGCCTTGGAAGTTGTCGACGGTAGCAAGGCGGAGCGTCTGGAGCAACGTCTTCTTCTCGAATGCCTTGCGACCATTTGACTCAGGATATTCATCTTCGAACCTCTCAAGTCCATCCGCGGCTAAGGTCTCCAAGTCCCGCTCGCTGAGACAAACTTCGAAATCTTTGGCTAGCGATGCCCTGAGCTTCCGCAGCTGCCCGGTATAGGGTGTCAAGAGGGCAATATCCGTGCTCTTGTACTCTCCCTGCCGAACAAGATGCCGAACAAGAGCAGTAGCCATATCAACCTCCCACTGGTTGCTATGAGACTTAACACGGCTGCCGTCATCTCTTGAATCTCCATCGCATCGATGGTCCAGCCAAAAGAGATTGTTCCACATCCCAACAACATTGGGTAGATTCAGCACGCTTTCATGATCCTCGAGTTTTGGATAGACGCTTCTGATAAGTTGCGAGATCTCAGGTCTCATTCTTCGCTGTACATTGAGCTGTGCGATAGGGGCTGGCTTGAGACCTGGCTCACCAACAGCGCGTCTCTCAAACTGGCTTCTATCTAGCTGCCATGTCTTTCCTGTGGATGTTTCAAGACTAAGTGAATGATTTTGAATCTGTGGTCGCAGCTGTCGATGATCCCCAATCTGAATGAAGTGTTCAACCCCTGGCATCAGGGCTGAGATGACGTGGGCTTCCATTACCTCAGCTGCTTCCTCGCATATAATGACCTTTGTTCCTACTCGACGCAGTGTCTCAATATGGCGCGCAAGGGCTGTGGTCGTGATTCCTATTACATCTGCTTGAATCAATGCTCGGCGGTTGACCTCTTCATGGACTGCATTAATGTCTCGGCGAAGATTTGCAGCGCGATCAAGAGACTCAAAAAGCGAAGCGGTTTCGATTTCCTGCCACTGTTTAAACCAGCTCATTGCAAGAACCCGGCGTTCCGGTATCGAGAGACTGTGAATATTTTCATTCGCAGCGCGTGTGAGGCCTTCCAAGCGCACATCGTCAACTCCACTCTCATTCTGGTCTTTCTGGGTTTTCATCGATTTGGTTTTAAGCCAGTTGAGTAATTTATCATCAGTGACAGTTGTGAATCCTTCTATGTCTGGTCGGTTCAGTTGTTCATGTATAATAGGCCATTTTCGGCGCAAGAAATGCTCCATCGCGGCCCAAGTCAGGCCTTTTTGAGACTGATGTAGAGGTTTCATTGCATATCCAGCACTCCTCATGCAGTCCTCAAGTCCCCCGTAGGACATGCCGAGGGTTTGCGACTCTACCCTCGTCTTCCCAATGTCTTTACTGACAACGCGAAGGTTCTTGCCTTCAAGCTCAGTGGCCTGACTGCGGCCACCAATACGTATGATTTTCTGGATACCAACATCAAGAAGATGCTTTAAGAATTGGTCCAAGGCATGGTTGGTATAGCAGCTGTAATTCCCGTTAGTAAAGATACAAGAAGAAATGAAACCAGTACTCACATCACAAGAATTGGGCCTAACTTTGCCTTTTCCTTGATCTCGAGGAGGACTTGAACAAGCCTAACACCCAGATAGGACTTTCCGGTGCCTGGTGGGCCTTGGATGAGGGCATACTCTCGTGTGAGGGCCGCGATAAGTCCCTGGCACTGGCCCTGGTCGAGACCAGTTTGAGTTTGCAGCTTCAAGAGGTCAATAGATTCAGGGGTACTCGGGTCCAATGTAACCTTTTCGGCTCCAACAGTTGTGATCGAAGTCAGAGGAAAGATGAACCCTGGATTACGCGCGTATGCCGGTGGGGGTATGCTGTGACTATCTTCATCATCCTTATGGCATGGCAAGATCCATTTTTGGAATGCCAACTCTCCTTCGCGTTAGATTCGCTGAAGATTTTTCAGGATAGGGGCGAACGTGGCAGGGATTAGGCCATGGAAATCGACCAGAATACCGGTGACTTTCTTGCTGTAAAGCTGGCCTAGGAGGATCAGTTCTTGTTGTAGACATGCCGCAAGCTTGACCGTAATACTAGGTGAAAACCTATCAGAAACAAGACTGCTCTTGTTCTGGTGGGCTCGGTCCTTGGAAGCATTCTTCACAGTGACCTCGAGGAAAATAAGCCTCCTGTGAGTTTCTTGGGAGGTCAAGAAACACACTAGGCTTCCTTCTTCTAGTCGATTGGAGTCTTGCCACCATCTGCATTGCTCATTGGATGCCTTTTTGCGGACTTGTAGTGGACTAGCAAAGGACACGGTCGCTTCGAGCTCATTTCTCTCATTGATAAATATTTGGGGGATCTGTGCTCCTAGATAGAGATGTGCCCCGCTATCTTTGCTTGAGAAATATGAAAGTCGTGTCAAATCATTCTGCTGCAGCAGATATCGAAGGATATCTTTAGCTGAGCCGAAGATATCATGGCGCAGGAGCCGGAATGTTGAGTCAATGTATCTTTGCAAAGGGTTGGGGAGAAAGTGCGGCTGAAGGAAGTTGGTAGAGGGTAGATATTCTGAATTGCCGCTGACAATCTCTCCATAAGTAGGAAGGATCTGAACTTGAGAAATTTCTGTAAGGTCGTTGTCGTGTCTCCCACCAGGGGTTTGCATATCCAGCGGAAAAGAAGAAAGGGCCGATCCACTCTTCTGGGGATTTTTCTCATATACCTTGGGTGTAAAAAGACTGCGGTTTGCGCTAGCGATCAGGCTCTGCATGACTTCTATTCTGCTTTCAAGTCCGTCAATATCGGCCTTCGAGCATGTTTCGGTAATTTGGGAGCCCACTTCGCGGATTAGGTCGAGCAATGCGGGAATTTCATCATGGAATCGAGCGCATCGGACTCTTGACAAAAGTTGATACAGGGTATTCAACAGTAACTTGATCATGTCCAGGGAGATAACCGGTACATTTTCGTTGGTCTCCTCTTCTTTACATTAGGCTCCGGCAGACACTTCTCAGATATCTGATTGCTCGATCTCCATTCGTACCACCAAAGGATGTGTACAAAGTGCCAACAAATGAATCGACAGAAAGACAGTTCAAGAGAGAAGTATGGGTAATGACTTTGAGAAATAGCTCGTTGTAAGTTGGAATATGTCGCACTCCCTCTGGATTGTCTGCATCTGCAGTTGCCAGGATAAAATCATATCCATGAAGATCGTCGTCCACGAGATCTTTGGCGAGGAATTGATGATTCTCTCTGCTGTCACTGTCAAGAATTTCAAGAGCCCCGTTCCAGAATTGAACGATCTCTTCATGTTCCCTTCGAGAATATCCAGGCCATAAGATCCCATTTCTAAGAAGTCTCTTCCAGTCGAAGTATTGATTCCGAGCGTCCAGATCATGGGTTGTGGGATGGTATGCAGCCGGATTTGACTTGAAGTCGGAAGCCTTATTCACATCGTGCGAGAATCTGCACCTCTCACCGTAGTGACACCTGCCACGTTGAAAGTGCACACATAATGTTTCCGACAGATTGCGCTTTCTGAAGCTGTTGGGTCCTCCTCGGTTGTTCGTATTGCCCCGAGATCGCCAATTTCCGCGGTGAATCATCGTGAAAGGAGAAAGCTGTAGAATTTGTAGCTCTGGTGATCCTTAAAGTAGTATAAATAGTTCTAACGGGGACAGTTGCATGGAGGGATGGGTGGTTGTGATTGTCTAGCGAAGGGAAAGATAAACTGGATACGCCAAGCAGGTATCTTCTTTCATAAGAGGGACGCAGGTAAGACTGCCTTGTACTTTGTAAATCTGACGTGGCCTAACGTCTTGCAGGACAACTCATACCTGCATCACCCCTCTTTTCAAAATCTCTTTACGTGGCCCGCGCGGGGGATTTCCAATATTTGCCTTTTATCTCCGCTTGCTTTTTTGGTTCAAGATTGTCAAGGAGGGTTGGATGGTTGGTGGGAGGTGCCAAAATCACAGGATGGGTACCCGTCGTCCGTCGTCCGGTTGTTTTGGTGGGGGGGGAAGCAGAGTTCATCTGAGTCTTCGCGTCGTGGTTGGGTGAATAAAAAACCGTACAGTAAAGGAGAATTATGGCTCGACTGGCTGACTGGCCTAGAGTGATGATTGTAATTTTTATCGCCAAGACATAACCCAATGCAGAATTGATTGAGCCTTACCATACCCAATACCACGCCCTAGCTCACCCCCAGATGGTCCGGGTTGGGTACGGAGAAAGGATAGCATGGCCTTTCATAGAGGCTCATCTTCCTGTAGCTTATTTCTTGGGCTGCTATCTGTCTCGGACTAGGAACCTCTGATCGTGGGTCTTGAAACTGCAAAGGTCATGGGCTGAAATTGGTTATGCGCGATTCCGGCGACGCAAGCATTCTTCGAAAGATAGGCAGGTGAGAACTCCTGGCTATGTTAGAGTGGTAGATGACTCACATCGAAAGACATGAATAGCCGATGTTATCTAATGAGGTTATTCTGAATCGCGAACTTGAAAGTCTTCTAGAACTTCGGGAGCGGGCCCTCGACCACAGGATAGTGGGGAACTTGTGGTTCTCCAGAAGGCCGATTGGACACGGGTATTTAGCTGTTTGAAACTGCGGCCCCACAAGCCTTTGAGTTGCTTCGGCCTTTCTGACATCAAAGCTTGTTGCTAATTAGAAGGCAGGTCAGTCATAAAATCCCGGAATGACCGCTTCTCAAGTATACAAAGTGGAAAATAGCTAGTAAAAGAAATCGTGTTGTGTGATGACTTTGTGATGATTGTATAGGTGATACGCGGTTCAGAACATCCAGCCTTAGCTCTACATGATTGGATGAGGAGGCACCAGAGGCAGTCCGGAGGTACAGAACCTGAGCAGATCGCTCTCAGAATTACTCCTCTAGATTCCAGAGGCAAAAATTGATCCTGGGATTCAAGCAAAGAGTTTCAGGAGGTCAGCTCCTATGGTCAGCTCATGCGTTCCCAGGCCCGATAGGATTGTGGACAAAAGAATGAACCTACAGTAATATTCGAAATTAGATATACACTGCCTTCATTTTCTGGCAGTATTAATGTCTCGCGTCCGGTGACCCTGAATGCAGTTTGGGACACAATGGCATATCGAAACCACGACAAAGGCTTTGAAAGAGACCAGTAATGTGATGGCCGCTGCCAGTTTTGAAAGGTCAATAAAAGATAAGCAATCTAGAAGTCAAGCTTTACTTGTAGTAGATGGAATTCCAGTGCTTAGTCCGGAGTTACGTAGGCCCGAGAAAGGCACACCTTTCGTCATGAACAGACACCACACAAGCCGGATTTCAACTCATGTTTCTCTGATCACGGCTTCATTCATTTGAGTTGAAGGCTTAGTAACTATCCAGCTCATCCATGGCTTTCCGAAATCTTTCTCCGGAGGATGTTATCTCTAGAGGTACTAGAATTGTGCGAACAGGATTGGAGGGTGGAAAGATTGTCGGAACCTACGGCAAGCCTGCACTTGAGGAGTCCGCTAAATTAACAGCTCAGGTTCATATACACTTTCTATGTACTGCAAAGGCTCTAACTTTATCGCTGAAATACGGCAGGCAGCCAACTGGGGAGCCCGAAACCCTATTCTAGCCACCTGCGCTGTTGTCGGAACCACTGGTGTCGTTGTTATCGCTGTTCCTGGCCTCGTAACAGCCCCAGTTCTATCGAGTATGGGATTCACATCGGGCGGCATCCAAGCAGGTATGTCCAATATTGCAGGAGAAATCAACAGAATCTGTTCTTTTTCCCACGCCCTGAGGCTTGAACGACCATTCATTACGAAGTATAGGTTCTACAGCCGCTGCCGCTCATAGTTGGATCGGAAATTTTGCAGCCGGGAGCTCGATGGCTATAGGACAGAGTGCTGGTACAGGAGGGAGTGGCCTTGTAGTTGTCAATGGGGCTGCCCAGTTGGGGGGTGCTGCGATGACTGTGGGAAGTGCTAGCCTAGCGTGGGTCAAAGCTAAACTATGAGCACACCATATCTTGGAGTTTTGTCTTAATCGAACGGCCTATGGCGCTCTCCTCTTTTGAACCCACGGTATCACTCAGTTCCCGGACCTTAGGGCCCATGGTAGGGTTCCTAGGAGCGGCCTCGCTATCTCCAAGAGCTATAACCATGGTATTGGGAACAATAGACGCTACCAGGAGTGGTTCTAGTAGGTTCTGGGGATGGGAAATATATATTGCTCAATCAGCTATATCCGTATAGTTAGTTAGACTGGCAAAAGAGCAGACTTTGTCAATTCAGTTAGAGAACGTTATACATATCAATTTTTACTATATATTGTCGTACCTATCTATTTCTATTAAGATCTATCTATAATATATGCACTATCAAAGAGTATATCGCTATCTATCGGCCTAGGCTATAGACTTCGGCACAACCCATTCTAACCCGGACCCAACCCAACCCAACCCAAAACCCTCTGGGTAACCCATTGGGTCCCCAATATAGTGCAAATAAAACAAACAAAAATTTTATATGGTTGAAATTCAAAGATTTGAATATATATATATATGTACATACAGGCTAACAGCATAGTAACTCAATTTCAAAACAAAAACAAATTTATATAAAAAGCATTTTATACTACTAGAAAAGTATGTTAAAAAATGCCAAGACTTATAAAAATCCATAAACTATATGTGAAAATGGGTTATTATTGGGTTATTGGGTTCTGGGTTGGGTTGGGTTTTGGGTCGGAGACTCCGACCGAAAATGGGTTTTGCCGAAGTCTACTAGGCTACGATACAGGTAGCTTTAGATGGCCTATAGTCAGTTTCTGCCTTACGATAAGATATATGGGTCGGTATATTCATGGATATCCTTCTGATAGGTTCTAAGATATCACGCGCTAAAAATGATATATTTACTAAGCAGACCGATTTATAACGTATTTCACTACCGAGCCGGCCAGACCACGGAGCCGCCCCCAAACACATAGTAAATGCGATAAATTACAAGTTGATATCTCAACAACGGCCGTTTATATAATGATTTCTATAGTATCTATATATTGTCCTTCAGTATGGCTTCGGTTCGTTTCACAAGTAGACTTCGGCACAACCCACTCTAACCCGGACCCAACCCAACCCAACCCAACCCAAAATGGGTTTTGGGTCCATTGCTTCGACCCAACGATGGGTTTTGGGTTATAGCTCATAACCCAAAACCCATTGGGTAACCCATTGGGGCCCCAATATAGTGCAAACAAAACAAACCAAAAAATTATATGGTTGAAATTCAAAGATTTGAATATATATATATCTAGCATAGTAACTCAATTTCAAAACAAAAACAAATTTATATAAAAAGCATTTTATACTATTAAAAAAGTATATTTAAAAATGCCAAGACTTGGATTTTATGAATTTTGTGAATTTTTATGCAAAAATGGGTTCAAATGGGTTATTATTGGGTTATTGGGTTTAACCCATTGGGTTTTGGGTTGGGTTGGGTTATAGAGGGCGGAACCCAAAACCCAATGGGTTGGGTTTTGGGTCGGACACTCCGACCCAAAATGGGTTCTGCCGAAGTCTATTCACAAGGAAGAATCGACAAAACAGCAAGACTATATAGCTTATAGGTCTGTTCCTGATATAGACTGCAGCACTTCCGACCATTGCTTTTCTTTTCCCAGCCCAGCCGTTACTACAACTTGGATATCCATCGGCTTTTACCGTGATCGCTGTTGGAACCCTCTCAAATGCTTTTCTCAAAGATATGGATACGGGGACGTTTCCCGGTCGATTCCTCCTACTCTGTACTCCGTAGGAAGACAGTCAAAGTACTATCTACACCCGAGTGACTAAAGGCATGCCTATAATGCAGCCAAGATATAGTGAATGGTTAATTTAGGAAGTTTACGTCCGGCGGAAAATGTCCAAGATCTCAAATATGTAGAACTGCATACAGAAGGCGTATCATAGCCCAGCCAACATTTTTTTGTCTTCGTGGTTAATGGACTCTGTCACATTAGGCCCAGTGATGGTCCTTATTACGCCTTGTAGCTCCGTCAAGTGATTCTCGTAAATGCCCCTGGGTGTCGTATTGTACTTTTTGCATAGGTGAGCTGCAGCTGCAGTAGCGATGGCATGTTGTGCACCGTTGGCCATGAACTTGGTGTTTGAGCCTGCCACATGGGTAGCACTCATGTGTTTCCCTGCCATCAACAAGTTCGAGATGTTGATAGAGTAGAGACAGCGAAATGGAATGTCATAGGGCTGCTTGTCTCTTTCATCCCACTCCCAGAATTTCAGACGGAAGTCATACTTCTCATCGCCAGGGTAGTGTAGGCAAAATGCTCCTCCGTTTTTCACTACAGCGTCAGGGAACACTTTATGTGTGCGAATGTCGTTCTCGTTGAGGATATAGTCGCCCTTGTATCGTTTGTACTCGCCTTGTGCAGGGACAAATGATACCCAATCAAACGCAAGGTTGGCATAGGTTTCGGGCTCCATCGTCTTCACATTAGAGAATGTGCCATAGACTGCGCGGAGAAGGTGGTCGCGGATGTTTTCACCTTGGGTATAGGGATCCAGCCACTGGCCATACTCCCAGAAGTGGGTGAGCGGCCCTTTCATTCGGTAGGCGAGAGTTGGGTCGGGCTTTGCGTCAGGTGAAATGACAACAGGTCCAGGTCCATTCTCACTGCCTGGCTTCCGCAACTGACCACGCAGGTCAGAAAAGTCTTTCGCCACTTCTTTAGCCCATGGGACATCCGGAAAGGAAACAGGGTTTTCCGTCATTCTGGTGCGGAAAAACAAAGTGTTGCCGTGATGCATATTGTCTCCCTTCACAGGGGCTAGACTCTCGTCATATTCAGCCCGCGACTCCTGCCCGAAAAGGGTTTCCGCGCCCGAGAAAAGTCCAAGTATAGATTTTCCAGAGCAATCAATAAAAACTGGCGCAGAGAGACGAATTTCCCGTCCAGTACGGGCATCGCGAGCGTCAACCGAGACAATAGACGAGTCAACGGTGATGGCGTTGTAGACAGTGTGCTCCATAAAGACCTTTGCAGTTTGTTCGGCATTAAGCAACTTGATTGCTTGAAGATCACCATTACGAGTGCGTTGTGAAAGCTCCTCAATTAGCGGGCACGTCCATCCGCGTGGATGGAGACCAATTTCCACACTCGCGTTACCACCTAAAAATGGGCGGTCTTGAATAAGGGCAACACGTTCTCCTAGGCGGGCCGCTGCTAGGGCTGCGGTAGCTCCAGGAACGCCACCTCCAACCACGATAACATCGTAGTTTCCTGCATCGACAGGCCCATTATCCAGACCAAGAAGGCGCTGGCGCCAGGCATGTGCTGCGTCATCTGCTGCCTGGGGTGGCGGCGTGTCATCGAGACTGAAGAAGATGGCATCACAGCGTCCGCAGAATCCAGTTAGATCGTGCAATACAAGCTTCGTTTCACCCGCTGGTATCTCGACACGGCCTCCGACTTGCCAATTCCAATCTTTGTCGTTGGCTCCAAATTCAGTACTGAGGCGGTTTTCGTTGATCTTCAGGACAAACCTTCCCGGATGATGGCCGGGAACCCAGTCCTTCGTGCGAACCCAGACATTGTAAACACCGGCCACCTGAACAAAGATAACAGTGGAAGCGTCAGCGACCGGCCTGCCATTACCATGGGCCAGCAGGTAAGGTGAGCCCATCTCGAGCTCAAACTGCGAATCCAGAACCCATCCCCCGAAGTTATCAAAGCCCTTGGCCTCGACCAAAATTCCTGAAGTTGGGAATGTCTCCATAGCTATGCAACAGTTATGAATCGTTCACCCGAGGGCTTTGTGGATATTGCAGAACAAAGATTGGCCCACCGAAAAATAAGCAAGGGTAGTTCAAGAACAATAAATACGGGGAGGGCTTCTCTAGGAGCGAGGTGGGTATTTGGACCTAAAGTGAGACAGGCAATCGACTTGGGAAGGCAAAAAGGAGCGGTATGATTCCGTGATTCCGTGATTATTCAACAGCCGACCCTTGACTTTGTAGGATACGAATTGTCGATTCCTGATGAACAAGCGATCGTGAACCCCGTGGTAATATCAGCTCTGCCAACTGCCAGCTGCCGACTACCGACTGCCGACGACCGACCCCACCCCATTGTCTGATCGAAGTGTGGGTTATCTGCTGATAGTTACAAACCCTATTTTTGGGATTACCAGGTAAAGTTCATTACTGAACTGTGGGCGGATGAATGCGAGTAAATCTTTGTTAGGTAGTGTTAGACTGCGACATCGCCCGTCCATGGGCACCTAGGAGGTGCCCATCGCCCGTCCACGGTGGGCCTTGGGCTATTTGGATTTTCGAGTGCCCGTCCATAACGCCTAGACCTGGCATTACACCGCCCACAGGTGCAGGGTTACCCTCATCAACCCGCATATGCATAAATTTCTGACACCTTACCCCTTTTGGCTGGATAAAATGGATGATTCATCTCTGTTTTTTACACCTGTTCCGTCAGCCTGAAGCCATATCAGTGAATACTCTATCAATATAAGGATTTATGAACAAATACTTATGTAAAAGTAAACAGTAGGTATTGTTACCTATAAACTCTAAATAAATACAAAGAAATTCGACGTTGGAAGTGGTCAATAAGGGTTATTAACAAAACAGCATGTAAAGTTGCAGATATATATATCGAGTATGCTGTTTACCTTATGTATCTTCAAAGGCATAACTACAGTTTTGTGTAAAGAACTTTAAGATGTTGTCAAAATCACCTTATTTTGATATTATTGTAACCGTCAAATCTTCTTCTATCATGTTGTCTTAGAGAATTAAGAATATCTAACACAGATATATCATGAATTGAGTTCAAACTTCCCAGTTGTTAGACTTAGCTGTTCTGATTATAATATTTTCTCAACCTGAGGGTTACTTTGAGGTGCAGTGAGGTTTATTTAGGTTTACCCCCGAGGTGTAGCGAGGTGTACCGAGGTGCGATGAGGTTTAATTAGGTTTACCCCTCAGGTAGACTGCGCCAAAACCCGAGAATGGGTAGACTCGACCAACCCGCAACCCGCCCCGCAACCCGCAAAAACCCGCGGCTGCATAATTTTCCCAATTAAGCCATGGCGAAGTGTATAAAAATGCTGATTTATACTAATAAAATACAGTAATCTACGGCGGTTTTGTTTATACGTCTAAGGCACCCTTCGACTACTGCTATTTCTGACCGCGGTCAGAAATTATCTATGCATTGAAAACTCCCTTCAGACTACTGCTATCTCTAACCGCGGTCAGAAATTATCTATACATTGAAAACTCCCTTTAGACTACTACTATCTCTGACCGCGGTCAGAAATAGTATAGGTAAAGTGGCTTTTCACGCATAAGTAATTTCTGACAGCCGTTAGAAATAGTAGTGGTATATTGGAATTAGAGCGGGCTGTAGGAGCTTTTACCCCCTTAAGGTGAAAAGGAAATACAACAAGATACAGGTAAGAAATGCATAATTTATGTAGATACGACTCTTCCTATGTTTGCACTGTTTAGTAACCCGCATAGGTAACCCGCAAACCCGCGCGGGTTACCCAAGCAAACCCGAAACCCATTGCGGGTTATGAAAGTCGACCCGAAACCCGACCCATTTGCGGGTTGGGTTTTTTCGGGTTTGCGGGTTTGCGGGTTTTGGCGCAGTCTATTTATACTACGTATAATTCGTACTATATAGACTTTAATCAACCCTATTTCGTATTAAATTCAGAGGGGTGGCGATAGATTGACTATCTACTTTGTATCCTCCAGCCTTTTTTACATTCACTATATTGGTATGTCGTACTAAAGACTCGAGTATCTACCTTATCTTCAGGATCTATAATAAGCTCTTTAATCATCTTGAAAGGTCAATATCTTAACTTCAGCGGAAGAAGGTTCACTGGAAACAAATGATACTCTCTTCCCTTGAAGCTACAAAAGAGAAATTAATCAAATACTATGGTATAACTGATAGTATTGAGGGTGATCTCTACGCAATTAGGACAATCCTAGTACCGTCGAACAAAATATAATTCTTTTCAATAAGTGATTGGGACCTAGATCTAGAGACTAGAAAGGACTAGACCTGGCACTGCACCTCGGGTAACCCTACCGACCCTGCACCTGCACCTCCATTTGGGCGGTGTAGGTTCAAAGATTCCGACCCTCAGGTGCGGTAGGTTGAGCACCGCACCTCATGAGGGTAACCCTGAGGTGCCCCTGAGGTGCGAAAACTATGACTAATATGCTAGAAACGTGACTTGGGGGTAATTGCATAAATTATGTAGAATTGGGCTGTATTCTTTTGTAATTGTAAGCTAAAGATTTATTACTGTATAGCCTTACAAGAGGATTGAGTGCATATCATAGGTCATAGTTTCATGTTTGAATAGGGCTTCAATTCTCACATTTGCAGTGATAATATCTATTATACAGTATGTTCTCAAGAGTTAAACTATTAAGTTATATACCCATCCAGTAGTCTCGATTTCTTCCGCATCCTACCTGATACACGATGCTGTGTATCAGGTAGGTCAGGCGACACGGAGACCCTGCCCTTATCTATCTCCGGAAGTTCATCGCCTTCAGATTCCTCCTCATCACCAGAAAAGACCATAGGGCGCTTCCCGGCAGCAACTGCTAAGAGTGGTGGTATATCATGATGTACCTCAACATCTTCCTCATCATCACTGATAGCGTCGAAGGAGTGTGTCTGGATGTCAAGTGCTTCAGCTGAAGCTGCCATTTCATGATCCATAAGATACTCTTGCAGAATTAGCCGCTGCTCCTCCTTCAAGTCAAATCTTGTTGTACACATATACAACATGATATCGCGAATAGTCTCTGGGTTTAATGAACCCCGGCGGTAGTGGCATATATCCCGGGCAGAGTTAAAAAGACGTTCAACTCCAGCACCAGTCGCTGGAATTGACATGATATCACGGGCAATGCGGGCAAGAATAGGGAACTCTCTTTGATGATTCTTCCAGAAGAGTCTAGCTGAACCATCGATAGTATCTAAGAATATTAGTTTTATGATCATATAGACTTAGTGCTAACTTACCACTCTGGAGATATTTAGTGAGCTCGTCATATTGCGGACCAGTTGATCCCTTTGAAAGATCACGCCCACATGCCCTCTCAAGCTCTGACTCGGTTGTCATTAAATGGCTATCAGACTGAACCATATCTGATGGTACATGTTGGCGATACCTCTCTAAAAGTGACTGGAGACTCTCACGGTATTCCTTTCTGTAGTCCTTTCCAGTCTCTGGATCTGGGTCCCAATCACTTGTTGAAAAGAATTGCATTTTGTTCGACGGTGCTAGGATTGTCCCAATTGCGTAGAGATCACCCTCAATACTATCAGTCATACCATAGTATTTGATCAATTTCTCTTTTGCAGCTTCAAGGGAAGAGAGCATCATTTGTTTCCAGTGAACCTTCTTCCGCTGAAGTTGAGATATTGACCTTTCAAGATGATCAAAGAGCTTGTTGTAGATCCTGAAGACAAGGTGGATACTCGAGTCTTTGGTACGACATACCAATGTGGTGAATGTAAAAAAAGGCTGGAGGATACAAAGTAGATAGTCAATCTGTCGCCACCCCTCTGAATTTAATGCGAAATAGGGTTGATTGAAGTCCGCACAGTACGAATTGTACGTAGTATAAAGTCTTCTTGCCCGCCGGAGCATTAGGAACGTCGAGTTCCATCGTGTACGAACATCCTGGATTGGGAGGAGCTGTGACTGAGTATTGGACTGGAGGTTTAAGAAGTTTTCTTTGCGTTGAGGGCTCCCGTTGATAAAAACTGCAAGACCTCGGACCTATAAGTAATAGTTAGTATTATTCACAGTTCATAAATAGAAGCATACCTTGTTTAATGTATCAGCGATCTCATGCTTCTGTTGGCGCGAGCGGAGTTGACGTAACCGATCGTCAGGTAATTCTGACTCAGCATTATCATTCCTCGGCGAAGCCTTGATCTTACCAAGTAAATCAAGTAGACTCAGTTGAATGACATGGGCAAGACAAGGCACTTGAACAATTGTCGAATCTATCTCCGGGTCTGACTGTAGATCCTTGATTGACTCATTCACCGCTGTGATAAGTGTCTTATTATTAGACGCATTATCAGTTGTCACCGCTAGTATACGGTGAATGATCTGGTGCTGTTGTAGAATTCGAATAACAACTTCACCAAGGTTAACGCCAGAATGAGTACCAGAAATTGGCTCAAAGCCAAGGAGTACCTCACGATACTCCCATTCCTGGTCTAAAAAGTATCCTGTGATAGCCATGAAGGCATGTTTAAATGGCGAAGTCCAACAGTCAAGGGCAATCGACATCTTTGCACTGGGTGGGAGCTGTTGTAGAGTCTTTTGTTGAGACTCTTTGACGAACTCTCGGAGACGCTCACGAATAACCTTTCTTGATGGGATGCTTGGTAGTGTAGGTGCTAGTTGGGCGTAAGAGATAAGGTCGTGGAATTCTTGATGCTCGACAAAGAGGAAGGGTAAATGTGATACAGTGATCAGATTAAGTAGCTTCTGCTCCCATATTTGCTGTGTAAAGGTAGGTACTGGTCTTCTCTCAGCCTGAAATATAGTTAATTAAGGATTCGTCTTAATATTCAACAAGAAATATAGGTAAACATACTGCGTCACTAAGTAGCTGGTGGACACTACTAGTTCCCTGGAGTGCCTGCTTCGGTACTCGTTGTCTACATCTTGGACCATCAAGGTGCTTCTGCATTGTTGATGTCCCTGTATGATTCGTAGCTGGATGCGCGAGAACTGTGCGACAACGTTTGCACATAACGCCTGGCTTTCCATCTTTGGTGTTTGCAACTTGTTGGAACCCTTTCCAGCAATCTGCACGACGTTTGGTAGGACTTATATCCCAATTGAGATTTTGCTTCGACCTACCATAGCCAGTCTTAAGCCACCAATCCACGAACTCCTTTGTCATTTCTGGTGTACAGATAATGAACTCGTTGATACGGTCAGGCTTAATTCGCGCAAGGGTGTCTGGAGCGAGTGGTGAAATGTGTGACTGAGGGCTAAGAAGGTCTGGAACTGATCCAAACTGGCTTTCGGATTGGTATTGGCTCCGGCTCTGGCTCTGGCTTTCGCGTTGGGAGAGGGAGTCTTCGGGGAGGAGGAAGTGTAACGCGTCATATGGCACCCCGTCTTGACTATCGAAGTGAGACGATGGGTAGATGTCTGAGAGCTGAGACATAGTAGGTTCAGTTAGCTAGATACTAGAGAAGAAGAAGATAAAAAACGTACTGATTGCTTTACATGAAAAGATACATGATCTTCTTGGGGCCTCTGTTTGACCCTGTTCAAGATGCTAGAATTGATCTATCATCTTGAGTATCTATAAGTAGATCCTATTGGCTAGTTCAGTGGGTAATTTGTATAGTAACCCTACCGCACCTCAGTGCACCTCACCGCACCTGAGGGGTAAACCTAATTAAACCTCATCGCACCTCGGTACACCTCGCTACACCTCAGGGGTAAACCTGAATAAACCTCACTGCACCTCAAAGTAACCCTCAGGTTGAGAAAATATTATAATCAGAACAGCTAAGTCTAACAACTGGGAAGTTTGAACTCAATTCATGATGTATCTGTGTTAGATATTCTTAATTCTCTAAGACAACATGATAGAAGAAGATTTGACGGTTACAATGATATCAAAATAAGGTGATTTTGACAACATCTTGAAGTTCTTTACACAAAACTGTAGTTATGCCTTTGAAGATACATAAGGTAAACAGCATACTCGATATATATATCTGCAACTTTACATGCTGTTTTGTCAATAACCCTTATTGACCACTTCCAACGTCGAATTTCTTTGTATTTATTTAGAGTTTATAGGTAACAATACCTACTGTTTACTTTTACATAAGTATTTGTTCATAAATCCTTATGTTGATAGAGTATTCACTGATATGGCTTCAGGCTGACGGAACAGGTGTAAAAAACAGAGATGAATCATCCATTTTATCCAGCCAAAAGGGGTAAGGTGTCAGAAATTTATGCATATGCGGGTTGATGAGGGTAACCCTGCACCGAACCTGTCGACCCTCAGGTGCGGGTCAGGTGCGAAGGTCCGCACCTGAACCTCCTGAGGTGCAGGTGCAGGTGCGGAGGTACTGCACCTGTGGGCGGTGTAATGCCAGGTCTAGAAAGGACTATAGAAAGGAATACCGTGAGAGTCTCTAGTCACTTTTAGAGAGGTATCGCCAATATATACTATCAGATATGGTTCAGTCTGATAGCTATTTAATGACAACCGAGTCAGAGCTTAAGAGGGCATGTGGGCGTAGACTGCGACATCGCCCGTCCATGGGCACCTAGGAGGTGCCCATCGCCCGTCCACGGTAGGCCTTGGGCTATTTGGATTTTCGAGTGCCCGTCCATAACGCCCAAGGCCCACGGGCATGCCCACGGCGGGCATGCCCACGATGCCCACCATTATATAAAGTTGTCTTAAATATATATAAAAATTAGATATATAGTAAATTATAGTATATATATTTATATATATATTATTAAAAATCCGGAATTATGATTGTAAATATATAAAAAATATAAATTTAGTTGAAATATTTTGAAATCTGTCAATTAAAATCACGTGTTGCGCTAATTTTGCTTACTAAAAAGGCCCACGGGCGCCCACGGTGTCCATGGACAATGGGCCCTAAGGGTAGGGCCCGTCCATGGGCGTATTGATAGTGCCCATCGCCCGCTTACATAAGGCCCGTGGGCACTGCCCACCCGCCCGTCCATGGGCGATGTCGCAGTCTAGGTAGTGTGTATGTGTAATGATTACTAAGTTGTCAGGCTAGAAACCTGTACCTAGGCAGGGATATCGAATAGTGGAGATCAGATTGTCTAGTTGATACACGGACTGACCTGAGAAACAAGAATCATAGCCATCGTCATGCGCTCTTTAATATTGCTGGAGCTAGCTAGTGGCTCACATTTGCCGCTTAGCCGCACAGCAGCTCCATCTCGCACGTGATAAACATTGGAGTGAAACGACTCCTGACGCCCGTCTATCGGAGTGAAATTTATCCGTCGGCTCAGAGCTGCGGAGCTCAGTTCATTCCAGAAGACATCATTGGTTAGTTTGAAGATCGACCGTCGGTAGTCAGTAGTTGGGGGTCGGCAGTCGGCATTCCGCTGGGGGGGTTCCACATACTATGCTCCAAAACGTAGTTCCACCTGCAATAAGAAATAGTTAATTACAAGCGGCGTCTCATTAGTATTTGCACACTGGTACATCGGCCCCTGACCGCTCTTTCTATACCGCTTGCCTATTAACACTATTCGTGCTAGTGCGCGCTGCGCGATGCGCGCAGTAACATGAAATTATCAAACTTACCACCCTCTTCAATATAGCTTTTGCTCTTCTCGACTAGGATATGTTGCGTTCTAGTATTCCAAGCGGCCCTAAGCCTCCTCTATACGTTTGTGAGCGTATATGTGAGCTAAAACGCTCTGCAAAATAGGGTGCGAAACGTATTCAAATGCACGCTTACCCTGATATCCCTCTCTCGACTATCCACTATACCCTTTGCTAGTAAGCGAAAGGCTGCTGTGGTCTATCTACCACTCGTTCTAGTGCCCCCTAAAAGCTTACTACTGGGGACTGAGACTGTTTGTATGATACTATCCAAAGTAATCCTTGTATTACGAACGAAGATGAAGTTTTCCAGCATGATAATGCGCCTACAAACACTGTGTATATTATCCATGGTCTTCAACGTGAGATGAATATAGATGTGATGGATTAGCCTCCCTATTCACCTAATCTGAACCCAATTAAAAAACCTTTAGGCGCTATTAAAAGCTGATATGTTGAAACCAAGGCCTGAGCTACGTGAGATGCCTAATAATAAGGAGACATGGGCAGAGCTAATGGATACAGCGGAGACTGCATAGGAGGAGTTGACCATTAGACACTTTGTTAATCTAGCTGAGTCTGTGCCCCATCGTGTAGAGGCGGTTATTCTATATGAAGGATGGCACACTAGTTTTGAGGTGGTTTCGTATGGGAATGTATCTGTTGTAGTTACGCCGGCAGAAAAAAAGTGGGTCTAGGCATTCCGAAGTATAAGGGTGCAAATACTAATGAGGTGTGACTGTAAATACCGAGGTCGAGTCTCTACTGCTCGATGTCTTTTGACCTTATGCCACGGGTTAATTGTTACACCGTCGGGCCTGTCGGGCCTGTCGGATAAGTTCCACCCAGCCTATCGATGATGCTCCAGGACTATTTAGACAATGCAAATGCATAACTCAAAATATTCCTCACCAACTGTCGCTTAAATGCCCACTGAAAGTCTTTAAATACTCTTCTTGCCTTTTGCATTACTCGTTCTGCCAAACATCATCCTAAAATAACGCTGTCCCATTTGGCCGCAATCCATTACAATGGCCTTTCCGTTGATTGGCCTCGTTTTCGGGGGGTTACTGCTCGCTCTTTACCTGGGATACAGGTTGATGTTACCGCGTCCTATCCCGGGAATTCCTTACAATCAAGAAGCTGCTGGAAGAATATTGGGTGATCTACCTTCATTGAAAGAACATACACGAATGACAGGAGAAAAATTGACCTGGCTTCCTTTGCAAGCCAAGAAGTTGAACTCTCCTATCATTCAAGTATTTGCCAATCCTCTCACAAAGCCATGGATTGTCCTGACCGAGTTCAGAGAGAGCCAGGACATCCTGCTCCGGAGAACCAAGGAGTTTGATCGGAGTGATCACTTCGGAAACATCTTCAAGGGGTTGACACCTGACCATCATATCTCCATGAAGACAGCAAATCCTGAATTCAAGGCGCACCGGAGATTGATCCAAGACTTGATGACACCTGCATTTTTGAATGAAGTATGATTACCTCGTTGTTCATTTGTGAGAATCGAGCGCTGATAATAGCAGGTTTCGGCTCCCCGAATTTATGAATCCTTCTCGTCACTTGTCGACCTCTGGACCGAAAAGTCCCGATTGGCAAAGGGTCAGCCTTTCTCCGCTTTGGATGATTTTTACAACGCGGCATTGGATGCCATCTGGGCTGTGACCTTTCCCCTGGATCTCAAGGACAGTGTCACCAATGCTCAACGACAGCTTCTTCGTGATACAGCAAGCATCAGCACATCAACCACTACCATCGACGAACCCGCTACCTTTCCCGAAGCCCCAATGCCAGACGCTCAAAAATCCATTTTAACACTTACAGAAAGCCTGGAGTCTGTGGGGTTATCCCCATTGCCAAAATTTACTTTTTGGTTAATCAGCCTCTGGCCCTATATGCGTAAGGCGAGAGCAGCTAAAGAGACTATGATTACTACTGAGCTTGAAAAAGCCAAGGCAAGAGTCTCTAGCGGGAACAAAGCGGCAAGATGCGCCTTGGATGATATCCTGCGCCGTGAGCTCATTTCTGCGGAGAAAGAAGGTCGAGAACCTCAATACAACACGAGGGCCATCTTCGACGAGGTAAGCAAGACCCGATTCATTGATATTTGGAATAATTACTAATTAAGGAGAAAGCTTTTTGGCCTGCTGATTGCCGGTCACGATACGACCTCAACGACGATGACATGGGGTCTCAAGCGACTCTCTGATCACCAGGATGTACAAAAGAAACTTCGTCAGGCCATTCGTGGTGGTTTCCCCGCAGCTATCGCAGAATCCCGAAGACCAACAGCAGAGGAAATTGTCAAAGCTCACATCCCATACCTGGATGCTACGCAAGAGGAGATTATTCGGAAATCCATGACAGCTGGGTCGGTAACACGCACAGCAATGGTCGATACCGTTATTCTCGGACACCGCATTCCTAAAGGCACCAATGTGTTCCTTGCGGGGAATGGCCCGGACTTTATTGAACCGCCGATCGGTAAAATCCCAGAAGAGCGCCGCAGTAAGAGTTGTCGGGACGCGAAGGGACGTATTGGCTCATGGGACCCATCAGACTCGAACCTATTCAAGCCGGAACGATGGCTTACTACAGAAGATGGCAAAGAAACTTTCGACGCTACATCCGGTCCACTTCTGACATTTGGTCTTGGACCAAGAGGATGCTTCGGAAGACGCATGGCATATCTCGAAATGAAGATTGCTCTCGTGCTGCTTCTGTGGGAATTTGAGCTGCAAGGTGTACCAGAGAATCTCAGTTCCTATGCGGCGGTGGATAAGCTTACCCACCAGCCAAGACAGTGTTATTTGCGACTTTTGAGCTCCCCATTGGAAGTCTCTTGTGCCTAGAGTTGAAATTGACATGATGCATTGTATCATAAGAAGAAATTCCGTTTGGTGCTAAAGTTTAAAATGTATATTTCTCTATAAAGAAACCCAGGTCAAGTAAATGATTGAGAAAAGCATCAACAGAGGTTGTAGTTTATAGATTTGTTATTTCTTGCTATTGGCTCCTCTCGAGTGATGAAATGAAAGATGTAGCAAGCAATACTCCCATTAATATCCACCGGGGAAGACCTCCTAGATAATATTCGACATCTCTGGGTACATCCCAAGTGAATCCATGAGATCCAAATTTTCAACGAACAGCGAAGGAGTCCATAGACTTTCCATTGGAAGAACGCTTTGTGCGGAATACTCCTCCAATCCCCGATTACGCTGTATCAGATCCATATGGCTGCACATACTCCCGAGAAAGGGGAAGAGTTCCTCAAGACAATCACAAGACTCGTTTGAAATACAATTATCGGTAGTTTCAATGCTTGCTGCTTCCAGAGGTCGTTCCTCCATGGAGGCGTCCGCTTGCCTCTGTATTTCGAACATCTTTCTAAAGACCATCTCAGATCCTCCAATTTTCCATTGCATCTATTTCATCACGGAGCAGAGAACCTTAATCTCATTCTGGCGAGCAGCTTCTTTCTCTACTGACCGAGGGTTGTAAGGTATCTGTGGAAGGGACGTTACCATGCACAGAAAACCATTGATCGGAAGCAAAAAGCATTTTTGTACTCTGAGTAGGATCTACTGCTTGTGCCTATCAGCCAGGTTTATTTAGCGACTGGTACACTCGCGCAAATACTCCCTTGCGTTACCAGTTATTCCATGCCAATAGAATGGCCTGCGAGCCGTGTCAAGGGTGCGTTTCTCAGCATAGTGCTCTCCCTGGTGATCACTATGGTGGATCCTCAAAATCTCCCCTTCACGGCAGGAACCTTTGGGGTAAAAACGCGGCCATTCACCCTGATTAGTCCATCAGACGTTCTTCCCCAGGCGGATCCGTGAAGCCTCCCACCGTCACTCTCACCCTCCAATCAACGTAGACGATCTCGACACCCAGGGTCTCTCTCCTGCGCGGCTCAAATCATTTCTACTATGGAATCTTTGAGCTGGGTGGAATAGGCCGTCGCACCTAATATGGCTACACGGGCATGGCACCAGGGGGTCTAGAATTCCTGTATCGCCAACGACTATGTCCCCATCTGCGGCAGAGCATTCCCTCCGCGCAGGTATCTGAAGTCCATCGCATGCATCCACATTCTCGACATCAGTGCCACTGGGTATCTGATTCTCTCGCGAGTCCGCTCTTCTCTACTGGCCCCCTCGCCGTGGGCAGTGGTTCTCAGAGACACATTCCCTCGACGCACGGGTTCGCATGTGCGTGCTTGCGCCCCCGTAGGTTTGACATGCTCTTTGAGGTGCGAGGTCTCTGCCTTCGCACCCGTTGTCATTGTAATTTTTCACACATGCTGTACTCGACGATGGCTTTTCATCGCAACTTCTAGGTCCTGGCATCCTCAATAGTGATTGACAATGCCAGTTGCCGGGTTCGCCACTGGCCATCCCTTCTGGATCAACATATTGATAGCAACTGCATCCCTAGGGAACTCTTCCACTAGGCTGCTTCGCAGATTCTCCTGCAACGCCGGCGGTAGCGAGTTTTCTAAAAATTCCCCTTCCTCAGGTGTATAGTCTGGTCGACAACTGTGTCAAGAAAATTTATTTGGAGGAATGTCAGACCAGGCTCGAGAACGGAACCTGGAAAGGCAGGCCTATGGATGAGGAGGAAAGCCGAAATGAGATGGCTGATGAATGGCTCAACGGCCTACGTGCCAAGGAGAGATTTGCCACGGGTATCCTGACCTAGAGTAAAAGCTCCTGGAATAAGACTACTTTCCCTAGATATCGGGGCTTCTGTAGTATTGAATGGAATTAATAAAATGTATGAGTATTTCGGGATGCACCGAGCTTGGCTGCCGACTGCCGTGAAATGTAGGTATATCGATACAGTGGCCCTAGAAAATGGGACTAGAATGGGAAGATCACTGGTTTCAATCATGGTATAGTATTATTATTTGTACCAGGAGATTTCAGTTTGAAGGATAGCGGTCGCTATTATTGAGACCTAAATAGTATCTGGAACATTTTGCAATAACCCCAGTAAATCCACGAATCCATGGCCCTCCGTCACCAGCCAATTCGCCCATTCATTCTCCATTGGCAAGAAGTTTTGCATAGAAGATTCGGTTTCTGAATACACACTTTGGTGGATGAGTTCCATTTGGCTGCAAATCTCAAGGGGAAATGGGAAAAGATTTTCCAAGGACTCGCTTCCATGCTGGGTTATGAAGCTATCCGACACGCCATTGGTATCCGTTTCCATTTGCTCCATCGAGGAATGCACTTGATTCTCCATCCCTCGGATCTTGTGAAGAACCATCTCCGATCCTCCATATTTGCCTCTTATGCTTTCCATAATGGAGCAGAGTATTCCAATTTCTTCTTGCCGCACTCTCTCTTTCTCCGCGCATCGTGGCCGGTAGTAGATCTGTGGAATAGATGCTAACATGCAAAAGAAGCCGTGTATTGGGAGCAGAGATTTCGATCTTTCCCTGATGTTTATTTCTTCGTAGAGTCGAGCCATACATGAAGCAGCGACCAGCGATCGCACGGAGGTTACCCTTTGCTCATTCACTTCTCCTTGCAGGAGCTGGAGCATGACTATAGCACCGAAGTATTTGATAAATAGTTCCGAGGTAGCGAAGCAAAAAGGTCTTTTGATTGCGCTGAAATCGTACAAATGAAGGTCATCTGGCAGATCCTGAAGCCAGCGCCGTAATTTTTGTGTGAATCCGAGCACTTCGTCCTGAGAAACAGACCTTCTCTCGAGTTGAAGGTCTGCAATTTGCCCAATTATCGCGCACAGCTTTGTGGTTTGAAGGAATGCCTTTGATTGAATATTTTGAACGTCAAAGTCGTTCATTGTTAAGGGTTTCACGTCGTAATATTTGGAGCCAAAAGAGGGAGGACGACCCCAGCATGCCATTTGTAATTTATCAGCAGTCTGGAGAAGAAGATTCGGGTTAGAGACCAGGTTCGGACTTTCCAAGACAGAGATTGACAGCTTGACTAACATGAAGGTGCCAGAATATTCTTCGAAGGCAGGGGGCATGTGGGTTATCCAGGTACGTAGATTCTCGATGAAGCCCCATTTGAAGGGCAAGTCGAATGGCTACCCCCGTCCAGTACCATGGCCCATCCAAACTAATCTTATCAGGAGGTTTCACACTCCAGCATGATAATAAACACAACGCCTTCAGAGTTGTGAGATTATCGGTTTCGTAGTCCAAGTATAGCAGGGTCTTGACCTTCTCATAGAGCGTGTGAGCTAGGTGCATAGATTCGGGACCATGTCGAGTAAGACTGCCACTTAGACACACTGCTTGCTGCAAGAGAATAGATGAATGAGAGGATGAGACATCCTCTTGCGATATGATAGCGTAATTATGGAAAACCTGTTCAAAAAATGCATCTGTTAATGCTCTGCGAAGAGCAGGAACAGGAAGGATTTCTGCTTCTGTTGCGGAAAGAATGGCATCTCTAACCCGCAACGACTGTGATATTGAGCCTTCGGAGACTGTAGGCTGTGTGGGTTCATGGAAGGCTAGGACCGAGTGTGCAGCGATGAACCCTGTCTGTTGCTTGGGCTGTGCTTCGTCGCGTGTAGACTCGGGAGATGGAAGTGGGCCCATATTTGAGAGTCTAGGCGAAAATTCCAGCGCGGGCTCTGCCCTTGCGTCCCCAGGTGCCGCATTGATATTTTGTGGGGACACGCTGATTTGTGAGAAGCGTCTTGGGCTGGCCGCTCTTGTTCGTTTGCGCGCACCAGTGCGTCGTCTTGAGCTCGTTAGTATCGTGTCTCAGGTTGACAACAAGAAAAGCCAGAAGCATACATGCACGAGTGCTTAAATCGACGACAGTTACTGCAAGTGTTGTCGCGGCTGTCTTCCAAGTCACATTTTACCTAAATGAATGGTCATTACCGAGCGCGCACAAAAGATCGACCAAGGAATTACCTTTCGAGTATGACAATGAACACAAACAGTATGTGCTCGATCTCGAAGTCGGGCCATTTTATTAGATGATTGAGCTTTAATCTGGGGAGTTGGCATGTCCTCCATAGCTCAGGTACTTCGTGAACGTGGCAGCTAAGATTTTGTGATGCCGAGAGCATCCGCTTTCCCCTCTTTTACGGGTGCGGCCCTCACAACTTCAACCTAACCAGGTCACCGCCTCAAGTGCTTTATCACTGTACAATGGCTAAAATGGAACCTATAGCCATCAGCCTCAGTATTTCTATAACAAAATCTGTACTAAATATTAAGAATGGGCAAGCTATTTGAATTGAAAGAAAGAGCAATGAGCAATGAGAACTAAGCTTCCACATGTCCGCGACAGTAGGCTTCTGGGTCTAACGTCTGCAGGCGATGAACATATGAATGATGGTAGATTTCACTGTGGGGTATCACCCCGCATTGATCCTCGTGAAAAAACGCGGGGCTTCTATCAACCTCATACCTAGTTCAAATTAATGGCTGCATGCGGTGGCGGCCATTGATCTTTTTGGAGGGGGTTTCGGCTGTCGGCGTTGATGCTCGGTACATCGGCAAATCTGCCCTGTGGAACTGAGATTTGTCTGGAAGATGTGATATAAACTATATTTATAGAGGCAGTCAATGCGAGAATGCATACTCCCCATCTGTATTTCATATTTTACCTTTGAATCTCAACTCATCCATCATGTCTAAGTTGATTGTCGTCCTCGGTGCCACTGGGGGTCAAGGCGCTGCTATCGTCGATAGCTTTCTCAAGCTTCCAGACTGGCGTGTGCGTGGTCTTACTCGCAATGCCGCGAGTCAAAAAGCACAGTCTCTCGCTGCAAAGGGGGTGGAGGTTACAGAAGCCAATGTCGATGATCAAGCCAGTCTAGAGAAAGCGTTCCAGGGCGCTACTGCTATCTTTGCGTTCACCGACTACTATGATTACTTCTTCCAACTTGGACCAGAGAAGTCAATGGCACGTGAGCTACAACAAGGAAGCAATTTGGCTCGAGCTGCTGCGAAAATTCCAACGCTGGAACGATACATCTGGAGCACCTTGCCTAATACCGACCTTATCACCAAAGGCCAGGCCATAGTGCCACACTTCCAGGGAAAGGCCAACGTGGACGTTTTTATCAAAGACAACTTAGCTGAGCTCTACGAGAAGACTACTTTCATCATGTTCACCATTTTTGCCGTAAATGTGACTCATTATGAGATTTTCCGGCCGATCTATATTGTGAGTAACCTGCCCTTGCCTCTTGAATTTCAAATATCTAACTGATCATTACGCGTTAAGCCATCGGCCAGAAAATGGGTGCAGTTTTATCCAGTGCATCCTGATACACCGTATCCATCCATCGGCAACCACCGCGTGAACAGTGGCATCTTTGTGCGGGGTGTTATTGAGAACCCACCCCCGTCGGGTACATATGTCAAGTGCAATGTCGAGGATCTTACGATGGACACCTTCTTGGCCGCCTGGGGTCGGTCGAGTGGAGTGAGTCCCGAACCCAATTCCACTGCCGTCATCCAAATTTCCATGGAGCAGTATATTGCTCTATGGGGTGAGATGGGAGAAGAACAGGCCAGCCAGTGGCGATTCTTCCAGTTCATGAAGGATGCTGGAGTCAACCCAAGCAATGCTGCAGGGTTCAAACTAGTTGAGGGGAAGGATCTGCTATCTGAGGATCTTCGGGCCTCTCTTGTGCCAACTGAAGAGGGCATGAAGACCATGGACTGGTCCAGCTTTCATTGAAGCACTTGGATAACCTAGAATCCGCTACAATTCAATCAATCATACTTGAGTGACGTATTATTGAAAAAGGTTCTATCCAGCAGATTTCAAATTCATCTGTCTCAAACCTTAAGTATACTATATCATAAATGTAGATCTTGAAATTATGGATTCACTCAATCAGTTAAACTCATTATAAGAACCGGGAATTTGCAAACAACCTTTGAAGTATATAAACGATCCCCACAATCGGTATAACGTCAAAAAAATATCGTATTTGGATGTGGGCCGGACAAGAAGTGTTAACGGCAACAAGACAGACTAGATATGCCTGGAGAGAAGGGCTTGGAGATCGCCGAAACAAGTTGCCCCGTATACCCCGCATTCAAGTATTAAACTTTGAGACTAGTCGTTTTTAAAAGGCTCTACTATTTACGCTTATACTCGTCCGAGGTATGTTTGGACACGTCACCCAGGAAAGTGCCGAGTATACCGAGTGCCGTCACTGAGCCTTGTATACTACTTTGACCTTCAACTACGGTCATATATAGACAGAAATGTGTTGCCGAGAATCTCGGTTTAGGTTCACCACGCATAATAGCGGAAAGTCTTGTCGGTCCCGCTGTATTTAGATAAAAAGGCAACCCAGCGTGGGTTTCCATGCACCATAAATATTCCGTCTTCGACATTCTTGGAGATTTGAAGGGAAACAACAAATAGCCACCAAACCAAAACTCAATTTGCAGTAACCATGTCTGAAGGACTATCCGAAAAGGTACTTCTTGGTGCTCAGATGAGCAAAGAATTCCTTGGGGAGGAGCTATTGACAGAGCTGCGGAAACAAGCCGTACGTTTCACCCCAAGCGGTTACCCAAAGACGAGGCCACTAAGCCACTAACTTCAATATTCTTCTTCAGAAAGACGACATTTTCACCAAGACAAGCCAAGAGTATATTGCGGAAGTTTGTTTTTCCAGCTACGCGCGCCCAGGCCTCAAGTTCCGCGAGCGCTCCCTCATGAACCTTGCCATGCTTACGGCTCTCAATCGAGGACCCGAGCTACGTATTCATGTCGCCGCTGCACTTCACAATGGACTCACAGAGGAAGAAATCTGCGAAGCTTGCAGACATGCCATGATTTACTGTGGTGTTCCCGCCGGGCGGGATGCGCTTGCTATCGCGAGCGATACTGTCAACACTATTAAGAACAAGTCGAAGGCATAGATTCAGTCTACTAGGGGCGAATATTGACATGTATTCAAGCACATGTGCAGATGTTATTTTCCATTACATTCAGAGAAATCAATTCGCACCAATGCCATACCACTAAATATTCGGGGTTTTTTTACATAACTGCACATTCATCCGGATGTTATATTGATGAATATTTGTCGAAATTCTGTTCTCCATGTACTTATTCGCTTCCTACCAGGTACATAAGGACGGCAGCTTGAGCAGGGGTTTATTTGGAACTTCAGTAACATGTGTACATATGGCACACCTTCTGTATACCACTTGTGTATAGATCTTCGAAGACAAAAATTGAAAGCACATGTGTCAGACCCTGCTCAAAGGGGGTGCTGCCGAATTACTTTGAGATGCCAAAGAGGAGTTCTCCGAGACTGTGTGAATGCTTAGTACATTCGAGTAAGATGATTAATGAATAACAGCTATTGATAATTACAGTGTTAGATTTTAATCAATAATTTCCCAACTGTACCCCGATTTTCCACGTCTCGGTGAGCCTGCTCAACATCCTCGAGGGAATAGAGCCGATCATGCTTTTGGAAAACCCATTTCCCTAAAGCAAACCTGTCAAGAGCTTCCTTGCCGTAGCGTGTCATTCGGTCGTCAATAAATCCCTTGCTTGTGACCGGACGGGGAACTTGATCGGGGACTTTAACACCCTCGGGACCTCCGATTTTGGCCAAGTGGCTGGCTTTCATCGTAACAGGCATCGTGAAACTAGGTTCAATATTTACTTCGATTTTTTCGGCTCAATTTGAATATTTTCGGCCAGAACCAGGTGAAGAGCTTAAAATGCCCCGTCAAAGAATTTGATGTTGTCACCTGACATTTGCCGAGTGCCGAAGTGGATGACGAACGCTTCGGCACATGAGAGCCGAAATCCGGGGACCGAGCAGGATGGTCTGATGATGAAGCCAATGTCCTTGGAGCCACCGAGGTGTGGGGGAGGAAACTTCCTGGGGTAATAGCATTATATGAAAATACCAATATAGATATAAATGCTAGGTAGATGAAATTTGAAGGGAAAGCCTGTTCCATCAGCATCTAATTCAAAACCAACCTCGCTAACATGACTCTGACCAATTTGAACGGCCACGCGCCATACAAGGTGCTGGAGCAACCTCTTGGCACAACCCGTCACGTTCGAGTTATCACTATTGGTGCTGGTGCAAGTGGTCTGAACATGATTCGGACTCTACGGAAGAACATCCCCGACTCGGAAAACGTGGTCTACGAGAAGAATCCCGACATCGGGGGCACATGGTTCGAGAATAGGTATCCCGGTTGCCAATGTGATATCCCTTCACACAATTACCAATTTTCCTGGGCTCCAAACCCTCGCTGGAGCAGATTCTATTCCGGTTCATCGGAGATTCATCAATACTTCAAGGATCTTGTAGCTCGTGAGAATCTGCAAGACTCAATTAAGCTGCAACATCAGGTCGAGAGCGCTGTGTGGAACGAGGATGAAGGCCAGTGGCATGTGGTTGTGAGGGACCTCGCAACTGATACTATCATAAATGATGCAGCTCATTTCTTGCTTGATGGCTCGGGAATTCTCAAGTGAGTAATTCAAATATAACACATTGGTTGAACAGTTATTGATTACGAATTAGTCACTGGAAATGGCCAGAGATCCCTGGTCTCCATTCTTTCAAGGGAGATCTGGTACACAGTGCGAATTGGCCAGCGAACTGGGATTACAAGGGCAAAAGGGTAGCAGTAATCGGCAACGGATCATCTGGTGTACAGATCGTTCCTGCTATGCAGCCAGATGTTTCAACCCTCGTCCATGTATTCAGATCGCCGATCTGGGTAGCACCCCCAGGCTTGGAAGGAATGTCTGCGAGTACCGCCGGTGAAGAGATTGCGAACTTGGAACTTGACGGCGATCGCTTCACACCGACTCAGATTTCTCGGTTTGAGGAAGACAAGGAACTTTACAAACGCTTCACCAAGGCTACAGAGGAGGTAGTGAACAACAAATTCAGCTATGTGAGTTCCCTTTGTGGCTACTCTCACCTTGTCCGCATTTTTGACGTATTCGGACAGCTTGTTACCTCCACGCCTTTGCAAGGAATAGTCAAGGAGAAAATGAAAGAGTATATGAGCAAAAAGCTGAGAGGGGATACAAAGCTCATGGACAAGTTGATACCTGACTTCCCATTTGGATGCAGGCGAATCACACCTAGTGTTGCCTATCTCGACTCGTTGCATGAGAGTAACATGCACCTCGTGACTGATGGCATTGCAAATGTCTTTGAGAGCGGATTCACAACAGAATCCGGCGAGACAATTTTCGTTGATGCCATCGTTTGTGCTACCGGCTTCGACTTGTCATTTCGTCCTCGCTTCCCAGTTATTGGAAGAACCGGGAATCTGCAAGACATTTGGACCTCACAGATTCCCTCATCATACATGTCATGTGCTATCCCCGGGATGCCTAATTACTTCAGTGAGTATTCTACATTATCCTTACTTCATGAAGATCATTTTCTCATTATTTACCAGCATTCTTGGGCCCAAATGCCCCAATCGGACACGGCAGCGTGTTAACCATTACCGAACATGTTGCCAAATATATAGTCCGACTCATTCGCAAGTGTCAAGAAGAAGGGATCAAGTCTGTTTGCCCAAAACAAGACGCAGTCGATGATTTGAATGAACATATTGCAGTTTTCATGCCTCGAACAGCATGGGCAGGGAGCTGCCGTTCCTGGTTCAAGAATGGTGAAACAAACGGTCCAGTTACGGCACTTCATCCTGGAAGTCGAATCCACTGGTTCCATATGCTACAAAACTTCCGCGGTGAAGATTATGAATATACACGTTGGACTGCAAACCGGTTTCAATATCTGGGAAATGGAACCTCTACGCTCGAAGATCCAGGTATGAACTCAACTTGGTATTTAGACGAACCAGATAGTTTGTTTTAGTTTCTTTTTCCTTTTCCGTTTTTGAGATCAACAATTCATATTTTATTACAAGCTATAGCCTTAATTTGTTACTGTACTTGAATTGGTATAGAGGATATTCTGCCTGTAGCACTTATCAAACCTGGTAGTCATTTTGACATCGCCTTTTTCTGTTGAGCTCCCCGTTTAGATTATGTTGGAGTATTGTCAGGTAGCCCTTCCATTTGATGGAGTTCCCCATCTCTACGGCGCATGTTTGCCGGACTAAAAGGGATAACCTTTTAGTCTCTCCATACCACACATAACAGAAGACCTTTTGCTTGCCTTTCAACCCACTACACATCCTACATCTATCTTGTATCCCTGTACTATCTTATCCAATGGGGTTATACCTCAACAGATCTAACTAAATATTAGGGGATCTAGAGCCCGTTTTGAAAGTCTTGTTGAACAGAAAAATATTTGCCAGGATTCGCATTGTCAGTTCAATACTCATAACAAGGACGAACTGATGGCGTGAAGTGTGCTTAAGTTCTATATGCGAGACAATCACAGCGTATATCGAAACCCTTCCAATCCTTCAAGGACTTTCTCCTTACGGTCAGCCGCTTTGTTCTCCAAGTAAAACCATCCAGTGATTCCAATGTTAATAAACATGCAAACCACAGTACATGCTATACTGGCATATAGTCCAGGACGATAGCCAGGATAATCCTGCTCTCTAAACACCAGAGACCCAAAAATCCCACCCAAAGCAGCTAAGCTTGTCTGAAGAGGAACTGCAATTTGCCTCTTGCTTGTACCGACAACATTGTTTGACATAAAGGCCAGAATAGTTGGTATAGCACAGTTGTTTCCCACAACAGCCATGAATATTCCGGCCATTTTGCAGCCCGTGTTATTTCCCCATCCCATCATGATGAATCCAGCACAATTAAGCAGCATGAATCCAATGATAAATGGACTTCTAGCTCGGACCCGGTCTGATATTATACCTGTTGCGATAGCAAAGATGGCAGCCATCAGATAGGGTGGTGTCACTAGAATCTGGCTGAGTGCGGTACTGTAGCCTAATCCCGACAGGACCGAGGGTGTGAAGAATGCCATTGTGTAGGCGCCGGCAGTGGGGAAGAATAGCAAACTGGCCAGCACCCAGACTTTCCAATCAGTGAGATCTTTGAGAGCTTTTCGAATTGTGATTTTGTCGTCAAGACGCTCGCCTCGGTCTTCCTGAAGCCGCGTTTGAATAAGGCTGAGCTCCTCCGGACTCAGCCATTTTGCATTTTCTGGGAAATCTGACACAAAGAAGAAGATTGGAATGGCGAGGAACATTGTAATGGCACCAGGAATAATGAATATCCAGTTCCATCCCCGCCTGCCACCGAGGCCTTCCAGTGTGCTCAGCCCGTACGAGATGATCCCATTGAAGCCGGATATTACTGAGCCTGACATGTACCAAATGGAGAGTCTGCGTTGGGTCTCATATCTTTCATACCAGGAGGATATTAGGTAGATGCAGGCGGGCTGTTTGAAAACGTTGATTAGTATCTAATCATCCTGGATAGACAATTGCTCACATTAAATCCTCCTTCAAATGCCCCAAGAAGTAGCCGTAGGCCCACCAGCTGGGAGTATCGAGTAACAAATCCAAAGCACATGGATACGGTTCCCCAGGCCATGATGAGAAATGCGAGATAGTACCGTGTTCCCACACGTCGAACGATGAAATTGCTAGGCAATTCACTCATCAGATATGGTGCGAAAAACACCACGAGAGCAACAGAGAATCGATTTCCCGTAAGTTGCAGGTCCTGGGACATTCCAGCGACTTTTGCTGCGGATATATTGGTACGATCAATCAGCGATAGGGCGTAAAGAAGGCATAGCCAAGGAAGAAGTCGAATGTCGATTCGACGAACTAGTCTCTTCTCGGCTTTCTTCATCTCGGAAGTCTGTGTTGGGTTGTTTTGGAACTCGACATGGTGCTCGCTTATATCGTCAAGCTCTTTCTCACACGAAGGCCGTTCCTTGAAGATTTGTGCCATGTTGATCCTGAGTTTGAAACAAAACTAGGATGCCACAGTGGAGAAAATATGGGGAAACCTTGGGAAATCCGGGGGAAATATGGGCCCACAAGGTCCATTCATTTATCTGCCCTCGTAAGCCCACATCAAGGCTTCGGACATGTTCTGGGCCATCATTTGCTATCACGCGTCATTTCAAGGTTTCGGTACTCGGTACATCATCTACGCCGTCTTTATACACAACATTACCGAAGCCGAGGGTCTTACTTCTGTGGCCAATATTGAGACTGTTATAATTACCGGAGATGTCGGGTATATGTTATCTGAGCTTCAACAATTAAACTTGATTCGTTTAACTTTGAATTATATCTCATCTATATTGACCTTTTGTCCAAAATGCCTGCCGCCATTGTCACGGGTGCTTCTCAAGGCATCGGTCGAGCCATTTCCTTACGTTTAGCAGATGACGGCTTCGACGTAGCTGTGAGTATATTTCAATATCTTTGAGTCCATACCTGTAGTCTTTCTCACCCAAAGGCTAGGTGAATGACATCGCCGGGAGACATTCTGAGCTCCAGAGTCTCAAAGCAGAAATCGAGTCTAAAGGTGTGTATCTCATCTACCGGGGTATTTGGTGCTCATTCAAAATAGGCAGATCCTCTGTTGCCATAGTTGGCGATGTAAGCGTAGAGGAGGATGTGAACCAATTGGTTGAGGCAACTGTTGAAGCTCTTGGCCACTTGGCGGTAAATTTCAATGACCTTCCCTTTGGGCAAACCTTCACTAACTTCGCATGTAGGTCATGGTCGCAAATGCGGGTATAATGCTCACGAAAGGGATGATGGACCTTACGATGGATGAATGGGATCGTGTTCAAGCTGTTTGCGCCCTCCCCCCCCCGCTTCTTGCGATATTAACTCGAGCTTACGGTGCAAAGGTCAATGTCAAGGGTGTTTTTCTGTGCTACCGAGCTGCTGGTAAGTCTGATTACTTGAATTAGGCGTATTTTATTGATGTGATTTTAATCTCATGTCTAGGTCGACAGATGATTGCCCAAGGCAACGGGGGAAAGATTATTGGCGCATGTTCTATCTCGGGTTATCGGCCGGTATTGAATTCCTTACTCCGGCTGTATCGATAATATACGATAACTAACCTATATTAAAAGCAACCGACTGCCATTGCCTATTCAGTGAGCAAATGGGCCGTTCGAGCCTTGACCCAAGCGACGGCCATTGAATTCGCCCCCCATGGCATTAACGTGAGTTGACAATACCTGTTTCTATGAATGTCGAAAAAAAAAAAAAACAGAAAAGAAAACTTGATTTAACTCTTTCCCAGGTGAATGGTAATGAATCATGAAATCCCCATTTGAAGATTCGCGTGAGTAATGAAATTGATTTTATATCTAGCTTATTGCCCTGGCATCGTCAAAACACCGGTAAGAGATACAACATGGACTTCAACGATTTTTTCACCCTGTCTAACCATGCGTAGATGTGGGATCAAATCGATGACAACTTTTCAAGTGTTCATGGCGTACCAAAGGGCCATGCCTTTGAGCAAGCAGTCCAATCGCGCTCTGCGATGAAAAAGCCTCAGGTATGACCAAGATTAGTCTTTTGTTCACCAAGATGGTCTTACTAATGAGCAACGATAGACTCCAGAGGATATTGCCGGCTGCGTCAGCTTCCTTGCAAGTAAAGACTCCGGTATGATAACTGGACAAAGCATCATTATTGATGGGGGTAAGTGCACTCAGATCAGTAAAGAATCGACATGTTGCTTATTGTCCTCATCATTTACAGGCATTCAGTTCTCTTGATTGGGTCTATGGAAACTTGATTTAGTCACAGACACCTAGCTACTGCTCATGGTAAATAAAATGCAATAAATGCGTTTCGATATTTACGTTTACATTAAGAACCTTGGAACTACATTTAGAGTGATCAATCAGTCAATCAATCAATCAAAGTTCAATTAACTTGTTGCAGTCTAACTAGTTGCGTATGATTGATTATGCAGGCGTTTCATCCAGCTGAAGCAAGAACTCGAAGCCAAACGCCGAGCGAGATCTCTCCCTAGGGGGGCTATATACTTTCTATCGCTACTACAATGGCTACTAATACAAAACTCGTATCAATAGATAGAGTAGGAATTTAGATTTAACTTACAATTGATTTGAAAGTGGTAGCCCTTAGCGTTGTGGTGCAATTTCAAAAAAAATAGATTCGCGTAAAGATGTGTGTTTTTGATGAGACAGTATTTAAATCTAGAGTATTATATGGGAATTACTCATTAAACAAACTCATAAACATCAGACCATTGCTCTAAGCTAATCGAAATTAAATCATCAATATCACACGCACCTTACTAACTATGCTCGACAAAGCATACGTTCAAGGCATATGAACTCCAACCCCAGTATACAGCACCATCGACTTTCTTCGGCAGTGTTCGTTGGCGTCGGCAATAGACAGTAATCGGTGCAAGCTTGATTCGGCAGTCAACTACCGATCGGCATAAGTAGCCAGGTGAGGGGCTAGCGAGGGGGAGATGATTAATAATAAGTTGGGCTTGATTTTGTGATTCTTTTCGAATTGTTGACGGCAGCGAGATTTTTCTAGTTTTCTATGTTCTATTTAAACTCGTTCCCAACGTACTCAACACATATACCATCCTAGTACCAAGCCTACACCCGTCATGGCACAGAAACTCATTGTTGTTGTCGGTGCGACTGGTGGTCAAGGTGGCGCTGTTGTTTCCAAGTTTTTGAGCGATAAGACATGGAAAGTCCGTGGAATCACTCGAAACACGCAAAGCGAAAGGGCAAGGGCCCTCTCTGCCAAGGGCGTCGAAATGGTTCAAGCAAATATCGACAATCTAGTCAGCCTTGACAAAGCATTCGAAGGAGCGACGGCTATTTTTGCCGTGACGGACTACTACGAGAGTTTTTGGGACAAGGGATGGGAGAAGGCCATGGAAATCGAGTATGCCCAGGGAACAAACATGGCGATAGCGGCCAGCAAGGTCACCACCTTAGAACATTACCTCTGGAGTACTCTTCCCCATACATCTCTTATCACAAATGGCAAGGCGTTGGTACCTCATTTCGAAGCCAAGGGCCGTGTGGATGACTTCATCCGGTCAGACAAGACGCTTTTGGAGCGAACTACCTTCTGTCTCTTCACGACTTTCACCAATAATTTGATTCAGTACGATATCTTCAAACCAATATATGTTGTCAGTAATGCGCTCCATTATTCCAAGTTTCGCATTTGAAACTAACTCGTGCACAGCCTGCTGCGAAGAAATGGATTCAACATTATCCAACAGACCCTACAACCACGTACCCATTGCTGGGAGATCATTCGGTCAACTCTGGTATTTTCGTCTACAGTTTGGTGACGAACAAGCCTCCTTCAGGAGCTTATGTGCGGTGTACTGTGAAGGACTACACATTGGAATCATACCTGGCGATGTGGGGCAGGGAGAGTGGAATTTCTCCTGATCCTAACTCAACCATGGTTGTTCGCCTATCACCTGAGGTCTATACGAAGCTTTATGGGGATATGGGTGAAGAACAAGCACGTCAATGGGAGTTTCTACGGATTTTGAAAGACAGCGGTGCCACGAATAGGTATGGATTTCCCGTGCATGATGTGCAGGAATTCATGTCTAAAGAGGCCATCAAATCTCTTATGAGCCCAGAAGAGTCGGTTAGAAACGTGAACTGGAAGGCTCTTGGATTCTAAGCACAAGGGTTATACATTCATGCTATTTACTTGCTAGTTATCATTCAAGCATGACGTTTGTACATATACTTTACGGCTTGGTATCATTTGAAAGTTCAAGATACATTTATTCGTAGTAATGGTGACCAGTTAACTAAAGGAATCTTGGTATATACACTTGCTTGAGTTATCCACTCAATACTAGCAAAGGCCTCATCATATTCGAGACCTCGAACGCAGTAACGTACATGAGCTCTGGAAGGTACATAATTCTGGACAGATTAGACCAAGAAACATAATATTGAAGAAGAAGTATAAGGTTCCGTCATTTTTGTTCACTTTGAAAGTCCGGTGTTTCATTCAATTCAGCCTCCAATAGTAGCTCTCAAACAGCTAAACACTTATATAGGCATTCAAGACAGTATGTTTAGGGTCTTTTTAAACGCCTCATAATCCCAAAGCTTGCCATCTCTCCAGAAGCCCTCGACTAGAGGAGCATGTGCTGGTTGTCCGTCCACCGCAATTTCTCTCATCCAGCCCCAATGGCATTTCTCTTTGATACAATCACCCTTCCAACCATTGATATCTTGGCCCGGATTCTTATTGAAAATAGGCAGATAGTCAAGTAAAACCGCGTCATGGGCAATGCACACCAAGACGTTCTCATTTTGATCCAGAGATTGCATTTTGGCAACCGAAGCCCGCGCATCTTCAAAGTCGGGGTATACCGTGGGATATTCAGCGCGCATATTATACCAAGGCGTTGTGCGGGCAGCCCCTTGGTCGGAGGTATTAGGATGGTGGGCTGTCAGAGAACACGGACAGGCAGGGAAGTTCCTGGCTTCATTGCGCCATTTGATAATGGATTCAGGAATGGGGTCTGGAAGAGGTTTCTCGGGGGATGGGCGAAAGTCACCTGCGAAGTGGCATATATCCCCACCCATGAAGACGAATGTGGCGCCGCCTTCTGCAGAGGATGGGGTGGTACGTGCCAACGCACAGAGGTGACCTGGACAGTGACCAGGAGAGTCGAGGAGGTAAAAGGATCCGTCTCCAAAGTAGTCGTATGCAGGGAATCCACCGATTGAAAAGCTATGTTCAAAGTTGACCTCGATCAGGTCCCGATTGGCGAAGTCTGAGGCCAAGACTGGAGACTTCGGGTCTTCGGGGTAGCCTGGCAACAGCCCAGCTGCCTTAAAACCACTTCCAACAGTGATAGAAGTCGATGAAGGGAATGGAGACATATTACCGCAGTGGTCATAGTGGTAGTGGGACCAGATACAGGAGTCTACAGCCAGTCAGTTATCGTGCTTGAGGCAAACTCGGGGAGAATTCAAACTGACTGATACTCTCCAGTGCCACACCTCCATCTTCCAGAATCTCACTTACGTCCTTTTCAACCCTTATTCCATCCATGACCGTATCGGCGCCAAAAACACGCTGAACGGCCGGTGCAAGATTCCAGTAGTCTTTGCGTGTTCCAAGATCGAACATCACTTTCTTTCCTTGGGCCTCATTCTCGATGAAGAATGCAAGATCATAGAAGCTAAAGGTTTCATGTCCAGGAACAACGGGATCAACAAACACAAAAGCCTTTCCGGTCAGGTAGGTTGTGGTGTCAAGCAGCTTGACCCGCACGATGTTGTCTGATAGTGGGATATCCATATTTTTTTTCTTTTCAGCAAAGCTCAATGAGTGTTGGGTCGTTGGAATGTAGTGGTCAAAACTGAATATTTTGATACATTCTTAAGTTGATCTTTTCCAAGCTTACAGCATTTTACCGAGGGCCAGCGTCAAGTCTGCTTTGAGACTTCGCCGCTCGGCAACTCGGTTCTGTATACCGAAAACCGAACAATTTCTCTAGATTTCTTGCCAAAGAGAATGACCAATTATATACATGTATTGTTATTGAGTCTGTGAACAACTTACTACATAACGTATTTCACTACCGAGCCGGCCATACCGCCGAGCTGGCCTCCCCCCAAACACATAGTAAATGCGATTAATTGCAACTTGATATCTCAACAACCACGTTTCTATTTGATTTCATTGCCTATCGATAGCTATTGATGCATTTGCAAGTGTATTCTCTCAATCTAGGTTTTTTTCCGGCATGTTGATGGGTATAAAATGGTAGCAAAAATGGTGGGTGGTGTAAAATTTACATTAAGCAAGAGTTTACATTAGTGTGTGGTAACCCTACACCTGAAGGGGGTGGGGTTACTTGGCAAGGACCGGGTACTGTTTAACTAAAGCTTAAAAAAGTTGTATTATATGGGCGGTGATCTCGTGTTCTCCTAAGGCGGTGAAAGCAGGCAGGTACTCTAGTTTCTGACCGCAGTTAGAAACTCTAGCTAAGGAGGTCTAGTAATAAGCGTAGGGAGAGCCGAGCTGTAGTTTCTGACCTCGGTTAGAAACTCTAGCTAGGGAGTTCTAGTAGTAAGCGTGGGTAGAGCCCGAGCCTTAGTACTAGTAGTATAAGCCGAAAAATACTTACGAAGTTGTATAGATATATTTTAGTTATATATATTTTCTAAGTTCTTAATAACCTTTCGGGTTTTTTATAGGTTCTTACGGGTATAGCTAATAATATAAACGAGACTAATTCAAATGGATAGACACAAAATTATACTAGAACGAGCATCAAAGAGACGTGACAAGGCTGCAAATACGGCCAGCTATTGTTGTTGTATGATATAAAGCTAAGTTAATAATAGTTAATCACTCATCCCGCATCCCATAAAAGGCTAAGTAGTAATATAATGGGATCTGTCCAAGGTGTCCGCGGCAGACAGCAAAGCTAAGCTCAACCCAAAGCAGAAAGTAAGTCAGCGTTCTCATCAATGGCCTCCTGAATGGTGATAGAGGGGATACGAGGTGCCTCGGAGGATAGAACTGAATGCCTCGTAGAGGGATTGCTTGAACAACTTGAGCGCACTGGAGACTCCGCAATCTTGTGCCCTTGTAAAACCATATACGCCATCATATTAGCAATATCACCCCATCCATCTCGGGTAGCTCGATACGCGACCACAGACCATTGCCCTACATTGGCCAGCCGAACAAAGAAAAACCAGTCCCCATCTGTAAGGGTACCCCCACACAGTGCTATCGGATTGTCCCCGAGCCTTTCGGCTTGCCCGAACCATGGCCATATAGGCCAAGAGCTGTCCTAGGCCGGTTCCGGTGGTGTCCTTCTTGGCCTCTACTACGACCAAGTGACAGGCTATGTGGTCCCGCTCACCAAAGAACATTGTGTAGTCTGCCCTTCCTACACACTTGTGTTGTTTGTTTTTGTAGTTGATCGGACCCCATTCAAGTGCGGTTTCGAATTGGAGAGTGACTTTTGGGCCGTAATCCAATAATCCATCAGCCGTTAGACTCATAGACCGTGAAAAGGAGGGCATCTATTTTGCACCTTGTACGAGCTTCGATCGGCTTTGAGGATTTAGTGAACTCTGTAAAAGTGTCCATCCAGGTATCTATAGCTATTTATTAGTATTCTAAAGTACAAGGGATAATGATGTCTTAGGTACCAAAATCCGGCCTAAGCAAAATAACTCGCCGGGCCAAATGCCATTTTTCCTGCCCTCGCAGTTCCCTCAAGTTAAAAAAGTTGTTGACATCTGATAGTGTCATGTCTGATGCACTGATGGTAGCGATTTCAGGCTTGAGGGGAGGTTTCATAATGAAATCTTGTAGTCTGGTTGTGTTGACATCGGACGATTCTGAGAGCTTGTGTAGTCGGCTCCACCATTTTTTCCATGCGTTCGGCACATTCGCCAGCGATGGCATTTTGATACAAAGGAGTAGATGAGATCTTGTAATGAAGGGGGAAAAAGCTGTTGGTTCAAGTAGATACAAGTAAAAGTCGAAAAGCACTCGAATAAAATCAAGGGAAAGTGCCTGGTCCGAAGCTCAATTAGGAAAGGAACCTTATATAGATAACTATGAGGTCATATAGTAGAGAGTTATCAGGTGTAAAGTCTAGTCCGTATTACCTTTAGAGTAATATTCTGTATCCCTAGCTCGTTCTACCATATGTGTATATATGAAGGTGTTAGGTTTATCCACGATCCCGTTCTGTCGGTTATCAAATCGAACGCATATCACAAGAAAATGAACAGGATTCACACGTTCTCATGGCCCCCAACAACTACCCCGAACCTTCTGAGATAGACTTTAGGGGGCAAATTTTGTCTTAATTTTTTTTTTTTTTTTTTTTTCAATATTATTATTTAAAAAGGCCAAAAGGAAAGGAAATTGAATTGAGGAAGCTAGTATCAAACCCGTCCCTGCCCCTGCCTTTAGCGACGATAGCGCATACTTACGGCTCCCCGATTCGGGGGGGAGGGGGCGAACGATTCATGTGCCTAATGAACCAGCTGCGGACACCTCTTGATCTATCTGTAATGTCGATCTATTTTTTATTTCACCTCTTTTTTTCTGTTGATATTTAGGTGAAATTCTGAACTACTTCGACTGAAATAAATACCCAGGTATTTCTCTTCCCCGTGATGTTACAAAAGCCAAACCCATTTTCCTTTTCTTGGTATTTACTTTCCTCTATCCTTCGATTGAGGGTTGAACATAGCGTGGTCGCCACATTATATAGACCCGTATACATTTGGATTTGTTCCCAACAGGAAGAGAGCACTCCTGGTTCCATTTATCTCCAACCAGCGCTTGTTCGTCCTGGTGATGCCTCCGCGTGGGATTCTTCTCCCTGGGTGCAATACTACCCGGATGATGTGAATAAAAACAATGCACAGTACCTTGTTGACAACAACGGCCACAACGACTCCCAGACGGTATCCAGGGCATCTTTCGGCCCTGCGATCCATACCACAAACATCACCCCTCTCGTGGCTCCTAAGAATTTTGAATACTATATAGCAATCTTAAGAATATCGAAGAGGTGCGTCATTATGGTATTGAAAATTACAGTCCTAAAAGCCAGAAATATACATACCGCAATCACAAAGTCATATATATTTTGTTGAAGGGGTCTCTACAATGTAGGGGCCCAGAAGTGTGGAGGGAGAGAGTTGATTTCTATGGAGGGGTGCTCTGCCGACTACATACTAGTTACCTGAGGTGTTGATGCCTGGATTCTCAGGCACCAGAACATAACGTATTCGGTAAGCGAGCCGCCAACTCCAAAACACATAGTAAATAAGATAAACTACAACTTGATATCTCAACCACACGGCATAATTAATCTTTAAAATTGGTAGATAGGTATCGATAAGCATTCTTAGTAGCATGTATCAATTTTGAAAGCATTGGAGACCTAAATTATTGTCGTATGGAAATTACATCGCTAGACTCCAAAAAATATATATATTTCAATCACCAAATCATTAAATATCTCAAAACTCCCCAAACGAACTAGATATCATATAAAAACAATTAGACTGAAAGGAAAAATTACTATAGACTACTGTTGTTGAGATACCAAGTTGTAATTTATCGCATTTACTATGTGCTTTGATGTACTTGGGGGGTGGCTGGCTCGGTAGTGAAATACGTTATTTCAAAATGTTCCTAATGTTTCTAAAAAGGTTGAAGACGATTTTTAATTTCCTTCTCCCTGAGCCAAGTCACTGCCCCGCGAGCTTGGATAAACTAATGGCACGCGAACACACATAATCATTCAGGATATACGAAGACATAAACGCGTGATTGGCAATTTTGCTGACAGATCTTCGATTTGCACCCAGCCAGCGGCTGATAGTTCGGCGGCCGCGGAGCATTGCCGCACAATGACTAATCGTGTAACCTTACCTAGGTACCTAGGTAGAACGTCCGGCCTTGGCGGGGCGGCCGCGGGCGGCCGCCCGAGGCCGCCCTGAAGACATAGAGCTCAGATTCGAGATAGATTCTTAGCAATCAACAACCATCTCGAGAGAATTCTAAAAATTTCATCTGAATTTACTCAACAATAAAATGTATCGTTTTAAACCCACCTATAAATTTGTTCGCCAATACCCATTCCATCATTCTCCAACATTTTACAAAAAGACCCGCCGGTGCGCTTCGTCGCAACCCCCTTATTTTTGATCTTTCCAAACTCGTTCTTCGATAATCTGCTCAAACGAACACGACAATTTGTCCGTAATGGGTAGAGCAACCGTCGTGATAGTTGGCGCCTCTCACGCCGGACTTGGAGTTGCAAATGGGCTTCTTAAAACCGACTCCGACAAGGTTAAGGTCATCTTGATCAACCCATCGGAGAAGCACTACTTCAATATTGCCGCTCCAAGAATTCTCGCAAAGCCTCAGTTCTTCCAGCCAGATCAATATCTCCTCCCCATCGAACAATCATTTACGCGCTACCCAGAAGGGTCGTTTCAATTTGTTAAAGGAGAAGCAACTAGCATCAATGTCGCCTCAAAGTCAGTCAAGGTTTCATCGCTACAATCGGCCCTTGTCTACGACTATCTTGTGATTGCATCCGGCAGCACGACAAGTTCCTCACTACAGGGGGAGCTGGCTCCTTTCAAGCCACTCGGCAATCAAGATATCGATGCATCCATTCGCTCAATACAAAAGGTCATCTCCGATGCGAAAAGTGTCATTGTCGGCGGAGCAGGCCCGATCGGTGTCGAATTTGCTGGCGAACTTGCAGAGGCTTTTGAAACCAAGCCGGGTGCTTCGGTCACCCTCATTTCAGCGAGCAAACATGTCTTGCCTATGTTAAAGGAAAAGGGCAGAATTATGGCGGAGAAGGTCCTCACAGAAAAGAAAGTCAAGGTAATCACCTCACGGAAGGTGGTGGATGCTGTGCGCAAAGTTTCCGGAAACAAAGCTCAGTGGGTTGTCAACTTGGACAACGGCGAGCAGCTTGAAGCAGACGTATATATATCTACGACGGGAGCGATACCAAATAACCAGTTTGTCCCACCAGAATTTCTCTCCGCCGATGGCTGGATTGCGGTGGACGACAAACTGCGCGTTGCGGGAGGGGATGGTTCGATCTATGCACTCGGAGACATTACAACCCAACCACTGCGCGTGGTAACAAAAGTTGCAGAGCAGGTCCCTGTGGTTGTGGCCAATCTCAAGGCTGCAATTATTGGCAGGGGAAAGCATTCTACCTACTCCTCTAATGAGACTTTGATGATGATTGTGCCGATTGGAGAAAGTACGGGCACGGGTCAGATTTTCGGATGGAAGCCTTGGGGGTTCATGGTTTCCATGATCAAGGGAAAGGATTTCTTTGTTTCGAAAGCTCCTGGAATGCTCGGTTTGAGCTGAAACTTCGGTAGTCATGTATGCCCATTAAATATTTAGGTAATTTGATTAAATATAGCGCCACCTCCAACTTAAACTTGCTGCAAATCAAAGGAAGCTTAGATTTCCAAGGGGATACAAGAGGGTATATATACTAATGAGACTACCTTAGCTGATCTTAGCTGACTTAAGAGTCGCTTTAGTTTCAAAGGCTATATCGGCACCAGCAGCTAGTTCGGTTCGGAGATGAAGGAATGAACGGAGATTTTGCTCCCCAGTTGTAGCTAGGGGCCTTGTGACTAAGGAATATATAACCGAACATTCCCAGGCTAATTAACCAATTAGGTACATAGTAGATATGGAACAATCTTGTTCCGCTGTCCCGGGCATGAAGCATCTTCTAAGGTAAAAGGTTCGTCGACCCCACCAATTGAGAAATCAAGAAGCTACAATTAACAGATGAACGTGGTAATGGCCACAACGTCTGGTTCTGTAAATCAGACGAGTGATCGATTTGCACCGCGAACTTGTATTCCGTGCAAGTCTAGCAAGAAGAAATGTGACAAGAACCTACCAACGTGTGATCGCTGTTCCAGGTATGTATTGTGCCTGCCCCTGCCCATTTTGTGGAGCAAGTTTGCATGCGAACTGATCATATTACTAGGCTTGATCTCCCTTGCACATATGATGGCGCAGCAGAGACAGTTCAAGACATCACGGCCAAATCTCAAGCCATCCTTGACAGGCTGGAGAGGCTCGAGTCGCGTGTATTTGCATCTGAAGAGCAGCGGACTACCGTGTCACCTGATCATCACGCCAAATCCAGCATTGAGGTCAAGCAAGCGCAGGAAAATGCTTGGCAGTTGAGACCTAACCTACTTCAGCCGTCCTACTTGGAATTTATAGTAGGAATGAATTTAACCAGAATCCTAGAGGAGAAAAGCACTTCAATTCGGACAGTGGGTCGGATTTACTTCGATTCAATACACGACTTTCTGCCAATTATCTCTAGGGAAAGAATTGATAAGCGAACTCAGGAAGCAGAAAGTTTCCAACCGAACGGGGGCTTCATGATACTAATTTTAAGTATCCTTCTACTAACGGAGGAGCCTGTGAATGGTTTCGTAGCCTCGGGCACGTTTTCTCCCCCAGAGTTATACCGAATTTGCAAATACCACTACTCCCTATTTTCATCACTAAAAGAACCGTGCGTCGAGCTGATCCAATCCGGGCTATTGATTGCGCTGTATGAACATGCCCATTGCCTGGGGAGTCAGGCATATCTTACAATTGGCACTTGTGCAAGAATGGCCGGTGCAATTGGGCTGCCCGCGCCTACATCCGATATATCTCAATCTTCAGAAATGACGACCTGTTCAGAAGAAGCCATAAATATTCTCCTTGGCATTTACATTCTCGACAAGTAATACTTAGCACTTCATACCGTTCTTTTGTGGGGTACTCGTTGGCTAATACTCCAGGTATCATGGCAGGCATATCAAGATTATTTCCAAGGTGATTAACAAGCCCATAATCTATGAATATTCTCCAATTTCAAAACCCTTGGGCATAACAGGTCTGGTTCTGCTGATTAATGTCGTACCAAGTTTCACAGACCTAATCTCATATAGTGGGTAAGGTTGGCACCTTACAGTGCGAAGCGAATGCATGTGATATCCTTGAACGAGTACAAGCTGTTCTCTGTGATCGCTCTCTTGCATATTGGTCGGCTTGCCCTGGCGGTACGCGATTAATTCGAGATACCTCCCTGGAAGCCGAACTACGGAGGTTGATGACCAATTTTACGGATCACCGAGATGACTTTCTATGGCACCGAGGTCTTGATACAACGTTCGGGTAAGCTTTACATTCATGTTCATGCTCTGCACCGAGGCTGAATGACTTAACCTTGCTTGGTAGGGCGATGTTGTGTGCATACGCTTTCTACCAGCTCCAAATGACAACCGACAGTGCCGTTGAATTTCCTGGACAACTTCAAACAACATTAGAGTTAATGGTGGATATATCAAGTAGCCGGCTCAATCTGCTCACAATGACAGAGGATGTCCACCTCGCATTTCTGTCTCCATTCTCCATCACTGGCCTTTTTTTGGTGTTAGAAACCTTGGGATTGCTAGATCCGGTGGAAAATATCGATACATGCCTATTCAGGTACCGAGAAACTTTCATGGAGATTCTTCGGAGCCTTCGTTGCCGATGGAGACTAGCAGGTAGGCAACTGAGCGTAACTGTTTGGAACGATTAAGGGCTGACAAAATGCTTCATAGGGCAAATTCTGGAGACCTTAGAACAAAGATAGAGTTAATTGTTGCGAACCCCACCGCAGTGAATTCTTGCGCGGGGTGACGATTGTGCGCTTTGGGTGGCTTTGACGAGAGGACTTGGTGTCTGCGTCTAGGGGTTGGACTAGGGATGGTGTAATTTGGAAATTGCCCAACGGATTCCAAAATATTGAAATTCCACTTTCTTTTCCCATTTCGATTTCATTCCAAAAGGCTGGTATCTGCCAAGTCCTCATAAGTAGTAAACTCTCTCGGCCAATAGGGCCCGATAACTGTTGTGTTCTTTCGAATATATTGTAGCTCCTGGTAACAGACCCTAGAGCGTGTATCTTCTACATCTTTAGCATGGTCTCATCCCATCAAACCTGCATTTCCCTTGGAAATAGCTCACGCATTAAACCCGAGTCTCAGAGGTGGTTTTAAATCTACAATGCGATAAAGAGGCACTGACACTTAATATCTAGGCGTTAAGCTGTCGCTCCGAAATTTGGAAGATATCAGAGATGGGAGAGATTAAAGGGGAGGCAAAAAAAAGTGATATAATACTATATACGTAAATCTTGTTGTATCTTAACATTGTAATATCCATAGTTCGTGGTGTACTAATATATGTCCGATTCATTGGGATATTTTGCATCCTCGGAGCCTTCCACTAGTAGTGTTATAGGCCCAAAGCCCGCCTATCACCACATTGACCTCAAGACCCTTATCGAAATTGGCTTCTATGTTGAAAGAAATGTGAGTGGACACAGATCCTTTCTCAGGTAAGTTGTCGTAGGAAAATTCTTATAAGAGAGCAATTGCCTCCTCGTAATTTCTCTTTGTGGCGAGCTCGAGTCTGTTTTATCTGGATGGACACCATTTACCAGCAGAATTTTCACAATTTCAAGGTGCTTGAAATGTAGAGCGAAACCTATTGTGCTATAGAAAAACCAATCCGCATGATCCCAAGTGGAGAACTGTCACTCCAAGTTTTGTTCTGCACTTTTCTCAAACAAGGATTGAACCATATCGTAATGTCCGTGCATGATTACGGAGAACATTGCCTGAGTGCCAAACATGTCTATCTCCAAAGCATCATATTTAATCAATAGTTGATAAAGATCTTTGTCATTTTTGCGCGCAATGTGCATTAGAGCTCCATCAGAATGCAGGCGTTCTCCTGGTTTGAGAAGAAGCTCAACCATGGGTCGTTGATTGGTGAATATAACATTCGCGAGGGGACTTGGACTTTCTGAATAACCTGATTTTGCTCCTGTCTCTCGCAGCCGGGGGAAAGCCGGAGTTAAAACAAGGAAACGGAGGGCGAAGACCATTTCCAGGTTTATACAGCACAGCTGCATATCGCCCTACTCACCACGATTGAACCTGAACCTTTTTTTCTTCTACCATCCACGCACTGTCACGACATCGTCAACGCGTCATTGAGGGCGAGCGGGATGCTGATGTGGATCCTGTGATCAACCGCGATGGGGTTCAGCCTAGATGAGCCCAATAACTAATGACAGGAACTGAGCCAGGTGTGTGCAATTTATATTTTCTATCGATGTTGCATCCCAAGCAATTCTAGGAATTTATGTACATGGCGTCGTATCACGATAAAACGCGAAAGAAGAGAAAAGAAAAGAAATACGTGGTTATCATGTATTTAAAGAGACGCTTGCTCAAGCCAAGTTCAATGGGTGGGCCTGGAGATAATCATCAAGCGTGGTTAAATGACCTCTAGCCTGTTCTGCCGACCATTTCACCTTTTCCTCGGTATTCTCACCGAAGTAGCCAAAGTCTTCAAAATACAGCAGCATATCAACAATGTGATCACTCATCAACGGCGGCAGGAACCCTTTCCAGACGTCTACGGGAAACTGTCGGTATGCGACCGTCTTCCCAGACGCCTTGCTCATGGCCTGGGCTATTTCTTCGAAACTGTACAGAGCAGTGGCGCAGCTGAGCACCTTGCCCTTGTACTTAGGAAAATCAGCCAGGATAGCGGCCACGAACTTGCCCGTGTCATCGGCCGTATTCACGAGGGGCATCTTGGCCTGGGGGCTGACGATGGCGGCAAAGGTGTAGGTACCGTCACCAGCAGGGTGAGGCGCCATGGAGGAATTGAAATTGGACATGAAGGATCCCAGGGCGATGAAAGCGCTTTCAATGGGCAGGGTACGGATGTATTCCTCTACTTCTGCTTTACCGTCAAAGTGGCCCATGTTCTTGTATTTGCCATTTGAGTTCTTGCCCCCGTTGGGCAGAGTTGAGTAGATATACTTGGGCACACCGACGGCGACGGCGGCGTCAGCCAGGGCGCGACCCTGGCTGACTTCGTGGTCGCGTGCATGTCCGTCGTAGATAGTGATGGTGTTTGCGAAGACAACGTCGGCTCCGGTGAACGCGCTGTGAACGGAAGCGGGATCTTCAATACTGGCTGCCACAACTTCAATTCCTTTCTTTGCTAGTTCTTGTGCTTGCGCACTGCTTGGATTCCGGGTTGTGCCTCTGATGGAGTATTCCTTGCTCAGCTCTGCGTCTGCAAGTACAGTCTCGGCTACTGAGCCGCCTTGCTGGCCGGTGACACCGAAGATGACGAGAAGTTTAGGCATTTTGACTTGGATTTCAGAGATTGAAGACAGATAAACCCAGGTAGGTTTAGGGGACTGAAAAGAGGTAATCCTAAGCTATAAGTAAAGCAGTTTTATAAAAGCCCCGATAGTGGCGGTTCGTGGCTAACTAAGCCCGAAGTCCGGCAGACTCGGGCCCCGGTATCCTTATCCCCGAGCTATCAACAAAGAGGTCAAATCATTTCCAAACAACCATGAGTACCGTAACAAGACAGGTAGAGGTGTGGTGGTATCTCGTAATCTGTATCCGTCTTGTTGTATTTCTGCTCGCGATGTGGGACTCAAGCTCCGATGTGTGAGTGGCGGTGCATGGCGGGTAGGGGTCAATGCCTGGTATCTCAGGTATCGAGGCGTGAATTATATGTTATTTTGGTGTATTTTTAATTTTGAGCGAGCAGAGAATTAAAATATCTGTATTAAGAGATCCAAGGGAAGGAAAGCTTTATAAGGAAAGTACCCGCCTGGGCACCTTCCAAGGTTACAAGTAACTTCCTCCTTGAGACTGTAAATCACCCCAAACCTCTTATCTTAAGGCTATTATTACTATACAAATCTTTATATTCACCCGATTCTAGGCTAAAATACCCGGCATTTGACCATGGTCGCTATACCCGTTCGCACCCCGGGCCCCGAGAGGCCGCACCGTGCATGCACAAACTACCTCACCGAAGCTGACAATTTGACTGTCATTGAGAATAGTTACGACACCTGGAGAGCAAGCAGCTTGTCGGCTAGTTCCTTGCGCATGACGACTTCTTCAAGCACTGCCACCGCTACCCCTCTAGTTTAACGGTGGCCTTTGCATCCGATAAATGCATGCCAACAGGGCAGGAGGAGCAGGTCAAAGGTGTCGAGCGCATGAAGGACAACTCGAGCAAGGGCTTCATCACCATCTGGATCGTTGACTCGCTGCTGTTCCTAAACAAGCCATCATGAATGATTAAGCCGCGATGAGCTCGTGCAGATTATCTGGAAATATTTCAAGACGAAATCTAGAAGAGTCGGAAGGACTATCAACGAGACAAAGTTGACAGCACTTGAGTGCTGTCTGAAAATAGCAGTATTACGCCACGGGGGCAGCCTAATGTTTAAGATGGTAATGAACTTACAACAGACTTAGATCTATTAAAGTTTCTTTTCAGCAATTAAGGCTAACCTTTTTCTAAGATAAGACGTGTATAAGCTGGAAAAGGTTGTTTCTTCGAACCGATGCGAATCCTCACGGGGATCCAACAAACGGAACGGCAACGGCCCATCCCGCTAGGCAACTTTGACCGACCCTTGGAACGACGATCATGTGTAACTTGATCCCACTCGCCTAAGATGAGCATGCTATCGCAGATCACACAAACGCTAAGATAACAGGTACTAGAAATCTGAGGGAAGCGCCATGAACCGCCAAATATGGTGCTTAAAGTCCTGGCCGCCGCACCTACTCCACGATCTCTCGACTCCGCTCCTTGACGCTGCCACCTAACAATTGGATTTCCACCCAATTCGCTTTTCATTCGAAGCATGACCATGGTGGGTGCAATAATTTTCCTGGTATTAGTGTGACTGGTTTTGTTTCATTTCATTTTGCCGTGGTAGTGTTATAACAAGGATAATGATTATCCCGACGAAAGGTCAAACGACGCTGCCACCTATATAGTCTAATTTATCCCTTGGGTCATACGCTAAAATGGATGTTGAACCACCAATGTTTGTCTATTTATATATAGGCATAAGTCTTCGAAACAATACCGATAGGATGGTTGCACCCTATGATTGACTTTATATGGTAAGATGGAATAAAGTTCAACGGCGATCATCCTCTCTCCCCAATTGCATCCTCCTTCAGTTTGCCCTCATCACACTCCAATCACCCTCCGCCCAAGACGTCGTCATCTTAAAGGCCTCAATCTTCCACAGTCCACTCTCTTCATCCTTCACCAAATCAGCATAGTACAGTGCCCCGGCCAGTAGGCTCGGCTGGTCAGGCTGAAGCCCCTTCCCACCGCCGTAGTGCTGCGCGAGCGCCGAGGCAGTCGCCGCGGCCTTGACGCCACCATCGGCAATATTGATGCGGATATTGGTGACAAAGTGTGTGGTGTCCAACTTGCTGACCATGTCAAAGCAGTCGGTGTGGATGGCGGGAAGGCCTGAGGAGACCTTGTCGTTGATGGAGAATGTCGCGGTGGAGGTGAAGGCCGAGTCAAAGAGAGCTGAGTCGTTCGTGTCTAGTCCGGTAACGCAGCGATAGAGTGTGTCGGCAATGGCCTCGCGGCTGCTCAGGGCGGGGGTCAGGGTTGCGGGGAGGGGGGGGAGGGATGCCATCGTAAAAATAGGTGAGATGGTGGTAAGATAGGTTGTGGGAGTGAGATGTGTAGGGAACACTGAGATATTATTATCGGTAAGGCTAGAAATACAGCCTTGGCATTCCATACGGGAATTCTTCCAACAATATATAAACCACCATCCTCGGTCGTCTTTGTTAACTCCGTTGGACCATTTGATCTCTAAGGATCCATCGGAGTTAAGGCTCACCCCGGACATAAGCTGCAGTCTCATACAGGGATTAGTCGTCATTGAGAGGGGTTAATAGTCGTTTTTTTGGAGCCAGCACTCTTCCAGTGGAAAATGCGGTGGAATATCTGTCCTCTTGTAGCCCAATGGCCCCTCCTACCCCAATAGTTGGTCAGAATTAAGGGCACGGAGTCCAGACGCAACGTTCCCCTCGGTCCAATGATTCACGATTTACCTAGACTGAGGTTGAGATGCGTCGGGTCTCGTTGGGTCTTCTTCGTTGACCTGGAAAAAGTCTGAAGACTTCCGTAGATAAACAAGAGCGGGCGAGTCTATGGCACTGAAAAGGCATCTGTGAAGCAAAGCGTTAAGTGGCTTAGAAAGGTATTATACCACTCAATAACCAATCCACCGTCATGGTAGCGATAAAATGAGAATACCAAACATGAGAGGTGTCAGCTCGAACCTGCCCTAAATCGCCCTATATAGTAACATCAAACTCTCCAGTTAACTATGAACCATGGATTTCACAATATTGTATCCAATCCCTAGATAAAATATATAGAAAAGGTCCCCCTCTGCATATCTACGCCTTTCATCATTATCTTTTCAGAAGTTATAACGCCGATAAGAAAGATTCTTACAAAAATGAACATCCAAGAAGCACACCACAGTATTGTATTGTCTTGCATACAAGCCAGATGAATCAGGTTAATGAATTCCAAGGTACTTAAAGACAGAAACCTTAGGCGCTGCTGCTTACTCCTGTATTGATGAAGTGTACTAAATGTTTATACCAGGAGTCTCACTCCGATTTCAAAATGGGTTGCCGGGAAATTTTATACAAAACGCCACGCTGATCTGATCCACCAAATATATGACACGACTTTCCCCTTGTCACCCATGCAATATGTCCAAGCCCTGAAAAACTCCAATCTCGCAATTCAAAACCAATATCTTCTCGCGACACAGGCAACTCCCGATATAATAGAAAAAAAGGCAACAACTACCATCAAACTACTCATCGTTACATTGTCCCCGACATAATTCAAGGCCCGTCCGTCCGATCCATGCCACGACCTGCCTGCCTTGTGCTGTATCACGGCTCTTGAATATCTATCATCTAGCAAGCCCAGAGTGTGCCGAAGGGTGCCGTGTAGCCATGCGTACTTTCGAAATGCCGCCGTCACCATCGTAGGCCCCGTGGACCAAAAGACTCGTAGATACGGTAGCGGGATGAATCGAGATGCCGCACCGCCGCGGCGCTTGCCCTCGTATAGCGTCCATAGGAGGAATGGAGATTCGGGCTCCGCCATGAAGAAATGGTTACTTAGCCCGAGGGTCCCCGACGTTGGGGCCAATATGACCTCGAGATTGAGACTTTGGAGGCATTGTATTTGGGCGAGCGAGTTCGGGTAAACGTCGAGGTCTGCGTATATTCCTCCCTCTGCATGGATGACAAGCAGTCTAGCTATGTCTGCACGTTGTATGTTCTGCGGATAGGCTTCGTATGTCGATAAAAACCAAGCATACTTTTCTTTGATGAGTTGGAGGATGTGGTCGTCTGTCCAGAGTTTGATTGTATAGTTTAGGGGCTCGAGTTCTTGCTTCCACTGGTCGTGCGATGCTTTCATTTGCGTAGAGTAGGTTCGGAGGTCGGTTGTTTTCCAGATCTGGTGGACAACGTTGGGGATTTGTGGGACGGCGATAGCATGAGAGTCGTCAGGGTTTTCAAAGTCAGAGGTAGCGCACGCGGTGATTACATCCATTGAAGCGGACAGTTCATCGGGATTGGAAAAGGGGTTTGCGAAGTTGAGCAGATGAACGACAAAGATGAGAAAGAGGACCAAAACTCCGACACCCATGAACCTTGTCCGCCCTTTTCCCCAAACAATGATCATTGTGGCTTATCGAGTGATATAAAAGGGTAGGATTCCAATGCAAAACACATAAAGCACTAAGGGCTGACAATGAAGCAAAAGAATGACTTGCAATGGGCAAAGAGTAGGGTTTGGTAAGAGACTACTCCCTTGTTCAAAAGGGGAATAACAACATGCTAGTATGAAAAGAATAAGGAATCTGTTTTGATATTTACAGAACAGTACTGTACACACCTTACGTGCTAAGGTTTCCTCTCAGTTGTTTGGAAGATCCACTAGTTCCTGGGTAAGGGTGCTCCTAAGATCACTTGGAGAGACATCCTATGCACTCCATATAGCTTCATTGTGTGACAACCATTTAAGTAGTGAATCCTGTTATGTGTTTAAGTACATTTCTTGTTATCATAAGAGTAGAATGTATAATACCAGAACATGAGTGGTAAACCCATAGCCATAACAATACCAAATGAGACAGTGCTCTTGGCGTAGCCCACGACAATGTTCGGCGCGGGCTACGTGATTCCGTGATCGGCAGGGTCGAAATGATATATTGAAAAGGTTTGTGGAATCAAATACTGTTGCCTTCCTAATATTAGCCAGCGAGGTAATTATCTGAAGCTTTAGCTCCCACAGACCTAGTTCATGACTCGCCCGCTCGTACAGGGACTTACTCAGAAGATCTAATAGTTGATTACATCCGTGTCTGTTGAATTAAGTAACATCATTGAGCCGGACCTTACTTATAGGTTTGATTGACAGGCTACTAAGGTAGAATATTTATGGATATTAAGTCCCCATAGCGCCGTACAAAGTAAAGCAAAGAGAGATGCATCGTCGATACTCATCTGTCGACGGCCCAAGGCTCAGTCCTGTGCTGGTTTAGCCAGGATCTGGATCTTTAGACAGCTTCTTCTTCCTTCATGGTCATCATCATATGCTTCAGTCAGAATCAATATTCTGTTGTCCTTTTGGCCTCTTCATCACAGGTGTATATTACTCTTCGTTGGCGGTAGTTTCCCGTCTAGTGCTGAAACGATGCTGCCTTCAGAGGATAACACGAGACTGCATATGCAAGGCAAACTGGTGTAGGGTCCAAGATCTAGGATGGACACAACTCCTGGTAGCTGCAAAAATACCTTATAGCTACAGTCTAGGACAAACGCAATTACTAAATACACCAACCTAAACACCTTGTTAAACACGAGTACTCGAATCTCTCAAAGCCATACATGGATATATTTGCGTTGAGAACTAACTGACTCAGTCCAGCATAGTTTTCGCGGTGTTGTAGAAGATCCCGATTGAAATTTTCAACGGCATCTCTTGACCCATATAAAACACAAAAAAAGAAAAACCTTGGAACCATATTACATATGGGGTACTGTTTGTATAAGAAAAGCATATTGTGTATCCATCGAGGATCATGGTGAAACCCCGGTGTGTGGACAAGGGGTAGCCGGCTTTTGTAATCATTGTGGATTCCCACGCGCTACTTCCGTCCGAGATCTAACCTAAACACGGACAAGAAGGTCACCCAAATTGAAGTATCCAGCCATTGACAATTTATGTGGTGAGTTGAATGAGTTACAAGAGAATCTATAGATTGAGGGTACAGAATACATCTGTGGTACGAAATGCCCAATAGTTATCAGAGATGCCTACATGTAAGTAAGCTTTCACGAAATAGCCAATTACCTAGGTATATTCATGTCTTGGCAATCCGTTGATGTAACCCCATAAATACCCCTTTAGGAAATTCCCCGGACCACCTGCCCAGGTAGGCAATTATAACGATTTACGTGATAGTCAATTGCCTCTAGGGCTACGGAGTACACCGTACTCTGTACATGTGTATGTTGTAGCTATCCATGGAGGTACCTATCTAGGTAGGTAATCTTGGAATTATCTTGGAATTATCATGGCGGTAAAATATTTAGCCCCCACTCGTTTTGTCGAGATACACGGCCAATCGTGCGACCTTCGGATCAACCCGTTAATTGTGGTTCTAAGTGCTCCCTTCGATTTTTATGCTCTACGCTTAACACAATAGAGGCACGTTGATAGTAACGCAACAAATTTGCTCCATGAACTCCCTTGATTTATGTTGTATGTACATATCACCGCTTTGTACCCACTAGTTCCCGCTTTAGGAACTTGTTGGGAGGAGCCGAGGGGCCATTTTAAACTCAGCCCCTCGTGGTGTTTCAAGCAAAGATGAAAACATTCTAATTTGTATAAATTGACAATAGGGTACTCCACTTAAACTCGAGAATAGAGAATTTTGCAAAATATAATCTAGGCAGCGGTTTACCGGCTTCTATGTTCCAATGATAGTGCTGTAAAATGTCACTCAAGAATTGATCTGCAGGGTCATTAAGTGGTGTCAGACTGTTCTAAGAATAGTTAAGAATGAATGATATGGGGCTTGTACGGAGTAGTCAAGTCTAAATTCCGCTGACTCATGGTCCTTTTTCTTTTTTTTTTCTTTCTCACCTCAGAAACGGCGGTGAGAGATGGTTTTCAATAGGATCGATCAATAGATAAGGTAAAAATCATGTCTCTAGATCTATCTGTTAAAGCAGAGGGAAGAGAGAAGAAGAAGAGGAAGGAAGAAAATTAGGAGTCTCAGAATTAGCTAAGATCTTGTCCATGGGATCACATAATCTCCCAACAACCAGAGAAATTTCTTATCATTTGCCAAAAAGAAAATGGCAGTTTCTTCCAGATGACAGGAGCACTGCAGAGGAACTCGTATATACAATAATCTTCCCGGCACTTCAAAGATTCATTGCTTGCCTCGGCCTATTTACCCGGACTCATTGACAGCGCCATCCCGGTTCTGTCCATTTAAGGGCAATCAGCAAGTATCCCTATTCAATTATCCTCATTTACAAACCTACTTTCAAGTTGGAGCAATTTTGACAGTTGGTGCAGTTTACCATATTGGAGCAATCCTGGCAATTACTGCAATTTTCCATGTTGGAACAATTCTGGCAATCAGTACAACTTGTCATGTTCGAACATTGCTGAGAGTTTTCACAGTTGCTGCAGTTACTGCAGAATGAACAGTCGACACAGTCATTGCAATTGGAGCACTGGAGTTATTCGTAAGTACATTTCAGCGCATCCACTTTGGCATCCCAGTAGGTAGCATGGTGGTAGAATGATCTAGATAGTGTAGATGCATACATCATTGCATCCTGTGAAGTGGTATTTAGCACTGCTAACCCGTTTGCAGGATGTGGACTCACTTTTGCAATTACGACAGTTGCTGTTGTTATTTTTTCCGGTATTGTCTCTACAGCAAGGTAAGTAGTTGATTAATCGGGCCAGCTGAGAAATGGACATAGCGAAAAATAGCGAACGGGGGAACAGTCTGAACTCACTCATCGTGAAGTGGAACTCGCGAATCATGCGCCATGCCGTCGGCCATGGAAATATTTAGTTCACCAAGAATGCAAGTGCTTATCTCTTCTAATAAACAGTACTAAATAAAAGGAATAGGGCTGATCAGGCAGGTTATAACTAGTTGTCGACCTTATGTCAATATGACGTAATCGGTATAAAAGTCGCGTGGACACAGGTGATGGGTGCATGTCAGTCCCATAGTCGATGACCGGTTGGTATCTCAATGCAGCTCTATGTGACAATAAGGCGAGCCTATCATTATATTACTCCCTGCTTGCAAAGGCCATAACATGAAAATACTACCTAAAAATCAAGTACTCGTTGATATGGGCTGCTTGCTTTGTTATAATCTAGGTCTGTAGCATATCATAGGAGTGACACCCGGTCATTGAGAGAAGCTCTTATAAAATTAATATTAATAGGTATAATTTATATACACCGAGTTAACAGAAGGAACCATTTCGTAGCTTGACAAGTTGACAAGATATCCACATTATTTGCGAAGGAACACCGCGGGAAGAAGAGAACATGCCCTATGTCTGTGAAATTCACATATTTGGTGAGGGCCATCTTAAGCCTTGTTCTGGGCATTCTTGCTCATCGCACGGACCCTATGGCCATATTTATACAGCACAAATGGTACCGGTGCCATGATGGTTGCAATGATGCCGACAATTGTCAACGACCAGTGGGGGCCGATGTTCTCATACATCTTGACCGAGGCCGGACTCAAAGCGCCGGAGACGACGTACCGCGAAAAGGTCATGAATCCAAGGGCTGAAGCTGCATACCTCAGGTACACAAAAATAGTGTACATATAGGTTGTAGTAAAGATGCAGACAAGAGCGTAGCCGAAGACACCGGAGGCCACAATTGGCGACCAAATACTAACAGAGGACTAAAAAACAGGATGGTATTAGTAGAGGTACGCATAGCAAGGTGAAACAAACACTTACGTAGCAGGTCCAAGCCATCCAGAAGAGTGATATAGGCATCAGAATAGAAGCCCCCGCCATAGCCCACCACAGAGACACTTCTGGCTGCAGAACTTTGCCTTCAGCATCGGCCTTCTTAGCAGCCTTCTTGGTGAGGCCATAAAGCAAAGGAACCAAAGCCAGAGCGACAAGAACACCGGGTACCATAGCAGCAAAGATAATGAAGGTCAAGCTCGTGGAAATCCCGTACACATTAGCGAATATAAAAGGATAACCATTCAGGAAGGTGAAGAGCACAAAGTATAGCAAGACAAGATAGAAACTGAAAATGAGAATAAGGGGTTCAGTCCAGATCATCACGAAAGGTCGGTACACATTGGTTAACAACCGAGCGCTAAACGAGCTAGTGGAAGTGGAAGCATGTTCAGCGCGATAGCGGTCATCGCCCGTTAGTTCACGCAGGTGCTTCGCACGCCACTCCAGTAGGATGGGACTGAACGTTTCCGGCTGGCAAAGAATCACGACTATCAATGCAACGCCGGCGATAATCATAGAGATCCAGTCGGCCCAAAGAAACCCGATCTGTGGCGTGTAGGCCCCAATTACGGGGCCTAGGATGGGACCCATGTAGGCAGACATGGTGAGTAAAGGTAGGCCGAAAGGGATCTGCAAGGGTTGCCAGATGTCACCAACAGTTCCACCTGCGACCGTCATAGGTGCAGCTGCAAACAGAGCGCAAATGAAGCGGAAGGCGAGGGCAGCACCATAGTTTGGCGCCAATGCTTTGGCCATAGTAAACAGAATTACAAAGACCAGGGCAACGAAATAAACAGCGTTACGGCCGAAGGTCTCTGAGAAAGGGCCAGAGAATAGCGATCCCACGCCAATGCCGATGAGAAATATACCTGTGCCCAGTCGCATCAATCAGTATGTATTATCTTCACAGCCAAGGCAAAACAATTGAAAATTATAAATAAAGAGGAAATGATGGAGTAGCATACCAGTCGTCATTGATCCAGCCATACCGTTCACACCAAAGTGAGCATCAAAAGCATCTTGGGTCGCTCCCTCGACGGATGATGGAACCGTCATCGCAATGGCAATCAGAGCGCACATAAACATGACCATCCATTTCCTCAGTAGTGACCAGTTGAGGGGATTGCTTGGATCATTGTCTCTCCAGCCGACCACCAAGACGATATCGCCGTTGGCTCCGTTTGGCTGCGAAACCGTGACACCAGGTACAAGAAGCATATCAGTTGATATCACTGGTTTTTGATCCTCTTCTGCTTCGGGACTCGTATAACCATCCGCGTTTGCCTCGAGCGAGGATGGCGAGGTATCGGAACGCAAGCTGAAATTTTTGGATTGGACATGTGCCAAGTCCTCTTCCACCTCTCGGCGGAGACGACGATACTGCAAAATTGACTGCATATTGAATTTCACTCAATGAAGGTCGCTGGAATTAACCTGGGTACTATCGTGAGCAGGAAGAAGGGTAGATAATTGGAATAGAAAAGGATTCAGCCCACGAGGGCGCGAGAAATATTTATAACCCATGCCCTTCATTGTAGCGCTACCTTTTCGACTTAACAAACATCAATCTATAGATCTATCATCTCAACAGTTGGTCAGCGTGATCGGCAACATTTTGGATCGGGGAAATTCTGACCTCGGAGACTTAGGGCTCAGAGGTCGGGCAGATAATAAGCCGGCTCGGTGTGGGCCGCAACGGGTGAAACGGCGATATCTCATTGGTCAAGGAGTCAGAGTCAGGGATTCAAGCACTAGGGTGGGGTCCGGGATACTAAAAGAGAGAAAACAAACAGGCCGAAAGGTCAGGTTTCTAATGCAACGTAAATGCGATAGAAATCATCGCTATACTAGAATATGGATCAGACATACAATCGAAGTCAAATCTATGCACGGGTATGAACAAAGAAGTCGATAACAATCTACCCATTTAATCATTTAATACTAGCAATACACCCACTACCTAGAGCATTTGGAAAAGAATATTCTTCACGACAAAATAAGACTTTGAATTTCTGACATACCACCTGATCTTTGAGGGTGTTTGCAATGTTAAAGTGTCTGTGAGAGACTGATGTTCATCAACAAAGTTAACAATAATAAAAGAGAAGCGGATGCATATACAATTATGACCTTGGAAACAGAAGAAATGGCCGCTAGGCATCCCATCGACATCATCTCTATCATTTTTAGGCGCGTTCATTTTGATTCCTTTTTTATGTTCTTGCTAGCAGTACAAAAATAACAGAAACAAAACAAGAAGACTCTAATTGTTATCGCATATATATTTTGCATGGAGCGAACGGAGGCACCTCAACTCCACTATAATGAGAAATGAGGGAACGTCGCCTTAATTTCACGAAAATAGAGGTGGCAGTAAATGCCTAGGTGTGAGCTCGCTATAGGCAGGGTAGAAAGATATATAATCACCTTCAAGCGCGATGCTGAAATTATACTACTCAAGACCTATTAGTGCTAGCAAAAGATCTTGGACTGTCCAAAAATGAACATAGCGCTTGGTCGTCCCCTTTGTTAGGCACTTCTAATGTTCTAAAGTTGGAAAATGCTAAATAGATTGCTCTTGTGATTGGTCTAGTGTATTTTCATTCATTCATTTCTATTGAGTCGGTCTAATATGGGGTAATTAGAAGGCCAATAGCCGTTTCGTTCATCCTCTATCTCCTTTGTTTCTGCTTCTAGGGGATGACAATGCTCCTAATGTCCATTTTGAAAGAAACAGTCGACCTTTGTTGGTTTTTGGTGGAGAAGACCTTGCGAAATATTCTATTGTTGGCACATTCCTTTGTTCTAAAACTAAATAAAGGAAAGTATGATATTGGCATTGACTCGGGTTTCAAAGGGGTCTTCGAGTATTTAACTGTCGACGAAGCCCATCCAAACTCTCGATATGCATTCACACCAACAATTCAAACAATCAATAGTGAGACTCGAACAGGCCAATAAGCCAAAAGTCCAACCATCTCCCTCAACACAAATCATTTGTCGTGGACGTTTTCCAACATGCCTCGAACTAACTTGAGATTGCACATTAACTTGAGGCAAACTGAAGGCAATCTTAGGAGAATCTGGATACCGCTTCGTCTTGAGAATTCTAACTATCCACAGATTTTGCTTGATCGTCAGTCTGTTATCAATCTTATTCGAAGTGTCTACGATCCTTTGCTCATCGCCTGGCTTGATGAGCCAGGTCATACCTGGCAAAACCAATTTTCGACAAGAAGTTCCGGTAATGAGTTTCAAAGAGAGATTCTAGCTAGAATTGGAGAGCTTCCAGGAGGAGTTCGGTCCATAGAGTCCGAGACAGTCCTTGGTGGAATTCTATACGATATTCTTCGGTTTTACCGATTCACCGATGCCACCTGGAGGGTACCTTTGCCTGGCGCTGCTGCTGCTGCTCCTCCTCCTCCCCCTCCTCCCCCTCCTCCCCCTCCTGCTCCGGCCCCTGCTGTTGCTACTACTCCTGCTACTACACCTTCTGAGGAGTGGTCTGAGGATTCTCTTATTGCTGCTAACTTAGATGTGCTTACAAAGGCAGCAATTCAAGTACTTGGGTCTGATGCGTCTTCTGAGGGGTCGTCTGGGGATGTGCTTTCTACTACTGCAAAGATTGCAAGTGCAGCCGAGCCTATTCCAATTGTTTCTCCCACTTATGCCCTTGATATACTTGCAGCTGCTGCTGCCACACGTCCATATGCCCCTGTGCCTGCCCCTGCTGCTGCCCCTGCCCCGATCGACTCTCCTGCTCCTGGGGTCAAGCGAGGCAGAAACGACGAGACCGAGGACGAATCTGAGCAGCCTGCCAAGAAGAAGCAAGCGGTAAGTCCAAAATAACAGATACTCTATTATCATTTTCATTGGTGTCTATATATATATCTCATCTTTTTTTGATTGAACATTACCATAAGCGCATTGAATTTTATATAAATATTTCCTGAACTTCCACATCGAAGTAGTCGAGGAGAATTAGTGCTGAATGATTCCGATCAAATAGACCCTCCTATGTATCTCTCTTACACATGGTAGTCCTATCCTCCTTATATTCCACTTATAAAGACGAATTTTTGCTGTTTCGTCAACGAAATATATACAAATATTTTGTTTCCATATTCATGTCAAATATTACTATACCCACAATATGTTTTGAAGTAGGCTTACAGCCTACTTGATATTGGACAATTTCCTTTATGTATTATCAATAACCCACTACTCATCACATGTAAATTAGTTCATATTTCCATAGTCTACCCGGCTTCTAGTTTTTTTTTTTTTTGGCTTTGACAGCTGTCTAATATTTATTCCTAATCTACCATGCACTATGGCGTAGCCTGTCTTGTGGGTCTTAATAAAAAAGATCTCAAGTTAATAACAGTAATAATATCATTAAATCATCGAAATATTGAAATAAATATTAAAACAAATCCTTGTTAACTATAGTTCTCATGCATTGTCACATCGATAATGTAGATTGAATCACCTGACCATGGGAAAGGGAGCGAAGTCCCAAAGCGGTTAGTGGCAACTCAGTTCTTGGCAGTCACCCGTGAGTTTTGCGTGTCGCGACCAACCTCCCCAAGTGCCCACCAGCAACCCGTCCAATCATCACTTTAGGCCTCCTCTTCCATCTCCCGCGGCCTTGATTTACGCCATTGCTGGCTTTTCTTGTTCCACTCGATAGTGCTATTGCGCTTTACACGGCAGACACATTGACACACGGGAAAGGAGTTGACATTCTGCCGACCGCGACAGCTGCTTGCTTTGATCCATCATGGATGACACTCCCATCAACCCGGCTGCGGCCCACGAGAATGTCCAGTCTGTGTCTGGTCTAGATGGCGCAGCTGATGCAGCTCGCGAAGCCTCAGGTATGCCCACTCTCAAATGGCTTTGATGTTGCACTGAGTGCTAAATTCGTGGACAGGAGCGCAATCGCGCCAGGATTCGCCCGTGAAGAAGATTGAGAATACACCTGGATCCGACAACCCTATGGACGCCCCCGCATCTCCCAAGCCTCGGAACGGCGGAGTTGAACCGGAAGACGAAGAGATGGGTGGTACTGAAACCGACGCCAAGCCCGACACCGAGGGCTTGGAGGATGCCGTGGGTGAGTCGCATCTGCAAGTGGAGGGAGCGGATGGGCTTGACGATGCCGTGGGTGAAGAACAAGCTGCGCCATCTAAGTCATCCCTAGAAGCTGCCGCACGCGAACAACTCGTCACCCAAACACACGCCATTATCCTCCCCAGCTATGCGACATGGTTTGATATGAACACCATCAACCCAATTGAGAGGAAGGCTCTCGCTGAGTTCTTCAATGGCCGTAACCGCAGCAAGACGCCTGCTACATACAAAGATTACCGAGACTTCATGATCAATACTTATCGATTGAACCCCATCGAGTATTTGACTGTTACTGCTTGCCGTCGCAACCTTGCGGGTGATGTCTGTGCTATTATGCGTGTTCACTCATTCCTTGAGCAGTGGGGCTTGATCAATTATCAGGTGAGGAGTCTTGTATTTTCCATTTTAAACACCCTAACTAACATATCTGCAGGTCGACCCTCAGACACGACCATCCAACATTGGACCGCCATTCACCGGTCACTTCCGAGTTATCGCAGATACTCCACGAGGTCTGCAACCATTTCAACCTGGACCAAATCACAGCGTGACGTCCGGCAAGATTCACCCAGCCACACAGCGTGCCGCTTCTTCCATCCCCGCATCCAAAGACGACCTCAACCTCGAGCTACGCCGCAACATTTATGACGAAAAAGGCAAGGATATTACCTCAGCCGAAGATAAAGAGAAGCATACCAACGGAGAAGCAACCAACGGCTTGGATATTGCCCAGGAATCCAAGAAGAAGGCACACTGCTTCTCTTGCGGTATTGATTGCACCAAACTTCGATTCCACTACGCCAAGTCGGCTCCGACGTCAGCCAACGTCACGACGCCAGATGCTAAATATGATCTGTGTCCCAACTGCTTCCTTCAAGGGCGAATGCCTTCTAGCCACAATGCTTCGGACTTTGTTAAGCTCGAGGACAAGGGTTACTCTCATTTGACTGACAAAGACGCTCCATGGTCGGACTCGGAACTTATTTTGTTGCTGGAAGGGCTAGAGAACTTCGATGAAAACTGGGAACAAATTGCGAGCCACGTTGGCACAAGATCTCGGGAAGAGTGTGTCATGAAATTCTTACAGCTGGAGATCGAGGACAAATACGTTGAAGATGTCCCTGAGCCGCACTCTGGTAGCGGACGTGACCCTATCAGCCAGTCCGAAAATCCCGTGCTTTCTGTTGTGGCATTCCTGGCCCAGATGGCGGAGCCCGCAGTGGCTGCCGCCGCCGCCGGTCGGTCTGTCGAGGAGATCCGCAAGGAGCTCCGGAGCCAGCTGGAGAAGGGACAGGATAAGGGCAAAGACGCAGTAAAGTCCGAAGACTCTATGGACGTGGACCCCGCACGTGAGGCCGAGCAGCAAGTTTCCGCAAAGCCCAAGGAGACCCTTGGCACCATCGCACTGGCTGCATCTGCTGCACGTGCCGGGGCCCTTGCCTCGCACGAGGAGCGTGAAATGACCCGCTTGGTCTCCGCTGCAGTTAACGTCACCCTACAGAAGTTCGAGATCAAGCTGCAGCAATTCAACGAGATGGAAGAGATTATCGAGGCTGAGCGTCGTGAGTTGGAGCAGGCGCGCCAGCAACTCTTCTTGGACCGTATGACGTTCAAGAAGCGTGTTAAGGAGGCCCAGGATGCGCTCCAGACTGTCAGCCTGCAGGGCCCCAACGAGCACACAAACCAGATGCTGGCTGATGCTGCTACTACGGGCATTGGGAACCACTACAGCTTCCAGCCTGTTGGCGGAGATCTGCGGGCTGGCACCCAGCCTCTGAGTGCTCAGGTTGGTGCCGACTACAAGACCCTTGACCTGTAGGCTTCCTCATTACATGTACGATAATCCCCCATGGATCTTCTGAGAGAGGAACCCAAAGGGACTGCTTTTCGTCTCGCTGAGTTATGAATATTCTGAACTTTCTGGCTTGGAAAAGGCGCACTTTTTGTTTTTCTGTTATCTGCTGGAGTTCTTTTCTGTTGATTCACCCTCTCTCCAGAAAGTGGATTGTTCTTAGGGGGTTGAACTAGGGGGTTGGGGATCTTTTTTTTTTTCATCAATGTGTTTACTCTTTAATCATATGTCCTTGATGGGAATCTTATATTTTTGCTCAAAGTAGATTGTAGTGTCTCATTCAGGCCCCTGTAGGTCGCCTGGTTGACCATACTTTAAATTGTCTTTTCAAATTCCATCGAGGATTCTTTGGCCATTGGTGGGTTTTCTCCCTGCTGAGATCCATTCCCATCGTCCTCATTATCAATTATTGCGTCCTCGCCCGACACAACCGGAGCAGAGAGAACAACTGCTGGTTCATTGTATCTAGGCCTTTTTAGCGGAGGCATTTCCATGTCTTCCTTCAGATCAGCGAAATCATATCCGTACTCCTCCCACTCGCTGCGGTAGACAGTCCGATCCCGCCAATTAGAGATATCTTCTCTGATTCTGCGCTCTGGCAATTGCTTGGTCTCGTCCTCGGGTTCTTCTGCCTTCATGGGTTCTTTGAGGACAGTCGGCACGGGCTGGTCCATTAACGTCAGGAAGTTGGCCTCTTCACGGTGGCTGGCGTTCTGGTCTGCGATGTCTGCTTCCTCTTCTTCTGGGTCCATTTCCAGTTCGTATGGCAATACAACTGGCGCTGACATTCCGTGGGGCTCTCGTGTGGGCAGAGGGTGGTGATCAAAGTCCTCTGGTCCTGAATCTGGATCTGATTCGGGTTCAAACTCCGGCTCTGGTTCCGACTCTGGTTCTGGTTCTGACTCTGACTCCAGTAGTGGCTCCGGTTCTGCCTGTTGATTATTGGCCTCCATTTCGATGTCATCATCCGTTCCGATACCCTTGTGCATTTCGATCTCATCGTCAATGATGGCGTCGTCCTCGCTGTCCTCTTCATCGTTTTCATTGTACATGGTACCGTCTTTACGGTATCGGGTCCACTCGTGTCTGTCGATGATCTCTTCGGCTTCTTCGTATGTGAATAATGTAGGCACCCAGCCTTTCCGGTTGTTAATGTCTTCTAGGACTGTTTCGTTGCGACGAGCAATGTCCACAAAGTTAGGCCTGCTGTGCTTCATGTTGAGCACTTCAATGGCGGCCCGTACATCTTGCGTTCGCACATATCCTTTTCTGTCATTCCCACTGCGGTTCGAGCTGCGCAATCTTGACATTGCAAAGAAGAGGGATGATTGCACTAAGCGGCGCGTGACACTAACAGCGAGAGAATAGAACTCCACGGCGGTATCTGCCGTCATAGACGGTGTCTGTCCATACGCTGTGATTAGGTCTTTCCTCTTGGCAAGGTTCCACCAGTTGTTCTCAGCTTGTGTGCCACCAAGGTTCATGAATAAAACATAAGAAAGTCGGATGCAATATGGAATGTTCAGGAAATCAGCTGCGAGACGGAGGGCACCTCGAACACCCTCATTATCCCCGTCAGCCAGAGCCTGTGCACTAGCTTGAGTGAGAATCCAATTGTCTCCGTGTTGCTGTGTACCGGCTCGAGCTTCAATGAGGGACTCTTTCAATGATAGGACATCCGCGTATTCCTCGAGTAATCCGCAGCACTCCTGGCTGACCTCTGTGGCCGCTGCGACATCGCTCAAGACAGGCATGCGCTCCAGGTGCATGTCGGAAGCATACTGGGCCGCCAATGCCTTATGCAAAAATCGGATATATTCCATAACTTCAAGTTCCGACTTGGTACCGACTGCAGCAGCAATCTCTTTGATGCCGCTCTTGCCCTTCCGGTCCAGTGCATTGAAGAACACTTCTTTCTCCGTGGGCGTCCAGACCATGGAGCCATGTTGACTGACTTTGTATGGGTTTTCAAGTTCTCTCAGCGAGGCATACTCAATAATCTCCTCGTTTTGCACGATAAGATGGGAGTAGGCTCGGAGAAATGTGAGCGATCCACGCATTTGCGGGGCGCGTTCCATAAGCGCTTCGCCGATTTGTCTTCCGACCCCATCGAATGATGGGTCGCGATGGTAATCATATTCGTTCAAATCTTCATTCGGAGTTGGAGAGGGTTCTCTGGAAGAGCGGGTTTGCTCGAAATCGGATTCAGGTTCGGGTTGAAAGTCGGACTCAGACTCGGGGTCGTCGTCGGGCTCATAGGCGGAGGCGGAGTCGCTCATCGTTCAGGCTCGCAGATTTGCAGCGCATGCGGGACGATCGGTAGCAAAACATCACAGCTGCACCCTTAATGAAATCTGCCACGTCAATTTCATCAAGAGCTATAGAAACAACGGAAAAAAGTTGAGCTAGGGAGATCCACTATGAGATGCACGCTTATCGATAAGCATGTTTGCATTGTTTGTTCTTGACTCTGAGCTTCGCCAGAGAGAGGGACCATTTGGAACATCTGCATGGAGTTCATACGCTGTGTCTCGCGATTGAGACTCCCAAGGAGATACTTGGAGAAGACTCCTCTGTTGCAAAAAAATGTCCGCCATGTGCGCTTCAATTCGACCGAGTCCCCAGTCCCTCCAAGCATTGTGCTCCGCGACTACCAAGAGGAAAGCATTCAATCCGTCTTGAAGTATTTGGGCGAAGGCCATCGCCGCCTAGGAATCTCGCTTGCAACAGGAGCTGGCAAGACAGTAAGACTAAATCTACTCTTTATTCAGAATGTTACTAATCTTTATAGGTCATATTCACGCAGCTTATCAGCCGAATCCCTCCTCGCGATGCAAAAGCCACCAAGACCATGATTATCGTCCACCGGCGCGAACTCGTCGAACAAGCCGCGAAACACTGCAGTCTTGCCTATCCAGATAAGACTGTCGGAATAGAAATGGGCAAGAATGTTGCGACAGGAGCAGGGGACATCATCATCGCGTCAATTCAGACACTAGCACGAGGACGCATGTACAAGTTCGACCGGAGTGCATTCAAGCTTGTGTTGGTGGATGAGGCTCACCATATTGTTGCCAAATCATACCGCGAAGCGCTGGGACATTTCGGGCTAAACGAGCCATCTGCCGATGGACCGGTCTTGGTGGGTGTTTCCGCCACTTTTTCACGGTTCGATGGCCTCAAACTAGGCGCTGCCATCGATCATATTGTCTATCACAAGGACTACGTGGACATGATTGGTGAAAACTGGTTGGCCAATGCGGTCTTCACGACTGTCAAGTCCGGGGCCAATTTGTCTAAAGTCAAGAAAGATAGTTTCGGAGACTTTGCCCTGGGATCGCTTTCCGAGGCGGTGAACACTACATCTACGAATAATATCACAGTGCGGGCATGGATGGCAAGTGCTGAGAATCGAAAGTCGACTCTTGTATTTTGTGTCGATGTCGAGCATGCGCGGCAGCTTACCGCAGCTTTTCGTGACCATGGCGTCGATGCTAGGTATATCACAGCTAGCACGGCCAAAGGCGTCCGCTCGGAGCAGCTACGGGCCTTTAAGAACCAAGAATTCCCAGTGTTGCTAAACTGTGGTCTTTTCACAGAAGGCACGGACATCCCAAATATCGACTGTGTGCTCCTAGCTCGACCCACCAGATCTCGAAACCTCCTCATTCAAATGATCGGGCGTGGTCTTCGGCTCTTTCCCGGGAAAAAGGACTGCCATGTTATAGACATGGTAGCCTCGCTAGCAACTGGAGTTCTATCAACACCGACGTTGTTCGGCTTGGACCCAGACGAAGTTTTGGATAATACCAGCGTGGAAGACATGAAGAAGAATGATGATCAGGGTAGCCAAACAGAACCCACTCCTGAGGCCGATCAACCATATGATGGCTCAGATAACGACTTGCAACTCCAATTTACAACTTATGACAGTATATACGATCTCCTAGGAGACATGCAGTCCGAGCGACACATCAGGTCGTTCAGCCCACACAACTGGGTCCGGGTCGGCGATGACAGATATATGCTTACCGATGTATCTGGCTGGATAACCATCGAAAAGGGGGACGATATCTTCACCGCTCATTATGTCATGAAATTCAAAAACCCAGAAACCGAGGCACCTCAATTCACACGTCCTCGGAAGATCGCCACTGGCTCGGATTTGGAAAGCATTGTTCGGGCAGCGGATACCTTTGCGAGTACCAAGTTTGATGAACATTACATCGCATCCTGGAAACCTTGGCGACGGGCCCAAGCAACACCGGGACAAATCAAAATGTTGAACGGAGCTCGCATTCGAGATGGCAATGTGAAGCCTGAGGACTTGACTCGCGGGCAAGCCGCTGATATGATTACAAAGTTGAAGCATGGAGGCAAGAAACGCTTCAAGGACTTGGAGGTTCAGAAGCGGAAAAAGCTACGGCAAGTGGATAACATGGCTGAGCTGCAAAGAAGGGTTGATGTAAAAGTCGGGCCAGTCGAGGCTTGATTGAAATCACCTACGGTTTCTTGTGAATCATTGGAGAAACAAGCACGTTTAACAACCGGAACTGTTCTAGACAGGCGCGCAGTTCCTGAGAGTTACATGGCTCCAGTGCCAAAGGACTCAATATTTACCTAGATTCCTACATTGGAATACTAGGATACGGAATAAAAGCTCGAGAGGCTCAACATTGTACCACCACAACACAGTTTAATAGTAATTATATATCGCAATCTCTTATTGGATAAATTGGAACAAAGAAATTTGTTCTAAACATGCTAAAACCAAACAAAGCCATACTCTCTAGGGAGCAAATCGTCCATCGTCGCTCTTATACTCATCGTGGCCTCAAGGGCTTCCTGCCATATACAGCAACCCTGCCAAACATCAGATCCACCGTCAAGCCCCAAGGAAAAATCAAAAAAAAGTACTTACTCTTTAACATAAGCATGCATATGCTTATCCCTCAAATTCTTCTTAACCATAGCCTGAAAGATACGCGAAGGCTCCGCCCCCCAACCAAGAACCTGCGTACAAAGCCTCAAGCCATAGGACTCCACAGCCTGCTGAGCCATAACAGCCTGGTACTTCCCACACTCCTTGAGATGCGGATCACGCGGCCAAGGCGAGTACGGTAGAAGATACGTAAACTGATGCACATCTTCGAAGCCCGCATCAATCATCCACTGTTCCAGTTTATGATAGATGTTCAGCTCGCGTCCCATTGCCTTCCCTGCCGTATTAAGGGCGTGTAGGTACTGGAGTAGCGGTGAGTCGGGTTTAAGGGTTCCGTCATCGCTCCAGCCCCAGATGGCACTTTCTTGGATCTCGAAGTAGCCGCCTGGTTTGACGTGGTCGAAGATTCGTGCGAAGAACTCTGACCAATTTGCGACGCATCTGGGAGATGTGAGATTTATTAGATTGTGGGAGATTATTAAGGTGGCTTACCCAGATAACAGGCGTGCGTGGATAAAGTCGAAGCTGTCTTTCTCGTACAGCCATTCGTTCTCGAAGTCTTCGATGATGAATTCTACGTTCGGGGTGACCCAGGTTGGTTGGATGGCGCTGATGTCGTTTCCGATTACCTTGGCGGTGGGGAATTTCCTGTTTGATGTAAGCTTCGGACCTCGAATGAGGTGTGATATGTGTGTGTGTGTGTGTGTGTGTGTGTGTGTGTGTGTGTGTGTGTGATGTTCGTACTCGGCAATATCAAGAGCCCAGATGCCAGTTCCTGTTCCAAGGTCGAGGATCTTTTGGGGATTTGTGACTGGAGCTTTGTGTAATTCTCCCTTCATCATCAGTAGCCATCTTTATTGTATTGTTAGCATCGTGTCGAAAGTCAAGACGGTTCTTCGCTAACATATGATGTGCCTGGGATTATTAGCCGTGTATTTCAATCGTCATGTTGGGTATTTCATACCAAATCCATTCGATCTTGTTCCTCTTCATCGTTTGGCATCCTATTTGGGTTAATTATGTATCCATATTATATACATAAAATGGAGAAGCACAATACATGTATTGTCCCTAATAATGAGTTAATAACCATGATAATAAGAAGTCGCATCAAATCAGAGATCCTTACAGTCCGGTTGCTATGATACCGCCGACCATTTTCATATTCGTATTCCAAAACGCTCGAAGAAAGAGAGGTCATATCAGAATTATCACTAAATTCACTGTCTTCATCCTTTTGCCGGAATCAGCATACAACCCGGAAAAGCCAGAGACTTCGGCTACGCATACACTGAAGTCATCGACAACAATTGGGCCCTCGGTGTTGATCGGGGCGTTTGTTTGATCGTTGTGTGGACCTTGGGGTTCAGGACTTGATTCTTCACCTCGATCTTCGCTTCCAAATAGGGAGGACATTGTGGGAAAAGATGATCTACAAGAAAAAGGTGCAACCTTCGCAAGGGTGCGAAAATCTGGGCTTTAATTTAATTTATCTAGGCCATACCTATTTATCTAGGCCATACCTTCAGTCCACATCCATATGATAGATCTCATGTCTATTTGACTATTTGACGTTTCGTAGGCGTTTTAAGGTTCCAAATTGTCTGTTGGTGGCGATGTTTAATGCAGCATAGGTCTGTGCAGAAACAGGGAAAAAATAATCCCGGATTGATAAGACTGATCGAGGTCACCGATGTTGTACTCCATACTCCGTATAAAAGCCTAAGCATTGCGGAGGCTATAAGGGTTGGCCCGTTTTACAAAGCCGCAGTACTCCGTATATGATGTGTATTGCATAGAGGTTCAGCGTCGGATATAGTGGAAGCCCTTTCACCTACGACACGATCTATTATCTATCGAATGAGCGGAGATGTTAGTTGGAGGATCGAGTCTGCATGCAAATTTCGATCTACTAGGGCTTACCCTTTGTGTAATTGAGGTATAAATATAGCACTAATTTGAAAATATACATAATTATGATCAATAATGATACAGTTTCTTAGCACGTCGAAACGACCAATGTGATCGACGAGATATAGGTTAGTCAGCCGTTAGATTGGGCAAGCTTAAGAAGCATCGGATATGTGGTAAACGGAAATATGGCGATATTGCGCATCTTTTGTGATTAAAAAAAGCCACCATGTAAATTTGTCTTATAGAGTTGAGAGAACGAAAGGAAGCTAATTTTACTGCAAGGCAAGAGGGAACTCAACAAGGCATGCATAATAATGCACATACTAGTAAAAAGAAATTAATCTCTTAAGGGCAAGTCTGAACTACGAGTTTAAATGTAGGGAAGTCTTAATAATAACGAATGTTTGAACAGAGAATTGTATTTTGTCCTAGCAAAGCATATGAAATTCATCAACCGATCATAATATGCATCAATAAACACCCGAATTGGGCGTTCAAAGGTCATCCTCATCGGAGAAGACCTCCTCACCACGCTTGCGGCGGGCAGCACGCTCCTTCTTCTTCTTGCGGAGCTCAGAGCCTGTAAGAAAGCAGTTAGCAATTGATCATTGTGATATATATGTGGAAAGGAATTGTAAGACATACCAGAAAGCTTGACCTTCTTCTGGACAACGATCTTGTTGCCCATGGCATCGAACTTGTCCTCATCATCGTCACCCTTGGCGTCGAGACGGGGGCCGGAACCCTGACCCTGGACCCAGTTGTGTCCGGAGGGGGGTCATGACACCGTCGTTGACGGCCCAGACTTCCTCAGTCAGGTGCTCAGTGAACTCACGGGAGTGAGTAATGATAACAACACCACCCTCGAAGGACTTGATAGCCTTGGAGAGGGCACCGAGAGAGTCACGGTCGAGGTAGTTAGTAGGCTCGTCAAGGACGATAAGGTGGGGACGCTGCCAAGAGCAAGCGGCGAGAACGACCTTAACACGCTGGCCACCGGAGAGACCACGCATGCGAGAGTGAGAAACAAGTTCGGCATCGAGACCGAAGTTGGCGCAGTGCTGCTCGATCTCCTTGCGGACAAGGGGACGGAACTGACCGGAGGCGAGGGCCTCCTTCTGATCAACCTCAGCGACCTGCTTGGGGTGAGAGACAATAATCTCGGAACGGGGCAACCAAGTGTTGTCAGCGGACATGAGAGGAGTCCACTTCTCGGACTTCATGCCAACGTTGTCACCCAGAGACCAAGAGATCTCGTACTCGTAGGTGTTCTTGAACTTGCGACGAGAGTGGATGCCAATGACACGGCGGAGGGTGCCCTCAACCTTGTAGATCTTGTCCATGGCCTTCTCATCCTCCTCGGTAACGATCTTATTGGCACGGTCCATAGTCTCACGGTCCTCACCGGTCTGGAAACGCCACTGGATGTACTCGGAAGGAGTAGAGTTGAGGTGGTTATCGATGTGAGCGAAAGCGTGCTGCTTAATGTAGGCAATACGGATGTTCTCGTGCTGGTAGACCTCACCGGAGGTGGGGATAAGTTCACCAGTCAGGACGTTAACGAGAGTAGACTTGCCAGCACCGTTGGCACCGATGACGGCAATACGAGAGCCAAGGGAGACCTGGAAGGTAATTCCGTGAATCTGGGGCTTGGGGGTACCAGGGTACTGGAAGGACATGTTGCTAACACGGCAGATGGCCTTGGACTTGGTCTTGACACCCTCAAGGAAACCGGGCTCGGGGAACTTGAACTCCATCTCGGAAGCACCGAGCTCGTAGTAGGACTTAGCAGCGGGGTGCTGCTTGACGAACTCAGAGAGGGTACCGCGGTAACGGCGGAGCTTGAAGCGCTCGTAGTGGACGACGTGCTGGATGACGTTGTCGAGGAACTTGGAGTCGTGAGACACCATGATGGAGGTGCAAGGGGAGCTCTTGAGGTAGTTCTCGAGCCATGCGACGTTCTTGACGTCCAAGTGGTTGGTAGGCTCATCGAGCAGGAGAATATCGGGGCTCTCGAAGACAGCACGGCAGAGAGCGAGCTTCATCTTCCAACCACCGGAAAGGGCAGTGATGGGACCCTGGATCTGGAACTCAGAGAAACCGAACTCGTTAAGGAGCTTGTCCTCGAGCTCCTCGCGGGGAGGGTTCTGGCCAACCTCAGCAAGCTTCTTCTGGGTCCAGGCAATGACGGTCTGCTCAGTATCGGCAGAGTCGAGATCGTGCTCGACGTAGACGGTCTTGACCTCATCCTTCTTGGGGAAACCCTCGAGCTGCTCGTTGTTGATAGCACGCATGAGGGTGGTCTTTCCGGAACCGTTGGGACCGAGGAGACCGTAACGCTGACCACGCTTGAGGCGCAGGTGAGTCTGGTTCAGCAGAATCTTGGCACCGTAGGCCAGGGAGAAAGTGCAGTTGCAAAGGTCGACACCTTCCTCCTCATCGGAGGCAATGGCATCAGCAGCGGCGGCATCAGGGCAGGCCTTCTTGCGGAGCTCCTCAGCGATGGCCTTAGCATCAGCCTCACCAACGATGGCAGTGATGTAAGGGATGGTGTTCTGGGTCCAGATAACGTGGTCGTTCTCCTTCTCATCAACGAGCTGGGCGGCGATGGCAGCAATGTAGTTGATGGCCTCCTCGGAGGTGGGAATGATGTCCTTGTGCTTAGCCTCGAGGATCTCCTTGAGGATGGCAGCGACGGTGGAGATGTCTCCAGCGCGGGAGACCTCGGGGATCTTGCCGTCAACGACGTTACCGACACGGCAGAGGGTGTCAAGAGCCTGGCGGGTCTTCTCACGGGCCTCGGGGTCGGCAAGAGTCTCGTTGTTCTTGTTCAAGCCGGGCAACATCTTAGGCAAGAAGGGAGCGACAAGCTGGGGGTCCTCCACGAGCTTACACATGTTGTCGACAATGACAGCGGTCTTACGCTTGATGGCGGTCTCACGCTCAACAAGACCACGGTCAAGCAGGGGAACCATGATAGCGAGGGTAGGGCCAGTGACATCAGTGACGAAAGTGGTGGCACCGAGCAAGTGAACGGTCTCGGCGACGTTCTCGGGCTTGGCGATACACTTGATGAGCTCAGGAATGAAACGCTCAATATCCTTGTTGACGATCAGACCGCAAACCTTCTCCATGGTGGAGTAGGCAGCCTTCTTGATCTCGGACTTGGTGTCCCACATGGCCTCGGAGATGACGGGGATCAGAGTGGGGACCTGGTATCCGAGCTGCATCTGGGCAGACTCGACAAGGATGTTGATGCAGTCGAGAGCAGCCATCTTTTCGGGCCACTTCTGGGCGTTGGCGAGAGAATCGAGGATAGGAGTGATAACGGCCTTGACGGCGTTACCGCTGACAGCCTGGACGATAGCGACAGCGGCGGACTGGGCGGCCTGCTTGACGGGGACCATCTTGTCACCGACAGCGGCGAGGACGGGGCCAAGGAGAGACACGAGGTGAGGCTCAACACCGGGAGCGATTGTGGAGTGGGAGGCAATGGCACGGATACCCTCGCAAGCACGCTCACGGGCAGTGGCATCCTTCTTGTTGGCAAGCTGCTTCTTGAAGATCTCGACAGCCTTCAGGGAAAGAGTCTGCTCGGCGGTGGGACCGCTGAAGAGAGTGGCCAGGTTGGTAGCAGCGGCATTGGTCTCATCGGCGCTGGTGGAGATGTTGAGGTTCTTAATGAGGTCCTCGAGGACAGCGACCGACTGGGCGGTCTCCTTGCCAGTGGTGGCAGGAGAGGCGGCGACGTTGGCGGCAGGCATTTTGGAAATTTTGGCGGTTTTGGAAAAGAGGAAGGGGTATTAGAGTAAAGAAAGAAAAATCCTTCCTTTTTTTCTATGAGGGGTATCGAATTTTTTCAGTGAGCAAAAAAGACTCAACTGCGTCAAATTTTTCAGACGCAAGCGCTCAAAGATTGGAGCGTTTTTTTTTCTAGTCTGTCTATGCAGAGTAGAAAAACAAAAAAAAGAAAGAAGAGGCCGACCCTCGAAAAAAAGATGCAGGAGTGGAGGAGAGGAGGGGGAGAAGAGAAGGGGGGCGAGGATATTTATCGTGTGGCATAACCTCTGGGCGGCAAAACCCTATGCAAAATGGCAATTCAAAATTTTTTTAAAATTTTCAGGCCCATTGTCCCGCACTAGTCCTGAATTAGGCTTAGTAGCTCCGTTCCTGCACCCTTATTGGGTTAAGTCCTGCTTTCGCCCGAATCCCCTTTGTATTATTGGCTGAAGCCGTTGCCTGGCTGTATTTGGCTTAGTAGGTGGCTTTTTTATTTTTATTTTTGTATTTTTTAAATCATTTGAATATTGTATTTTTTCAATATTCTATATTATATGGAGTAAATCTAGATATATGGTTGTATACCCTACTAATACAGTTATTACTACACTAGATATGTATATGACAGATGTGAAACAACTCTCATCTGAGCTAGTACTCTGATTGTCACCTCAAGCCTTATCATTTATCACATATCCCATATCCCTAACCGTCTCTAGGCAATGTATCCGAGGATAGTCTAGTTGCATACTATGGTACCAGCACTCCTATCCCCGTTGTATAAAGTACATCCTAGAACCAGCCAGAGGCGCGCGAGTCACCGTTCGCCACTCATGACCGAGTGGCGCAGCACCATGTAGACATCCAATGAAGAAACCCGAGTTTTCCCCCAGGGAACTGGAACTACATATTTTTAAAGTTACTAAGATATTGAATATTCTTCCGCTCTATTCTGGTATTCTGATCTTCCGAACCAGACTTGGTACCTCCGTGTCGACAACTTAACCACTGGATTGGGATCCCATCCGAGACTCCATATGTACATATGTAGTTGACATGCAAGTCAGAGCTGAGTATAATCTTAGGCAAAACTCAGCCAAAAAATTGAAAACCAGCGTGGTAAGCCTATACAACCGATGCTCAACAGCCCTTCCCAGCCATGCTATGCCAATTATAATTTCTATAATATATTCTCTCTGTACGTCCAATTAAAGACGAATATGAACCACGGGCTGTACTAAATTTCTTTCACCGCTTGATTTATCTTATCGCTTATCGCGAGTGCAATACAAAAAAAAAAGTCCTTTAAGCCTTGTCCAAATAAGAGATTTGGCTCTTATCTGTTGTACGGGGTACATTACACTACTAATAATAACAACCTGTGTAGCCATCTAGAACAAAAAGCTCGTCGAGACCGCTGTTAGGCGTTATCGTAAGCCATGGCCTTATCCCCCGCGAAAGGAGTCGGGTGGCAAAAAAAGTAAAAAAAAAGTCCATCCCAAACTCCAAAGAAATGCAAAACAAAAACCTTCAAACAAAAGCCTAAAACAAAAACAAAAAAAAGAATCGGCTCAGTCGGATCCAGTGGGTCTGGAACTTGTAACATGTTCCTTACTTTCCATTCAAACAATACTCATGGAAAAAAAACCGTCGCTAGATTGTTATAATAGATGGCGACTCCGTATGAATCCGAGATTTCCGCGAGAGCGAATCATTTCCTCTGATTATTTTTTCTGAACCGAAAACACAAGCTGCTTCTGGAAGGAACCCGAAATTTGGATGTCCCAACTCGTTTCTTTTCCGTCTTGCTTTTCTTTTTTTTTTTTTCTTTTCTTTTTTTTCTCTATGGAGTAGACGTCGTGGCGATTCCCCCCCCCGCCACCTGGCATCTGGCATCTGGCATCTACGTCGAGGCGAGGTCATCAATTCTACACTGTACACCTGGGTCTATGTATATTCAACGATATACTATGTAGACTATAGTATAGTATCAGGGGTCCTCTCCTCCGCTGGCATCTTGGCATATGGTATTGATCTTTGTAGAGTGGATCCGACATGGCATAAGCCGGTGCCCCAGTTGTTTATTTGATGGGGAACGGAGGCGAATCTTCATCTCACTTAGTCTGCATTGAGCTAAGCCGTTATAAAGGGGGTTAGACTATGTCAGACATGCATTTGATCTTGGGGATCCACCATTCGAATCCGGGGTAGATATCGTGTAAGGGGGTTGTACTCTGTAGTACAGTTGTGATCTAGTTGCGTGTCGAAGATCTGATCCTTTCATTTTTGATCTATTTGCATGTATTTCTTATACTTTTCTCTTTTTCTTTCTCTCACGGCCCCTTTTTACCCATGCTTGGCTACCCAAGCCCCCCTTTTCCTGGCATAGCGCTTAGACCCTTCCCTTTCTCTCTGATGCATGCATACATACTTCCAGGGGCTGATTTGGCGTGACGGGCCTATCACTTTGAAGAATCAGGGAAATAAAGGGGCAATGAAGACAGCCTATCGGAGGATCGTTCTCGTGTATATAGTTTGGAGGCTGGCTAGGTTTGTGCGATATGTATAGGTATCTTTCAATGTTCTTAAGAGTTGACATACATAGAGATTTAAATAGAGAGCATGTCTATGCTAAGACCGATGTTATGAAGCCACATGTAAGCAGTTATTCTACAGAGAAAAAGGTTAAATAGTGAGGTAATTAGTATGTGGGAATGCACAACTCTATAAACCAGGAACAAAAAACACACACAGAGCCGCCAACACGCCTAGAACCAACAAGCAGAACCAGTTCATCCTCGCATCCCGCAAATATATGTCCAGATAGTGATCGAACAATAAAATGAAGCAGAAAGAGAAAAAAAAAGCACACCAGGAGATATATACAAGACTGCATCATTGCAACCCATCAGGCCAGAGAACGAAGTCGGAAGTCTGTGGGTTGCAAGTGTCCGGTAGTATCACAAGGTCCCGGTGGTTCTCACTAGGAGAGACGTGGGCTTGTGGACTAGGTGTCGTGACAAGTGGCGTGGAGAGGTGTAAGTATTGAGGCGACGGCAGGGGAAAAAATGGGGACATCGGTATGCGTAAAGTCGCTGGGGGAAAAAGACCCCGATGTCTGTACAAAAAGGTGAAAACGCTCGTAACTCCAAACCCATATGCGCAGCGCAACTCCATGGCAAAAAGACAATCAAACAAGCAGAACAAGAACAATAGACGTGATTAACTTTCATGGCTTCTTCTTAACGTGGCTACTCCCCGTTTCTGATGGGAGCTCGTCACCATCGATGATACGCCATAAACGGCGGGGTGTGAAGTTGTTGCCGAATAGGTAAATCCCGACGAACCAGGCTGCAAGGAGGTTGGCGAGGTGGTGGAGGAGATATGCGTAAGAGACGCCGTAAATCGCTGAGTAGATGGCGATGGCAAAGAAGATTATTGAGGTGACGTGTCTGAACCTGGAGTGGAGAGAGATGTTAGCTTAGGACTTGTAAGATATAATATTCTACATACCTAGTCGTGATGCGCGGTATCATAGCACCGCTGGTCATGGTCTCGACGAGGATGAGGAAGGGCATGATAGATAAGACGTTGTGGTGGGATGAGAACGGCATAAACCAGTGCACGACGAGATTATGGGCCCAGACCAGGAGGACCAGCACGTTAATTGGCAGGATCCACAACATCAGGATCAAGATGGAGTGTGCGTAGTTGTCGAAGTTTAGGTGCGAGGTGGATCTGGTTTCCTTGGCGTGCCATTGTGCCCGTACGCATGTGGCTAGCTGCACAATGCAGGCAACCATATAGGCAAACTGGTAGGGGATTACAGTCGAGACAAGAACCAAAAGAATCGCGGTGTGGATAATGCGTCGGCGAGGAGTGGGGGTGTGGAAGATCGGCAGGTTCCCCCGGTCTTCTCGCCGGATATAGCCTGACTTGCTGTGTAGGACCCCATAGACCCAGGAAAAGATATTCACGAGGACGAGGGCAAGGTAGTTGACAAGGACGCAGACGCCAACACTGATGAGACCGAATACTGGGACTAAGAACCAGAAGAAAGCGTCTTGTGAACCAAGTAGAAGATCGTTCTTGGTGAAGTCGACGGGGGTTTCGGTCGAGTTGGACCGCCAATGGAGAGTTTCGTCGGTCTGAGGCAGGGCTTTGGACGTAGCCAGGGAGGAGGCCAGCAGAGACATAGCCACCAGCAGCAGCGGGAAGGAAGACCGCAATGCACGATCAAGGCCATCAGTGAAGGGGATAAAGTAACCACACTCGTCGTAGACCTGGAACTGCTTTCGGAGAACGAGGGCAACGACGAGCAACGGGAACGCTGCGAAGATGGTCCGATACCGCATCACTAACTCGCCAAGACTGCTGGAAAGATCGACTTGGAGGGAGATATCGACCGTCGAGTCAGAAGTTGGATCAGTCCACAGGTGGAATGATACGCCCCCGAGAGCGGCCTGCTCGCTAATTGCAGGCGGCATGTATGGCGCCACACCGTGCAGGTTCACGTTGACCTCATTGACATTGACGAAAAACTTTGACTCGTGAGGATCAGAGACAGATTGCCGGAGCAATGGAGCGAACAGCTCCTCCTTCTGAGGATGGCGAGTGATCTTCAACCGGTAGTCGAGCAGACTCGAATACAGTGCGGGGATCTTCACCTCCATGAGCATGGGCCGGATTGCAGGTAGCCGCATCTTCAGGCCAGCACTAAGCAGCCCTCCCAATCCCACCTTGGCCCGAATCATCGCATCCGAGCTGTCCGAAAATTCGGCGACAAGGAAGCCTGAAGTCGGCACATTGGCCTTGTCCACGACAGCGACGAACTGATGTTCTGCGAGAGCCTCCAAGTCGTATTGGAGATACGCGAACGGCGGGGTACGATCGTAAGCATGTTTCGAAGAGCGAGTCGAGGCAGGCAGATGAATACTGTCCTCGGCCGCGCTCTTGCAGGCCAAACGTGTTGAGCCCACAGTGCCACCAGAGAAATCCAAATTCAACGGGAAGTTGGTTGAACGGCCATTGGATAACGGGAACACGCTACAGAAGAGGACCTCAATATTGCCATCCTTATCAAGCGATTGGTCCGTGAGCAGGGTGAACTTTTTACCAGAAACGCCCTGGGGAGGAATTGGCAGAAGACGAACATCGGGGCCATGCTGTAGGCCCAGTTCGCGCAGGACCAATCGTTGGCCCTGTGCAAGAATGGTGTTGGCGTTATCCTCAAGTGTCAAAAGGGTGTTTGCTTCCTTCTGGGGGAGGGTACGCTCGGCCACTTGCTCTAAACCCGTCAAGTACCACCGCTTGAGCACACGCATCCGTTCTGCCCGTGGTTTCGTTTGAGTAGGGCGTCGGGCATCGACAATCTCGAACAAGGATTTAATTATAGCCTTGCGGAACTGGTCGCACCAAGTAATCGACAGATGATCCATGCCGATCCAGACATCCGGAATAGAAGACGTGAATACAGTAAATCCGTGTGTCTCGGGAACGAGAGAGGAGATACTGGCATAGTCAGAGGGAACGACGGTGTCACGCGCACCGCCCGCGATGGAGATGAGAGTGACATGCCATAGCGGGTTGTTGTTGGCCCATGTCTGCGAATAGGCGTCGCGCCAATAGTCGTTGATTTGTTTATAGGTATGGACGATATCGGAATCGAAGGAGACAGGCGGTTTTGCGTGAGGTGCAGACATGGTGATAATCGTATTGACCGAATTGGCTTGGTAATTTGCCATGGTCAGAGAGGTTCGTGCCACTATTCCGCCCATAGAATGTCCGATAAGGATAACTGCGCTGGGATCCGGTAACCCTGGATCGCGGCGGGTGCGTCGCGGATCGTGGTAAAGCGATAGGATGTATGAGATTGCCTCGTTCACGTATTCCGCTTGATCCAACAGCGTTTGCCCATGGAATGCCGCCATATCCTCATTGAAGTCCACCATGAAAAAGTCCAAGCTCCGCGTGCCGGCCGCATGGCGGCTCTCATCGTGTCGGACCACATCGTAGTAATGTCGCGAGGCCTCGGCGGCCAGAGATCGGACTTGACGATAGCTTCCAGCGTTCCCGGGTAGAAACAGAACTGGCACGCCGTTCAACTAAACACATGAGTCAGCACAAGAATCCAAGCGCGTGCACCGAGCCACCGTACCCCGATGTTATCCTGGGTGTAAGGATCCACGCCTTCCTCCCGGTAGAGGAAGAGATTGTATTTGCTTGCAAAGCGAGTATGTTCCGTATCGAACTCCAACATACGAATAAACGTCGGACTCATCATCGGCACACCGCAACCATCTCCGCCATGTTGCCGACCGGTGAACGAGCAGAGAATGGAGATCAAGAACGCGACAGCAACGCAGGTGGTGAAAGCCGTCAGAATTGAACAAGACCATGGACTTCGTTGGCGAGATTGTCGCGCATGACGACCGTCGGGGGAGGTAGCTTCCATCGGAAGTCGGGGGGAACCCAATGGCATCGGTTTGGTATCGTTGGAAGGTTGGGAGGACGGAGTGCGCCACATACTCGAGTTCCGGGAGCGCGGTGTCGCGCTGCCGTCGCGGCGAAGGTCAAAGCTGGTACCGCGCCTAGCTATTTGAGATCGGGTTTTCTCGTCGATGGCGGTGCCATCGTCTGTTCGGGAGACCGAGGAATCTTCGTCCTCGACAGGGGAGCCCGACGAGCGTCTGTGCATTGGAGAAGGCGGAGCCGGGGCTTCATCCAGCACACACAGACAGGTTCTTGGCGCAGGGGGTTAAACCTCGCAAGAGAACCCTTAACGAGTAAGGAACGAGGGGAAAGGAAGGGATAGGAATGGGGGAAAGACAAGAATGGAAGCCGGGGCGGTTGGAGGTTTGTCTGGGCCTTGGCGGAGAAATGGCCTGTGTCCCTGACAGTCCCTGAAAGTGCTTTTTTTTGTGGGTACAGATATTGGAGGTGTTTTATGAACTCCAAAAGGGTTTCTTCTAATCTTTAGTCTCTTGGGATTTTGACTTAAAATATTCATCGGTCTAAAAATCCTCGGTTCTTTTTTTTTTCGACGCAATTGGCATCGTAGGCTTGGCACTATAGCCCTACTAGTAGTCCTACAACATAGAGGCTTTGAAGCCACGACAAAACAAGCCCATGCCGAGAATGGCATACATATTTTCTATCTTAGACATAGCTATTATAAATAGACATTAGATCGAGATGTAGGACATTTTTTTCAAGCATTGGAACTACCACAACAGGCAACCGTGTATCCCGTTAATGTTCCTGCAGGACGCGTATGCCACCAGACTAAGACTAGGCAGATGCTTATTACGATTATAAATGACATTCCCATGGAGATTAGAGATTGCATTCTGTCTTTATAGAACCATGGAACATTTGAAACTAGCTAGATATTCAGGTCTACTTATTATTAGACCCCTATATACCCCCTATGTTGTATATACCTTTTTTGCGCAAAGTGACTCTGTTATCAGGAGCAATGACGTGCTATACTAGCTAGGTAGTATAACACCACATCCACATTCAACTCATATTATAACCATTTAATTAGTCTATGACTACTACTACTTTTCATCTTAATCCATTCTCGTATTTTCCTTCATTTGTGCGGGGTTGTAGGCTGGAAGGACGAATCCCTGCACTATAAAGAGCCTCTTGGTCTCACGCTTACTGTGTTTTCGCTCTGTGCACCTACCTACATGTAGTTCTGTCCTCCCAAACTTCTACCAAAGATCCCATAGTTCATTAAGAATCATCACTCTTCATGTATAGTAGAGGTGGGTACTACATATTCCCTTATACTTCTCTACTAGTTCCTAGGTATGTATTAAGAGATACCCGCTAACCTTCCATCTACAGGGCAATCAAACACACACACACACACAAGAGCAAGGCCTTGCCGACGTCAAACAAAGCGAGTAAGATAAACAAAGCAAGTCCGTGGATGCCAAATTATTGTCTTGTCCAATTATCACATTATAGATGTTCCTTCGAGATTCCCCAAATAAAAAGAGAGCCGAGCCATTGCAAGTTCCCGAAATACAAATCAATCATCAGTCATCGTGCGGGCATTGGATAGCACCTTATCTTAAAAGCTCGTACCAACTCTACGGAACAATAGAAGTCCTAGCTTTCTCGGGATCTTCCCCAAAGTCCTCCTTGGTACTGAGACCGCGATGAGCAGCAACCTCCTGGAGGTCCGCATCATGCTCAGCGTCGAAGTTACGACCCAAACGCTCCGGTCCAGCAAGTGTAATCAAAATAACATAGGCAAAGACACAGCCCATGAAGATGCAGATGACCTTGCCGTACTCGTAGCGGTGGGCGGCTTTTTCAGTTGGAGGTAGCGGGAACCGTTCACCGATGGTCGATTCAATAGTCGAGCTAGCGGAGGAGACCAGATTTCCAAGTTGGTAGGCTGTGCCAACAGCGAAGGTGCGGATAGGTCCTGGCGATAGCTCCATAAGATGGATGGGGATTACACCCCATGCACCCTGGACCATAAACTGCTCGAAATAGGCTGCAGCGATGACATTCTTGTTCTGGACAAATGTGTAAGGGTAGAGCAAAGCGCCGCCCACGATGGAGATAGCGATTATAGAGAATCGACGACCAAAGATCTGACTAGCCCAGCCGCATAATACGCCACCTGACAAAGCGCCCAGGTTGGCGACGACTTGTGTGACAGTGACTGCATTCTTTGAGAATTTGAACTGGTTCTCCAGCATGGTCGGGTACAGATCTTGGGATCCGTGTGACTAGGTCCCCATGTTAGCTTCTCCAGTTACTTGAATAGCGAATTCACATAAGCACATACCATGAAATTAAACCCAGACATAAGCAGAACCAGGTATATCAGCATCAGCCAATGTCGCTGCAGTGCAACCTTCCCTTCTGAAATGAACGACGCCGCAACGCCTCCGCGCATTTCCTGCCGCGCTTCCTGTCGTCGGCGGAAAGTCTCGGTCTCGCCTAGGAACAACCGGAAGATAATAATCAAGACTGGTGGGCCAGCCGCAAACCAGAACAGCGGCCGCCATCCATGCGGTGTAGTATTAACAAGACCTCTGGCGAAAGCCGTGGCTAGCAGATATCCAAAAGCATAACCTTGCTGCAAGAGTCCTGAAATGATACCACGGGCTTCAGGCGGGCAATCCTCCAGCGCAGTAGCAGCCGCATTACCGTACAAACCACCCATGGCAATTCCGAACAAGGCGCGACAAGCCAGGAACTGTTTATAAGTTTGGCAGAAACCGGCGCCGAGCTCGAGGACCACGAAGAGAAGCTGGTTGACGATGAATGGCCATTTACGGCCCCATCGATCAGAGGCGATTCCGAAGGTGATCGCGCCGACGGATCGCAGCATTAGAACTAAGGTGATTCCCCATGTGATGTCAGTCACGGATTTATCGAATGTTTCGGCAAGCTCGGAGGTAACAAGTGAGACAGTGAAGAAGTCGAACGCGTCCCAAGACCACCCAAGAAACGCGACCTATAGGGGTTAGGTATGTTAGCCAAGTCCTTTTTTTTTGCTTGCGCGTCAGCCCTACGGGGAGATCGACATACCGAGAAATTAAGCCACTGAGTCCGGTTAAGCAGTGTTAGGGCCTTGAAAGGGTTTGGCGCGGGATTCATCGGAGGCACGAGAGAGGAAAAACGAGTTGAGATGTAGCGGCCGACACTCATATGCTCCTCGACATCCGGCGAGGATGTCGCCGAATAGTGAGGTCTTGCCTCATCCATAGCTGCTGAGGATCTTGGAACGCCTGTGAATTGGAGGGTAAAAGCCTGATCCTGGAGCAAAGTCCGAGGGAAGAGAAATAAGATAGATCAGAAGCCAAAACAAGGGGGTTCAGCGCAGCCCTAAATACCACGCGGGAACCATCCGTTCTCTAACCCCCCTCTGGGGTCACCGAATTTAGCGGACATCCCGAGGACCGAAAGAATCAAACGAATGACCACCGACGTCTGCTGTCCCGCCGAATACAGGGATAAGACGTGATCCTATTCGCTTGCCGTGAGTGCCACGCGGGTCAGCAATCTGGAGTCGGGGACGGGCACGAATGAGGGCAATCTAATCTCAGTCGCTGATCACGGTACACTTATGGGGTATCCGCTAGAAAAAAAAGTCCCCGTGGGGAAAAGTTAGAAAAGGTTTTCAATGAATTTGGAATGGTACGGTGTTCCGGCGGTACACGCAGGTTTGATGTAAGGCACGGGCCCGTAAGTGAATTCTTTTATTGAACTCTTTGTCCTTTTCACTTCTACATTGGGTTTCGTTTGACTTTTTCCCTCCGACAACCTTGGACCTTTTTCCGATATGTGCTTTCGGATTCAGTGAATGACTGCATTTAAACAGCTGCAACATATTACAGAAGTACGCTCACCGTTAGTTTTGTGTTACAATCTGAAAACATACGTACTCTGGACTCTTCCAAGACCGCGGGGATGTGGAGATTAAAAAGGAGGGGAAAAAAAGGCTGGAGAAGTCCCCCACAATAGCCGTCTCTTCTTACTTTCAAGTCGGGTCGGCTGTGATAGGCTCGTCGGCCAGCCTCCGTCTCGATTTCATAGGCTATGCTGCTGATCGCCGGTTTGGTGTGCCAAACGAGGAAAACCCACAGACATCCTGGACTTTTGTCTTTTCATGACACATGATTTTAGAAACATCTACTACATAAGCTGTACTCCGTAGTGGTTCATGATATACTGCATCAACCCTAGACTCATATATTAGCCTTTCAATGATCCAGCGGCCCGTAGTTCCTTGGCAGGGCTTCTCTGAAGTAAGACTTTGCCCAGAAGAGTACTGCCAAGCATTACGGGGACAGTGCGTGGCCATGTTCGGCCCCTCCCCGAATATACGAAGTACCCATGGACCGAGTACGGCTGTAGAGTTCTCTTTTACCAGTTATCACTTACTGCCTTCCATTGACATCCTAACCCTCTAAACCTACGATAAAGTCCGAAATCCAAAGTGCGAGTCAGTTCTTGGCTACAGCGCCAATAAATGCCACGTTATTGGCAAGAAAGCTTTTTATCACCATGCTCGGACTCACATGCTTGGCATACACATATGCAAGTTGGGTTGTATCCTCCCCTCCAGCGTTTGCTCTGCTATTGGTGTCCTTTCGTGTTCGGACATTATATACCCGTCAGGGTCTCCACTTGTCGGGAGTATACGGTTAAATGGACAAGTCGTTGATATGCCACTTGGTGGCATTTGTCGATCATTATTTTGACTATGAAGCGAGGCGGGGAATATTTTATCCTAGATAACGCTGCTCGCTTTTCTCTTTGATGTAAGCTGACTACTAAAGGCTCTTTGGGCTCTTTGACAGGCTAGCCCAGTGAATTTGGTAGTGGATCCAGTCTCCACTTCGACAAGATCCGGGGTACAACCAGCGACAGAGAAGTTCATTCAATGACCAGCAGATTATTGAGAGTATCTTAATTCGTTGGATATCCTAACTTCTATGAACCATAATAGGCACACGGTATCTCATGTCAACTTTTTGGGAAACAGATAATGCCGACGTTGAATATATTCCGAGTAAAAATGCGACATATCGAGGGAAGTCAGTTTTTCCTAGTGGACATTATCTTCTTGTCCCTCCAAGGCTAATTGGCCGGCCACTTTGATCGGGGGCTTACCTTGGACGAGTACCAGAGAAACCGGTTATATATCGAGAGTTCTAG